TCATAAAATGTGCCCTTCTTCAGGAGATCCGTGAGAGGGGAAGTTACCCCCGCCATGTTCGGAATGAAACGGTGGACGTAATTCACAAACCCTAGGAAACTTTGAAGTTCGCGGAGAGTAGTCTTGGATTGCCGTAATTTTCTTGGGGTCGATTTTAACACCGTCGATGGAAATGACGTGGCCCAAAAACTCCAGTTCGTATTTGAGAAACTCGCCCTTAGAGCCTTTGGTGATCAGTCAGTGCTGCTGCAAGAGAGAGAAACTCCTGTCAAATCCTTCAAATGCTGCTCCCGGGTAGTGCTGTAGACTAGTTTGTTGTCGAGGTACACGATGGCGCATTTATCCAGTAGCGGCTGAAAAACTTTGTTCATTGTTAACTGGAACGTCGAAGGCGCGTTTGTTAAGTCGTCGAAGGCGCGTTTTTTAAGCCAAAAGACATTACCAAGTACTCGTAACTTCCGTACCGGGTCCGAAACGCCGTCTGTAGCAGTCAGCTTCGTTCACGCGGATTTGGTGGTAACTGTCAATTTTCGAGAAGAATTTTGCTCCGCGAAGTTGGTCGATGAGTTCGTCGGCACGCGGGATAGGATAGTGCGACTTGATGGTAACCCGATACACATTCGTAGACCGCCATCTTTCTTCGGGGTGAACATTATCGGAGCCGCAAACGGCGAGGTGCTGGGGCGAACGAAACCTTTCTCGAGTAGGGAGTCAAGCTGGCGTCGAAGTTCATCCAGCTCGGGCTGAGTCAGCCACCATTGAGTCCGAACAGTAGGCTGTACGCCAGGCTCCAACTCGATTTTGTGGTCATGTTCTCGCTCATGTGGCAAACCCGCCAGTAGGTTGTCGGGAAAAATGTCGACGTGCTTCCGAATCACGGTTGCCAAATCATCCGGGACAGCTGCGCAGAATTTGTCGATGTCGTTCGGCGTGTCGATAGCCGTGGATGTGATCCATCGGACGGCATACAGTTGCGCCCCTCTAATCGTGGCTCGCTTGATGGTCACTACGCTGACCGTCGATCTGTCCGAAGCCTGACAACTCCACATGGGTAGTCGTCGCCACTCGCCAGTCCATTTGATGCGACAATCGCCCGTCCGCCAATCAATGCTCGGGTTGTATTCTCGCATCCAATTGCGTCCCAGCAGCATGTCGCAGCCATCCAAAGTTGTCGCCAACATCTTCGTCGTGAAACTGATTTTTTCGCCGCATGTTGCTCGCACGTGAGGCAACCGCTCTCGAATTGCAAGTGGTCTGCTGTCAACCACTCGCACGTCAATTTCAAGCATGCAGCGCTCCAGCTGCAATCGCAATTTTTTCGCCTTCGTCATGTCCATCAAACAGTGGCTCGCCCCGCCATCAACGAATATTTTGATGCGGGTGTCGCCAACTCTTCCTTCAACTAGCACAGGGCGATCAACGGGTTCACCCCCCTCATTCAGTGAGGAATGGTCGATAGCCAAAATCGAGAGACACAAGACGAGACTTTCTCCGCGGCGCAGGTTGAATGCGCGGGGAAAACGCGGAGCAGGAGAAATGGGGAATGGGGAATGGGGAATGGCAGTCACACTGGCCCGCTCTAATTTCACCGCGTGAAAATGGGCGGCACTTAATGTTTCGACTCTACCCTGACCACTCTTGGGTCCGCATAGAGCATTCCCGTGTTCACGATGGGCTCAAGCGAGTGGCTCGCAGTCTCCACACAGAAAGTGTGGGTCCGAGATTTCGACCTATGAGAACAGCGAGAACAATGGTCCAGTGTGATGCATCACGATGCAAAACATGGGTAGTCTAGAAATCCAAACCTACTGTCTTTTCTAGGGGTTGCAAACCTTCACCCTTTGGTCGTGCTATTGGAGGGTGACAGCCCTTCGGCAAAGCCCTGGGTGCATCTCCCCCGGCCTGACAGATTTGCCCAAGTCCGGTTCGGGGCGGGGGAAGCTGGTTTGGAAAAGCCTCTCGAGACCGGGGCATGGCAGTGATGGTTCGGCGAGTTGAGAGCAGGTGCGAGGGGTTTTTGTACGGTTCAAATAGTGTTCGCATGTTTGGATGTGTTGAGGTTCGGCGAGGAACGCGAATCTTGTCCAAATCAAACCACCGCCTGTCTCGCCCTCCCCCACACTCGCGTGGTACCGCGGCGCAAGCGACCAGGAGCTCCGCGTCGTGCGCCGATTGATGGTTGCTCGTTGGATTGGACCCAGGGCTTACCTTTGGGTTTTCGTCCACACCGAAGATTCGGGAACCCCTAGGTAGAAACCCTAGGCTTACCTGTAAATTTTGTCGTAAGAAGCCGGGTAGGAACAAAACCAACACGTCAGTTTTGGATGTTTTTTGGTAGCATCAAATTTGCCAGTTCAAGGGCTCTGCAAGAACGTAATACACCACTTTACAGATGTAAACTCCTTGCCCGGCTCTGTGCCCTCTGTCTTCTCACCCGTGTGAACCGCCATCCAACCTTTGGATATATATATTTTTCTGGAGTAGGAAAGGAGAGGAGAGGGTAGGGGTGGATCTGGGGGGTGGGGAATGGGGGGGGTTTGTAGCTCTATAATCCGTTTTTGCCAGGGACAACCTTTCAAATCAGGGTACTTTGCAAAACGAGCACGTCACTTCACGGGTGCGGCTAAACCTGAATCCTTCATAATCAGGCCTCACGAAGTCAGGGTAATTACGATGACTGTCAAGGAAAACAAGGTAAATTGTTAACGTAACCTTGCTTTTGACGCATTCAGAATATCGATACCCGTCCATGGACAGGCAAGCCATAATTATCCCACGGCCAATTTCCGAGTAAGGGATAGACCCGCCCAGTAAAATCTAATGTAAACGTTCGCGCCCCTAGTAGAAAAATCTCCCCCTGTCATTGTCAAGAGTGGCTTATTCCAAGCTTGACGAAACTCTTGCCTGCAAAAACAGTCAAACGTTTTTGGGCTACCCAGCCTGGACAAGTTGGATCCCGGGCAATTACGGAAACTGCAGGGTGATCCCTAGGATATAGAGAGGCCTCATCAGAATCCGGCTTCATGGAAAACGAACACGTCAGAATCCGGAATCGGTCGAAAACCACCCGTTATTTTGCCGAAATCCGGATAGTTACCCGTGAAAAATAAGCTCTGGTTGGACCCTCCCCTCCACCATCCACGCTATAGAACCTGGGCATAAGCCGGGGGAAGGGTGGATTCAGACTCTTCGGAACCTACCGCCAAAGTAAGCTGAATATCCTTCGGGAATGGTCTGAAATCCAACCGGATTTTGTCTCCAAACCCGTTTGGCACCCGGAAGAATATAGCGGGTATACCATTAGGTCCGTGACATTCTACTCCATATAATACTCCAAGGTCCGGAATTTGATAAGATCCACCACGATGTACTCCGTCTGTACGGTATACATCTACTGTTAGACTTTGCTAAAAAAGCGCAAAAGAACATAGTGACCAATCACGACAGTCGCATAATGCCACCGACCATCGATTCGCGCCACCCGAATTGGGTGTGATTGCAGCCTGCGAGCGTCGCCAACCAACCCGTGAGTGCCAGCTCGGAAATTCCCCGTGAATTGTGCTTGGAATTGCCCGGTCAATACGCGCTTGCCAAGGCGATCCGACGTAAGGACGACGGACACAGGGGGCGAACACAAAATAACAGACCCCCGTCCACCTGGCACTTTTGCATGTGCGCTGATTTGGGCATGAATCCGTACCCCCTTTTCATCCATTCTGTCTTATTATTACGGCCCTATTCAAATCCTCGTGTCAAGAGCATTCGAGGCATTTTCCATATTTTAGGTCCGTCACGAACAGGTCCGTCACGAATACGGAAACACGACCCACGGTCCCTCAATCAGCATTAACAAATGCACATTTCGAAAAGGGTTTTCACAAGGGTTTTTTTTTTCACTGTCGTTATGACGTGTGACTGGTTAACGAAACCGCTCAATTCAGTTGTCAAAATTTCGTTCCGTTAAGCCCTTTTCGTGAGACCACGAAAAGGGTTTTCCAAATTATTTGATTTGCGCTTTTTGAGCCTGCGTTTCTTGCGGGCAGGCCGAGAACGAGGTGTTACTTCTTTTGTCCGCGATAATTCTGACCAGACGACAAATTCGCTGAGCGTTTTTTAAGAAGCCACATGAGCCCTCACATGACACCCGGCGAAATCGCTGGTAACCTGGCCCATTAGCCAATACGCCAAGGCACCCATCGTGAACAGAACGAGTAAAACTGCCTACGCCACCCCACCTAAAACCACTCGTGCTACTCGATTATCCATTTTGCCCGTTGTGAACCGCTCCTGTTCGTCGTAGTCCAAATTTGCGAGTCGCGGATTTGGAGCATAGAGCATACCCGCTGTACCGAAAGCTTGGGAGCAATGAACATACTCTACTGTAAAACATTTACCTCCTGTACTAGCTACCCTTCTAGTGTAAGACTTGAACTGTACAATGACCACGACCATTGTCGGCCTGGTTTTGCGAAAAGCGAGTTTCGTCAGCTTCCGGGGTGTGGTCGTAGAAGTGCGTGGTGGCTAGATTTGGGCGGGTCTAGTCTGGCTGACGCTTTCGCCCAGTGGGTGAACAAATATCCAGCTTCATGTTTGTTCAATCAAACCCGCAACTGCTAACAAGCCGCCCGCCAGGGGAGTGGTGGCACCTCATACACACTGTGTAGAAGCCCAGACTTTATGATCCGAAATCCAAAGCGTTAACATGTTTGGCATGCAATGATGCAAGGTGTGTGACGTGCGACTCTCCGAGGATCCATGATGATGAATTGTCAACGGGTCAATCAATCCCCTCGTCGTCCTCCTCACCACTCTCTCACACCTGCCATGGGATCACGTGACAACAGAGCCAACCAGCATGATGAAACAACACGGCTCGACAGGCCTCTACCCGATTCCAGCCAGAATTCAAAAGGCCGTTTCCCGCGAAGTAGACCACATAATTGGACATTTGAATGTGGCGGACCATTCTGTGCAGGCAAATTGGTGGGTACTCGCAAATGTTATAACTGGGCAGTACGCTATGAAAAACAATAACAACTGTAGATTGCCATTATAGTATGCCACAAATCAAAGATTACATCAACTTTTTGCTACGATGAGGTTCAAGTTGAATTTGCAATGTCTTCCCTTAGCCTCCGTGCTAGTGCATCCAGTCCCTTCTTCTTGTTCCCCTGCTTTGAATTGCGTGTGCCAAACAAACCCACCGTTGCCTCTCCCACATCCTGGCACCAGCAAAGCACAAGAACGGTGTAAGGTGACACTCATGAGTAAAAAAATGAGACACAGAAACAAAACCTCTCGAACAAGCCACAGAAACACATACCCGGTATTTATCGCCGACAATGAGCACTTTAGTCGGTGCGAGGGCCCCGTAATTCTCCCGATGCGACTTGGTTGCGTAATGCTCCGGGTTATTGCTCAGAATGAGATTGATCAGCTGCCGCGACTCATCAAGGTGCGATTTGAGCGGCACCGCTTCGCCGTTGTACTTCATGACGCCGCTCTTCTCGTCCTCCTCGTCCGCAAAGCCCTCGATCACGCGCAGGTCGTTGTCCACCCCATGGATCGCGTACATGTTGAACCGCGGCACAGCCGCGCCACACAGCAGGCTCACGAGCACGTTGCTGATATGGCGCATCATGCCACCACTCACCTGCAATTGGGGGGACAACGGCCAGTGGATAGTGGAAATGTGGAATAGGCTGAGGGTATCAGAAAGAATAATTGAACTAGAATGTGTGAGTACAAGGGTATATAGATTAGGGTGTTGTACTCTCAAAGACACAATCCAGTATAGTCTATAGTAATGACCTAAGTAACATTTGACACACCCCCTAGACTATATAGGGGCAGTGCCTAACAGGGAAAGAAGCAGCTCAGGGCGGCACTACTAGTCCAGCCTCTAAGGCAAGGGTCTAAATTCCAGTCAAAGGAGTACAGAAAAGAGAAAAGCAGCTCAAGGCGGCACTACTAGTCCAGCCACTGGGAGAGGACACAAGTCCAGTCTGAGTAAATATATATAAAGGACAGTACAAAGTCAAAGCCCTAGCAAGTGAGAGGCTACAGGAACTAAACCTAGCAGAGCTAGGCCGCTCACCTAAGTCAGTGAGCAAGAAGGTCAGCCAGCAGAGCTCTTGTGCCACCATGGCACCAGCGTAGATCTCGGCCTCACAGCTGGACTGGGCAACAGACGAGGAGCGGGTAGCTCTCCACGAGATGGCACATGAACCAAGGCTGAAGCAGTAGCCCTGCGAGGACCTGAGGGTCTCGGCGTTGTCTGCCCAAGAAGCGTCTGTGTGTCCAATAAGGACCACTGGCCTGCATCCTCCTAGCACTAACCCCATGCCCGATGTACTTGCAAGATAACGCAAAACCCTCTTAGCGGCAGACCCGTGCTGAGGTCGGTGTCTGCTTGTAGCCACAAAGCGAACCAGGATGCTGAGAGGGTATACGAGATCTGGACGAGTGCAAGTCATCAGGTACATGAGGCAACCCACCAGCTCTGCGTAAGGACCACTGGGCTTTGCTGACTCCTCAGGAACTGGAGTGGAGAGCCTGTGGTCTAGATGCAGAGAAGTGGGCTTTGCGGAGGAAAACCGAAGGCCGAACCTCTGAAGTACCTCGCACACCAAGTGTGACTGAGTCAAAGTGATGGTGCGCGTCGCTCTGTTCCTGGAGATCTGCAAGCCAAGGTAGTGGCGCTGTTCTCCAAGGTTGGTACAAGTGTGTCTCTTCAGCAGCTCTGCCTTCATGGAGGCCAGTGCGTCCTTGTCTGCAGTGGCGAAGACAAAATCGTCTACGTAAACAAGGATGTAGAACGGGGTCTGGCCAGCACGAACGAAGAGCGAGGGGTCTGCAGAGGACGGAAAGATCTACAGGTCAGCAAGCGTAGCACGCAGCGTGTCGTGCCACTCATGGGGAGCCTGCCGCAGGCCGTAGACGGGGCGCCGCAGGATCCATTGGTTCCCAGGAGGGAAGGTACCAATAAAGCCTTGAGGGCGGCGCAGGTAGACCTGCTCGTGTAGGCTGCCGTGAAGAAACGCAGTGGAGAAGTCGAGGGAGTAAAGCTCGTAATCACGCTGAGCTGCTACGTCTACCAGCACCCGAAGAGTAGTCATCGTCGGGGTCGGAGCGAAGGTCTGGAAGAAGTCCATCCCCTCACGCTGACTGAAGCCTCTAGCCACATAGCGCACCTTAAATACAGGTGGCTCTCCAGGAGGGCGCTTCAACTTGAAGAGCCAGCGGCCATCGACTACGTTTACCCCAGGCGGGGGAACTGCGTCGACGTAGGTGCCGGTGGATCTCCAAGATGCCATCTCCTGCTCCATGGCAGCTATCCACTGAGAGGCCCAGGGTCCCGAGACCGCCTCAGCGTAAGTGAGAGGGGTCGGGATATCGAAAGTGTCGGGGTCACCTTCAGGGACTAGAAGCATAGAGCAGAGATGGGGAGCAGAGGACAGGAAAGCAAGCTCGTACTGGCGGTCCTCCAGGACGTCACTGCCGAGGGCAGGAGCACCCCCGACAGACGGAGGACAGGCAGGGTCAGAGACCAGAGCGGTGGCATAGTCAAGGTGGCGGGTAGAGGCAAAGTGAGCGACCGCGGCGACAAGGGCGTCAAGGCTCAAAACAGGAACAGACGGGTCGGTAACGAGAGAGGCAAGGACCCGAGGAAGGAGGGGACAAGTGGCACGCAGGTAGTCAGACAGTGGGGGGGGAGCAACGACAAAGAAGGATGGAGGGGGCGACGGGAGAAGGGGAGGACGAGACGCGTGGAAACGAAGCAACATAGGGTGAGAGCGCGAGACAGGGGAGACAGGTCGAGCACGAGAGGGACGGCGAGACCAGACGTGAGACGTAAGAGTCGGGTCAGGGGACAGAGGAGGGGACACAAGAGGGGAACGAGGGGGGAATCAGGCCAGAGATGAGTCTATAGGAGGGAACACAGGGCCGTAGACAGGAGGAGGAGGCACAGGCACGGGGTCAAGGGACGGAAGGCCGAGCAGGCGAAGAGCGGACACCGGTGGGGACTGCTGCGGCGGTGGTGTGACACCGACATCGGGACCGCAACCTGACTAGTGGCTACCTCCAGAACACTCCACACCAGCACCCCCAGAAGGAACACCCCCAGAGCTCAGAACCTCTCGAGCACCAGTACCACCCCCAGGCCTGCCGGGAAAAGCCACGACAGGAGTCCCAGGACAAGTACCCACCCCAAATCCAGCACCCCCAGAGACAACGAACTTCTTCGGCGACGGCTGCGTCAGCGGCGGCTGCAACGACGGATGCGGTGGCGGCGGCGGCGGTGACGACGGCTGTGACAGCGGTGGCGACGGCGGCTGTGGAGGCGGCGGAGGAGACACCTGAGAAGGGGCAAGCAGCGAGGACTGCGCCGCAGGACCACCAGAGTCAGCAGACTCCTCAACCGGGAAAACCAACGTAAGTGGGGTGACGTGGGACACACCAGAGGGGGCAGGACAGGGAGGGGGAGGAGGAGGGGCAGCGACGACCGGGGAAGGGGTGACAAGGAACAGGGGGGGGAAGCGGCGGAAGAAGGAGATGGATTCGTCAAAGGTGACGTTACGGGAGTGAAAGAACCGGTGGGACGGCGGGTGGTAGAAGTGCCAGTCAGACGCGTCGAGGGGGAAGCCGAGGAAGACACAGGGAAGGGTGCGGGCAGTGAGCTTGTCCGTGCCAGAGGCACGAATGTGAGCAAGGCAACCCCAGACGTGAAACGCAAACGCATCACCAGGTGACCCAGACCAGAGGAGGGTCGGCGAAACCTGAGGATGCTGGGGGTACGGCCACAAGTTAAGCTGGTGAGCGGCGTAGCGAACGGCGAACTGCCACAGAACATGGGGTGCCTTGGCATGGATCATGGAGGCGCGAGCCACCTCCATGACCAAACCGATGCGTCGCTCAGCAACCCCATTCTGCTGCGGGGAGTGCGGCAAGGTGAACGTATGGGTGATGCCCTCTGCACGACAAAAACAACTAAGGACCTCAGAGGAGAACTCGCCACCACGGTCGGACAGGAGACGCAAGACAGGGAGACCGCGGTGGACATGCGCAGAGACAAGCCACGGGATAAGAACGGCAGGCACGTCGGCCTTCCGCTCCAGGGGGAACACAGTGGTGTAGCGCGTGTAGTCGTCGACAAGCACTAGGAAGTAGCGCTCTCGACGCGGCCCATGGACGGGGGCGGGGCCCCAGGCGTCCATGTGCAGAGTCTGTAGCAGTGCTGCAGTAGGGGGAAACAAGGAGGAGTGAGGGGCACGACGTAGCCGGCCCTCGACACAGGGAGTGCAAGGTGGGGCTGGGGAGGAGGGAAACTCGGGGAACGACCCGGGGAGGCGTAGGACGAGACCGTGCTGTGACATGTGACGCAGACGCGGGAGCGCAGGGTGACCTAGGCGGTGGTGCCAGAGAAGAGTCGGGTTAGTGAGAGACCGACAGGAGCAGGCAGCAGCAGCCGGGGGAGACGCAGTCACCTGAGGGGGGGTTTCAGCTAGGGGGGTCACCGTGTCCAATGTGAAAAGACCGGACACCGGGTCCCGTGGAAAAGAAAAAAGGGGGACACTAGTGGCGGCCTCGTTACAGACAGTGTACCGCTCGTGTCCAGGGAAGGTAATGGTGACGCCAAGGTCCTGAAGGCAGCCGACACCAACTAGGTTCCTGGAGAACGAGGGGATGTGCAGTCCTGTGAGCATGCCCAAAGGAACTGCTAGGCAGGGGAGGGTGGTGGAAGTGCGGGCGACTACTGGGCCGGAGGAGGGGTTAGCAAGAGAGACTGCGGCAGGGACAGAAAGCGGTGTCAACGTGGTGGAGCTGCGGAAGAAGCACCGGGAAGCGCCAGAGTCGAGGGTGAAGGAGAGCGCGGCAGTGGCGGCCGAAGGCGAAGCAGCGACAGAAGCACCAAGGCTAAACAAAGCAAGGGATCCTACGCCTGACGTAGCAGGGGAGTCTAAGCAAGGCACACCTACACTAGGCAACAAGGGGTAATAAGACGGAAGACCACTAGAGTCATCAGCATACATCACATGCAGAGCAGTAACAATGTCATCCATATCTGAACCCTACGACGAAGCAAACTGTGCCAGTCTAGGAGCTCGGGCGACGGGCCGAAACGCTGATGAAACAGGTCGTCCAGGCGATGGAAACAGCGGACGGAGGTGTGGCCGATCTTACCACAAATGAAGCCACAGCGAGGACTGGTCTAGAGCAGGTACTGACAGCGCGCGTCACCCGAACCACCACCCGACAGCCCTCCACGCACACCACCACCACGTCCAGCGCTACCACCAGCGCCGGGCCACCCGGGCGGGAGACCGCTCGCCCGTCTCTGCTATGGCTGCGGCTGCTGCGACTGCTACGGCTGACGCGAGTCCGGCCGGCGGCTGCTGAGACGGCTGCTCGGCTGCACCTGGCAGGGTCCCCTCGTCCGCACCACCACCAGGAGACCCAGCTCCAGCACCACCTACACCTGCACCCTCACCCCCGCCGCCACGCCCAGCCTTGGGGCGGCGACCCTTCCCTGGACGGACCTGTGCTGCAGTGGCAGTCTCAGCCACAGCATTAGAGCCGTCAGAGAAAGTGCACTGAGCGGGGGCGCGACCCTGAAAGATAGGGACCGGCACAGTACCGCTGGTCTGAGTGATAGAGCGGTGGCGGGCCTCTATAGCGGACAGGGTGTCAACAAAGTCAATGAGGGTGAGGTCTGCGGGGTGGACGCTAAGGAAGTGGTCACGGGCAGTGGCAAGACGGTCAGGGAGGCGGGTGGCTAGCAGGTAGAGAGTAGAGGTGAGGAGAGGCTGATGGGCTAGAAGCTATGTGGGAGTGCAGGCAGCATGCCAGGTCTCGTCTATAGTGCGCAGGCGAGCGGCCAGGTCGGCGACAGTGGGGAACGACGCAAGGTCAAGGAAGAGCATGGGGAGGATCAGACGACCGACCGAGGCAACAGGCAGAGTGGAATAGCGCTGGACAACAGCATCTAGGAAAGCCTGGGCAGTGGTGATAGACCTGAAGTGAGGTTGCTCGGACAGGGGGAGGGCATTGCTAATGGCAAGCTGTGGGACAGCGTCACGGGACAGCTAGACACAGCGAGCAAGGGCAACGGCCGCAGCGGACTCACGCTCAGCGGACGAGGGATCAGTAGACAGTGCAGCGGGGGGGTCAGGGCAGGGGAGAGTACCGTCAAGATGGAAAGACAAAGAGTGGCCATCTTGCCGCTGGCCAGTGAGGTGGCGACGGAGGTCAGCAAGTCACGCATCAAACTCAATCGGCTGGCCCTCAGCGTCAAAGCAAAGCACCTCCGCCATCAGTGACAATAGAGGGCAGTGGAGAGCAGTACATTGCGGTGCGGTGTGATGCAGTGCGGTGCAAGGCGGTCTAGTACGGTACCGGGGGGGTTCGCAGGGCAGTGCTGATCGGGAGGAACATGCCGAACCCGAGGCGGCGGCGGGCTGGCGATGACGCGAATGCAGGAGCCGGCCGGCGGACGGCAGACGTGAGGGGCCAGCAAATGGCGGCAACGGGGGCCGGCGAGGAGCTGGCGCGACGGCGAGTAGGGCCAGCCACGACGGCGAGGAGACACGGCCGCGACAGCGGCCAGGGACAGCCGCGAGGGCGGCTAGGGGTGGCTGCGACGGCAGGAGTGACCGTGAGGCGGCTGGAGACGGCAGCAACAGCAGCTAGGGGCGGCCGTGACGACGAGGGGGCGGCCGTGAGACGGCTAGGGGCGGCCGTGGGACGGCAGGAAACGGGCGCGACAGCCAGGAGGGGGGGGGGGGGGGGGGGGGGGGGGGGGGGGCTATGGACGAGCGCGACGGCCAGGGGGGCGGCTAGGGACGGGCGCGATGGCCAGGGGGCTGGCTAAGGGCGGACGCGACGGCCAGGGGGCCGGCTAGGGAAGGGCGTGACGGCTAGGGGGTTGGCTAGGGGCGGAAGCGATGGCCAGGGGGCCAGCTAGGGGCAGACGCGACGGCCAGGGGGCCGGCTAGGGACGAGCGCGACGGCCAAGGGGCCGGCTAGGGGCAGACGCGACGGCCAGGGGGCCGGCTAGGGACGAGCGCGACGGCCAAGGGGCCGGCTAGGGACGGGCGCGACGGCCAGAAGGGCGGCTAGGGACGGGCGCGATGGCCAGGAGGCCGGCTAGGGACGGGCGCGACGGCCAGGGGGCAGGCTAGGGGCGGACGCGACGGCCAGGGGGCCGGCTAGGGGGCCGGCTAGGGGCGGACGCGACGGCCAAGGGGCCGGCTAGGGACGGACGCGACAGCCAGGGGGCCGGCTAGGGGCGGACGCAGCGGCCAGGGGGGCGGCTAGGGACGGGCGCGACGGCCAGGGGGGCGGCTAGGGGCGGATGCGACGGCCAGGGGGGCGGCTAGGGACGAGCGCGATGGCCAGGAGGGCCGGCTAGGAGCGGGGCACGACGGTGGCTAGGGCCTAGGGGGCGGAAGCGTGGGCGGGCTAGGGGGGAACCTAACCTACTGTGATACCATATCAGAAAGAATAATTGCACTAGAATGTGTGAGTACAAGGGTATATAGACTAGGGTATTGTACCCTCTAAGGCACAATCCAGTATAGTCTACAGTAACGACCTAAGTTACATTTGACAGAGGGCTGAGGGACAGGTTGAGGGTTGCATGAGGAGCAAATTGACCTGGCAGCAGAAGGTAGCAGTTTCCTGGGGAAGTGAGAGAGGCCCACTCACCCGCTGGAAGGCGTCGAGGGGCAGCAGCTGTCTGGCGGTCTCCATCATTGTCTCCAGGTATATGTAGAGGTCCATGAGGTACTCGTTCACTAGCTGCTCTCACGCACACACCGAGAGGCCGCACAGACCCACAGAGGAGAGGGGTGAGCGACGGAGTGAGAACGCATGGGAGAGATAACAAAATAGCATTAGGATTTAGTGTCAATTATGCTGGTGAGAGGGAGTGGAAGGGGGAAGGGATGGTAATGGAAGCAGGTCAGGGACTCGTAGCCGCACACACAATGAGGGTATGGTTATCACATGCATGCTCTAGGGTCGTGAGGAGTTTGTACATACAGCACAGCACGGGGAAGAGAAAAGGGGATCGGGGCAGTATGAATACGGGGAGCGCAGGGAGTTCGTACCCCGGGAGGCTCCATGGGATTCCACGGGATCTGCTCTGCAGGCGCCATCATGTCGTCGATCTTCTAGTTCATGATCCTTAGCATCGCATCGTACGCCCCTGCCTGCGACTGCCTCAGGTTGTTCCTGGCTGCCAGCGTGCCGTGCGCACCGTCCACCAGGCGCGACAGGGTGCCGCAAGACTTGGCTGCGTGCTCGGCGAAGAACGCACATGCGCGCTCCATCACTGTCATGTTGGCGGCCACCTGAGAGGGCGGGAGGGAGGGAGGGAGGGAGGGAGGAAGGGAGTGCCATTTATCTGATGAGATGGTATGCTGGATGGTTTGGATGCATGCGTGCTCTGCAAAGAACGCACATGCGCGCTGCATCACTGCCATGTTGGCCGCTAGCTGACGGTGACAAAGCGGGGAAGGGAGGCGGAGGGAGGGACGGAGAAAGGGGAGGAGGAAGCGCAGTCAGTCTATGAATATGGCATGCCAGGTAACATAATTGCATGCATGCTGTATGAAGACAGCTCATTCTTTCACCCGTGATTCACTCCTCACCTGCATGGTGTGCGACACTTGCAGCGTGGGGTTGCCAATGAGCCTTAGCAGCACCTTGTTGACCACCGTAGTGAGCAGGCGGTCCAAGTAGCGCCTGACCAGGTCGTACTGGTCCATGTGGCCCGTGTGCTTCAGGAATGACCCGGAGCTGTCAATGAAGATGTGCACGATGCGGCAGATCTCCGGCACCGACGCTGAGAAGGGCGCGATCCAGGGGAAGGCGGGCATGATGTCCGTGCTCTGTAGAGGGTCAACGGGAAGGGGGCGAGGGGAGAGGAGGAAGCGTGGTGTAGAAATGGAGGTTCCAACAGGGAGGGAGTGGCACAGAGGCATGACGTCCAGGCTCTGGGAAGGGCTGGACAGGAGAGGGAAGGAGGGGGGAGCTAGTGACATGCACATGTATGTGAAGGGTTCATGTGACGTGCGTGAGTGCATGTGCCTGACACACACACCTGGATGTGGAAGGCGAGCACGTTCATGCTGTACTCGTACTCCTTGCGCATCACCATCTGCTCCAGCTTGTTGTTGGCAATGGAGTCGTTCACCTGCCGCCGCACCTCCTCCAGCAGCAGCTCGTGGTACTTGTCCCTCATGGACGCCAGCACGTCTAGTAGCGGAGACACCTGTAACGAGTACAGTTGAAAAGGGTTGATGGGGGGAGCAGCGGGATGTGGCAATCAAGTGGTTGGCCGGCCACTACGCCTCCTCTAGCACATGTCCCTCATAAACGCCAGCACGTCCAGTAGTGGAGAAACCTGTAACAAGTAGAGATGAAAACGGATTGATACAGGGAAATGGAGCAACCGGACCAGTAATCTTGTCAAGAGAGACAGCTGAGAGAGACATGGCTAGGGCAGGGATATATGGGGCATATTGGGCCCCCTGTAGCTTTTACTGACCTGGAAGTCGAATCGGCGGAGGGCAGCAATCTCAGGTGGAAGCCGTATCGGGGAAGGGCGGCAATCTGATCTGGAAGCCGTATCGGAGAAGGGCGACAATCAGACCTGGAAGCCGTGTCGGCGGAGGGCGGCGGCGAAGAGGGAGACGTCCTCCATGACCATGAGCATGTGGTCGGCCGACGACATGGACGCAAACTGCTCCTCCATCATGCCGCGCATGCGCGCTATGGCCGTCTCCCACAGCACGACACAGGGATGGTGGCAAGGAAAGCCCAGGCATGTAATGATGATTGAGGCGACTAAAAAATGGTGGCACGGAAAGCCCAGGCATGAAATGCTTTTTGAGCCGCCTCAAAAATGGTGGCACGGAAAGCCCAGGCATGAAATGCTTTTTGAGGCGCCTAAAAAATGGTGGCACGGAAAGCCCAGGCATGAAATGCTTTTTGAGGCACCTCAAAAATGGTGGCACGGAAAGCCCATGCATGAAATACCTCTCCAAATGACTGCAGGGCAAGATTCGGTCTTCCCATGCCCCATGCTTTTCCCCTCTCCGCAACCTCCCCCATGCCATTCCCATCCCCTTTTTGCAACCCAAGACCTTCCTTGGGTAGACCTATGCAGGCTGGATTACACCCAGAGCTGTGAGCATAGAATTACACTCCCCCAGCATCTCCACCCTCCTGTCCTTTCCTTTCCAAATGTGGTACTTGATCAATGCAGGTGTCATGAAACCCCTCGTGTCACTTCTCAGCGCACCTGCGCTGGCTTGATGACTTCCCCAGCAGTGCGCATGATTCTGTCCCCCACAATGAAGAAACCGGCCACGTGGGAGCAGTAGTCGTTGAACAACTGCGAGAGAGGGCTGGGGAAGCCAGAGGGTCGCGAAGGAGGGGGTGTGGGTGGAGCGGCAAAGGAAGGAGGTGAGACGGGAAAATAGAAACGCATGGGAGCAATGGTTGTTGAAGGACTTCCTTAAAGGAGTGGAGGGGTGGGTGGGGAGACTGACCAACAATGCTTAATGATTCAAACGGCCAAACCCCGCATCGAGGTTATGGGAAGGGGGGGTTTGGAGCAAGGAAGACTGATTCATGAGGGCACAAGAGTTCACGCGTCCTCCTCCGCGTCCTCCACCTCCAGCATGTACGCCACTGCTCTTGCCCCCGAGCGGGTATGTGAGAGGTAGAAACGAGAGACGGGGGAAGGGAACGAGGATGGGCACGGGCACAGGGACGGGGACGAGGACGGGGCTGAACTTGAGCATAGCCATGTCCTCCTCCACGTCCTCCACCTCCAGCATGTACGCCACTGCCCTCGCCCCTGAGCGGGTCTGGCAGCGTCTTGGAAAGAGAGGAAGAGGGGGGGGGGGGAAGGGGGGGGAGGGGAGGAGGTGAGAGAGGAGAGACGAAAGAGCAATATTCATCCAAGGCAGGGCCAAACTTGGGCATGAACGCGTAGCGCCAACAGCGCAGCGCAGGTGATTGTAAACCAGCAATAGTGCTGGCCACAACCAGAGCGACAACACCCCCTGCCTGCCAGCCTCCCACGAGTCCCACCTGTTCCTCTGCCTGCCGCTGCCTGTCTCCCAGCTCCACCTCCCTCTGCCTCGCGCTGAACGCCTGCCCTATGGCCTGCCGCCCGATCTCCTGACTCGTCTCCCGAATCTGCACCAGCCACTCGTTGAACTCCTGGTTCACCTGGGAAAGGCAAGGGGATGGCGGTCGGGGGAGGAAAGGGGGGGGAAAGGTGGTCATTCTATGAAGAGAGAGCTGGAGGGCGAAGAGGACCGGGAGGTTGTGGGTGGGTTGGGGGGGCGGGGGGGGGGAAGGGTCAAGAAAACTGCACTCGCCTACTTGTTTATGAGAAGTATTTAACATGTTTCATTGATAAGTCAACTAAAGCACAACGTTCCAGAACAGTTGAGCTTCTAAAACTATCACGCACACAGTACTCGGCGTTCTGCAGCAAGAATTGCGTCCCCCTCCACCCACACGCGCCCTCCCATGGCCCTCCACCCAGCCCTGCACGTCTTTCAAATGTGATCCTACTAGAACCCCTACCTTGCGCTCAATGTGAGCTCTGCACCGCGGAATGCCCCTCTCCACCCACACGTGCAGCGCAGAGGAGGGGATGGTGCGTAGATGGTCACGCTCAATGGCGTCCAGCGTCTTCAAGGCCTGATAGTAGCTGTCCGCTGCTATTGCCTCATTCACCTTCGAAAGTGAGGACGGATAGGCAAGTGAGAAAGGGGAAGGAGAGGAGGGGAGGGTAGGGAGGTGGAAACGGGACAGAGTTTGTACTACGAGACTACAGCTTTCAAAACATGGATGCGTTCTTTCACCTACCCACACACCCATCAGTTCACCCGCATACTCCCCAACCACGCATCCATCCACCCACCCCTTCACGCACCCACCCATCCACCCATGCTACCACATGTATTCACCTTAGCACAGAGGTCCACAACGGTTTTGCATTTCTTTAGGAGCTGCAGGGCGGAGGCGAGGTTGGTCTTGATGGCGTTGTGCTGAATGAGCTCGTCCAGCTTGTGCAGTAGCCCGCTGCCCACCTCCTGCATCTCCGTGTTCTGCATCGCCAGCCCATGCTTCAGCTCGTCGGCATCCACCAGCACGTATCTGACCCAAGGGAAACGAAGAGAGAGGTGGAGTGGACGGCACAGCAGGCAGATGATGGGAAGCGAAGGGGTCTTAAGCAATCCGGTGCAACAGCGCGATCGTCAGGGCTTTGACCTGTATCCTATCAACGGCTAGGATCTCACCTGAGTTCATCGACAGCGTGGATGAACTCCTCGTAGTGCTGCTTGCAGAGCTCCTCAATCTCCACCTCCTTCTTCTTCACGAACGTGCGAAGCTGCCAGGAATCAAGGAGCACAGCGTTTTAGTGAACATGAGTCAGGATGCATTGCCTTGGAAGGCGCTGCAGGGAAATCTCTACCTCCTTCGTAACGGCTTGCTTTCCCGAACGTCTAACAACAGGAGGGGCAACGCCATGAAACAACCGTCACTGCCTTTGCGCAAGTTGCTTGGCTTAATGTTGTGCACCTTGCTCCTCAACGCGTGTGTCTCGCTTTTTCGAAACGCTTTAAAATCAAACAAGAGCGTCAAAGGCTCTTGTTTGCTGAGCATATTTTCTTGACGAATGCTGAGCATATTTTCTTGACCAATGTCATAGGCTCTGCTCCCTAAGGCAACGAGAGTGTGTCTGAGGTTTTCTTAGACCCTGCAATAGATTAAGAGTGTCAATGTCTTCGAGTAGCCTCACCGCCTTCGAGCATGTTTCATGTTTTCTTACATCTTGCTACTCATGACACTAATTGAGGCTTTTCGTAGATGTCTTGACATTAAACACGGGCGTCAATCCCAGGAACTTCCCTTAAAAAAAGGACAGTACTTTCGACGAAGCCATTTTCTCAATCATTCTTTACCGACGACGTTGAAGTATACCGGGAGTCAGGCGAAGTGAAAAGGTGACGAACATTGAGAACGCCTGAAAGAATGCCGAGGGATCAACAAGCAACGACATGTACGGAACCTAGTGCCGAAAGCCTAATCAGGCACGTCCCTAACCTGGTGAAGAAGCGCTTCAGGCTTTCCCATTTCAAAAGCCGGTCGAATAATCGGTCCGACATCTTCGCCGTTGGCGATGACGGACGAAAGCGTCGCCTCGTCGACCACCCACTGGTGCTGCTCCTTCTCCTCTAAGGTCACCCGCTTCCGGCTGGCCAGCCGCGCTAACTGCGCTGCCATGGCGCGCTTCAGGAGTCCTAAGCTTCACGATTTAGCAGGCCTGACAAAAGACCATCTAGGAATAGATGGTAACGTCACGAATTCTTCCTATCTAGGCGTTATCCAATATGGTGGTCAGTCTGCCGGGTCGGCCTCTTGGAGGTTGTCCGCAGAGGAGCTTCCCGAAGTACAGCAGAAGTGTTCCCAACATATCGCTCAAGATTGCTGTTCCAAACAGCACCGAACCGATGTCACTGAACCAGAGAAATAACAAAGATAATCTAGCCAACTACACTCTAGCCAATTACACTCCATCAATTGTACCGGTACACATTTTCCTACGACGTATGCTACCTTTTCAAGCCAGGTCTTAGCAGTTACAGTCATGGCCTACATACACATTCATACCTATTCTTCCTAGGTTATTCCTACAAGCTACGTGTCTACTCTCCCATACTCAAGATTTATCCCTTCCCATGCGTAGCATTCAAAAAGCTTCGTTCGTAAGCCATAGTAGGCACCGTGATGCGCCGAGCATGGCGTATGATAGAAGCAGCGGTGCGAGGACTGGGCGTCGATGGGATGTGTGACTGCTTCCCATCTGCATCTCCTACACTAGCACCGCCATTGCCCTCTTCTCCACTGCCGTTGTCCACACCTCTCTCTCCTCTGCATCCCCTAACTTCTGCTGATTCTCCCATCCCTCCTCTCCTCCCTTCTCCAGTGCCATCACATTCACCCCCGTTCGTACAACCAGCACTAGCTTCCCCACCTACTCCATCATCACACCTATCATAGCCCTCAGTCCCACCTACACTCCCATCCCTCCAGTGCACATGACCACAGTACAATCGGGGCCATAGGTCATCTGGCAGCCTTTTGAATACTGGCTGAGGCGACGCAACAGCCGATGCTGGCATTGTAGGCCGGGAACTCCCAGTGGAGTTCGTCCGAGGAATGACCATTCTTGCCGCTGGTGACGATGGCGACGAGGGTGCTGAAACCGGGGCTTGCACTGTGACCAGTCTTGCCGCTGCCTTTCCTGCTGTTGAACCTGCTGCTGTTACGGCCGTCGGCGGCTTTGGTGACGGGTTGACGTGCGGGACATAGACCAGCACGCCATCCCCGCTATAGTCACGCGTCTCCCACGGCTCCAGTGCAGCCTTCGCCAGCTGGCTCCACATCACTCCGCCGGAACCTTCCCCATACGCGCCACGCCTCGCCCCTTCCGCCCGCCCGCCATCGACCTCCTCTGGAGGAAGACGGCTCGCCACTTCCGCCTGACCGCCATCCCCCTCGGCTAGAGGGACACGGCTCGCCACTTCGGCTTGCTCATCATCCCCCCCCTCCCGAAGCACATGAAAGCTGACAGACGCGTCAGCATCGTCGCCACCATCCGGACTCGCGTCACCCGGCCCCTCCTGCCCCCCTTCGGCCACCCCCCCATCTGCGTCCACCCTCGACGGGGAGACACACGCTAGAATGACCCTCCGCTTCCCGCTTAGCAGAGCCCCGTTGCAGCCCGCGGCGCTTCCCGGCCCTTTCGGATCCAGCGCATCATGTCCTAGCTTACTGCTACTCCTAACGGCAACACCGGGTTGTTCCCTGGCGTCAGCCCCTCCAGCGGCCCAATCACCAAACGTCAAATGTGAGTTGGTGCTACTCTCGGTAACCTCCCCGCCGCCTGCTGGTCCTCGTAGCGCGTCAGGGGGTGGCCCTTTCGCGTGTTTCCCCGGCGGCTCCTTCTGCTCCCCCTCCTGCCGGGGCCCTCTCCGCACGAACCCAACCACGCGGACCCATCCCGCTTTTAGTGTTCTCCGTTCTCCGTACAAGGGGCCGCCGCCGAGAAGCACGCTCAGGAGTCCCCGTAACTTACGAGGACTGCTTTCCCGGTTACAGCTGCCCGCTGCTGCGCTACGACGCTGGCCCATCGGGAGGTCCTGCCTGATAGTAGTACCGTTACAAGCACTACTTGTAGTAGCAGTACAGGTAGGCATGCCACCGCTGGGCTCTTGGGCCGCCGCCGTCAAGAGCGGCTCTTCTGCGCGAAGAGCCGGCGCAGACGCCGTGAATGGCGCGGCTGCGACTGACGATGATGCTTGTTGACAGCGCGATTTGGCGACCCTTTCCGCGGCGCCGTCCTGAGAATTCTCGTTTGCGTGACCGATGCGGCTACAGCGCAGTTGGCGGTCCTGGAAGGCGCAGCTACTAGTTGCAGGGATTCCAAGGCACGCACTGACGACCCCGCAATCTCGGGAGACCCCGCATGTGCTGCTGCTGGGATTGGCCTCCCTGCTGCGGCTTGCCGTTTCCCCGGCGGGACCTGGTAAGCAGTGGGACTCCGACTCGGACGCATCGCAGGCAGTACAACTGTTGGTACTATGGCCAGTGGCGCTGGCCGTGGTAACCGCGGTATGGCCGGATGTAACCACGCTACCGTCCTCGCCGCTAGACGCGTTTTGATTCGCGAACGCACCGCATATTCTGCACGGGACCCGTGGTCTCCACGCCGAACCTTGCATCCCGCGTGGCGTGGACTCCAATGTTAAAGTTATGGGCACTAGCTTCTAGAACGAACGAAACTATTGCTCAATAATTAGTGACTCAACGGCTAGTAAAGAGGCAACTAAACTTCTCATGAGATTTCGATCGATCAAAACTCTACACTGGGGTTTTAGGAGCATGAACTACGGGGGGCAAGCTGCAGCGGCCGAGGAGGCGAGTGAAAATAAGAACAAGCTCCTGGTGACCTAGTACTGTAGTAGTAGGTCTGCTGTGGAACGACAAATTAACTCTGTCTCGAAGGTCTATAAGAGGCTGGACTGCAGACGTTGGACAGCTTCGCGCCCAAGCCAGGTGCTCCAAGCAGCGGGCGGTAGCCAGGCCAACCCCAGAGTTCCGTACAGCGGAACTAAATCGGTTCAAATGCCTGTTCTCAATCTTCACTACTAGCGGAACCAGGTGACGCGTTCTCCCTTTCCATTTCATGTGAGCGTTGACAGATCTCCGCGTTGCAGGGTCTGAGAGTTTGCCTTCCCCTCGCAAATTCTTATTCCGTCCCCCTTACGTCAGAATGTGAGGCTCGACAAAGTTCAAAGATTTCGCGGTTTTGTGCGAAATGTGATTGGTTGGCGTGGGCGGTGGGGGTACCTCGGGCGTGTAGCAGTTGTGCTGCACCAGCAGCAGAACAAGCTTGGCCTAGCCACTCGAGGTTTGGTCGTTTCCGTGGGGAGCACATGGGGGTACAGTACATACGAGTGATGTCGACTGGACGATTTTCCGGCTTCGAAGCGCGATTACTCGAAACCAAAACGCGTTCTGAGGGGGCTACTGTGCACTGCAGTGAGAATTGTTTCTGTCATGCAGTGTACAGCACCTGTTGCCAAACCAGGTCACGAGGGAAAAAAAAGGGCAAATTGTTGAGGGCGGGTTCTAGAGCTCCTGTATGACACGAGTGTCATACGGGAATACCCGAGGTGGATTTTTTTTTGCCTCGGATCTTACGACTCCTGACGGCTGCTTGACTGGAAACACACCGGGGCTGCTAAACCAAAGGTTGAGCCCCTAAATCCCGCGGATCTTCGACCACGGGTCAGCCTCGGGTCAGACCCGAGGTGCAGAAATCACCTAGACGAAAGGCGACGACACTGTTTGGGTTGCCGGTGTTATAACCAGATCGGGATGAGCCTAAGGTCGGACGGACGGCTAAGATGCACACAACCAGCAGGAATTTACTCACTGAACAACCGCTAGAGCCCCGCCATCGGGATTGTGTGGGAACCTTGTACGGTAAGTGAGCGCGTTCAGCTTAAAGCGAGGGTCTCAAGGAGCAAAAAAACAAACCCGAAGGTTTTGGTATTGGGGGGTCTCGAAAATTGCAAGGTGTGGTAAGGGGTGCTGGTTGGGCGCTGTAACTGTTTCGCAAAGTTCGTCAACCCAAAACCAAAACCTTTGGATTTGGTTTCCTGCTTCTTGAGACCTTTGCTTTAAAGCGAGGATCTCAAGAAGCACGAAACCAAATCCAAAATGTTTGGTTTCGGGGTGACGAAATAAGCGAAACAGTAACTGAGGCCTCCAACACCCCCCACCACACCTCGCGATTTTCGCTACCCCCCAAAACCAAACCCTTCGGTTTTGGTTTTGGGGTTGCGGAGCAACCTATTACGATCTATTTTTGCCGATTTTTTTTTCCACTCAAAATTTTGGAAGGAAAACCTTTGCACAATAAAATATGACCTAGAGATTTTTTTTCTATTACTATAACAAGATGCCATGGGTGTTTATTTTATGATTGTAACTATATGAATATATTTTGGAATAATATTTGCATTATATTTGGCTGATTTTTGGTGTACTTTGAAAAATTGGCAGGTCTCTTGTTTGACTGGATTATATCGTTGTGTACGGATCCAATCGAGTCCTGCAGAAAAATTCATGTCATAATTGATGACATGAATAAAAAAGCAAGTGTAATGATGATACGACAGCTTCCCTCCCCAGCACTAGCATGGGGAGGAAGACAGCAAGCTTAGTGTCTGAATGATTAACTGTGACATGGAGCAACGCAATCTGTAAGGTCCAAAAAAAGAACCAAACCTATCAAATCTAGTTCAAGAGACAGAAACTCAAGGAGCTCGCCTGTGAACCTTTTGTGATTTGATAAGCATGCTTTTTTTTTTTAAGAAACAGACGTAGATTGCTAATGGAATGAATTGTGGATCGAGAATGAGCAAACAAGAGCAGCAAGACGCATCGAACCAAACACAAGACGCCAGCAATTATAAGAATATAAAGCTGAAAATAAGATAATGGAACATCCCCACAAATTATAGCTAAACGCCATACGGAGCTCATAAACTTGTTTACAAGAAAACCTGCACAAAATTAAAGTGAATGAAGGTGGATAATGGATAGTATATTAGGCATTGCGTATGGAAAGAAGTGAATAACAATCAGCTAGGGCGAGAATGAATGAGCATGTGAAGTGAACACAAAATGTAAATGTGAAAGGAAAGAGACAAAGAGAGGTAAAGAGAGAAGTTGAAAGAGTGGTAGAGAGAGAGGGAGAGAGAGAGTGTGAGTGAGAGAGAGAGAGAGAGAGAGAGAGAGAGAGAGAGAGAGAGAGAGAGAGAGAGAGAGAGAGAGAGAGAGAGAGAGAGAGAGAGAGAGAGAGAGAAAAAGAGAGAGAGAGAGAGAGAGAGAGAGAGAGAGAGAGAGAGAGAGAGAGAGAGAGAGAGAGAGAGAGAGAGAGAGAGAAGGGGAGAGAGAGATGATAGGAGAGGCTAAGGGGAAAGAAAAAGGGCTTGTGCTTACCGCGTTTCCAAGATGCGAATTTAGGATGGAAATAGGGGAAAAATGTAAGAGCTCGATGAAAAGGAGGGGGAAGGAATCGAGCAGAGGAGGAAAAACGGGTGAGAGGAGGGGTTAGAATGAGTATCGTGCATCTATGCTGAAATGGACCACTGACATTTCTATGGCTAGAGAAATCTATCGTGCATTAGGAGAAATCTATGGTGAAGTTGGGAGAAATCTATCATGCACTAGCTGTTGGAAGAAAGTAGCATCTCAGATTAGGATATAGAGGAAGAGCACAGAAGGTGCGCGAAGAGTACGGCTGAAACAGCTGCTCTCTGAACCCTCGAGCGGACCAGCTGCGTTGGAGCCACGTTTTTTTGCACCTCTGAAGAAACGTTTTTTTCTTTCCGGTCAGAAATTACCCCGTGACACAATAATTGGCGTAATGATGTTTTTTAACGGCAATTACCGGTAGTGTAACTTCAGAATGCGAGTATGTAACGCGTAATGCATCCAGTGGCGAGCTCGGGGGTTTTGCCAGTGCTTGACGAAAACAAAAATCAGTATCCTGTGGTGAGTGTGGCTAGGCGGGTGTCATTGCCACGCTAGATTTCACTTCCGTCTGGCAGTTGCGCGTGACGAGCCTCGCCACTGAAGAAATAAAACAAAAATTGCCAGGTGGCCAGATTCGTTCGCCACAAGTCGTCTACAGTGGGAACAGCCACCACATAATCAAACAGAATCACAACAAATCCCAGCGTCAGGGCATTTGACGGAAAGACGAAAAAAAATCAAACGCGCAAAAAACAGAGGATACATTACTAAAATTTGGCTACAGTGGAACAATAAGGGACCAAACGTTTCAGAGTTTTGTACAAGCAGAAACGAACAGCTCAATCAGCGTTGCACGAATTTGAAACAGTGGCGCAAACTCCGATTCACAAGGTATAACTTAAAGCGCATCAAAATAAAGTAAATAAATATGTACATGAAAGACAACTATGTAACTATTTCTAACTGTAATACATGCAATGACATTGTATGTATTTTTATTAATGCACTGATATGACATACACCATCGATTGAATATGTCACATAGAATATATGAAATAACTATGATATTTTAACAGATACTTTCATATCAAAGCTTGATAATTAGCTTAAGCATATGTATTCTACTCATATATACATATATAGGAACAGCAACCCTAAGACGATTGCGTCGTCTCTTGTCTGCTTCTTGAGATCTTCGCTTAACTCTACATATTATTAGATGGAGAACAATCACATCTCAAACGACAAGAACAAGGATATAGATGTAAAAGTTAATCAAATTGCAAGTTCTCACAAAATGGTTTAGAAGCGTAGCACCCAACCATCAAAGAGTGGATCAAGGCCTCCAATGGCGTTTTACACCATCTCTAGCCCTAGACACATCCTGTTGCAGCTGCTGTTGGTACTCCACCTGCTGCTCCTGCTGCTGATATTCACCATCCCCCACTTGCTCATACAATTTATGGAACTGCTTGTGCTGCTGCTGCCACAAGTGGTAGTAGTACAAATCCTCATCAACATCTTGCCGTTGCTGCTGAGCCTGTGGGCTCTGCTGCTGTTGCCTAATCTCCCACCCGTCTACTTCCTCCCTGCCCTGGTCACCACCCCAGGCCTTCCCCCTCAACCCCCCACCACTACCATTATATCCCCCAGCCATTCCCAGATCCCCAGACCAGCTTCTTTCCAAATCCGAGTACGAACGCCGGAGCTCCCCATTCGAACCATCAGCAGCCGCTTGGCCGTTCCCTTCCCCAGTTGTCCCTGTGCTATCCCCACCACAGCCTGAGTCCACTCCCCTTCTTGCCGCCCACCCAGCAGCACCCCCCAAGCCCGAAGCTGTTGGTGTGGTAGATGCAATTGGGGAGAGCGGCCGCGGGCTGTAGGCTCGGGCAGGGGAGTGTGGCCGGCTGAAGGTTCGACGGCGAGCATTGACAATGACTGATGAAGCCATCCGAGGCTTGGCCGGAGCTGGCCATCCAGGCATGGATGGGAGGCTTGGAAAGTCCAGCGGAGCAGACCTGTTATAGTTGTTAATACTGTTAAGACTGTTCATGTTATGCATGTTATGTAAGCCAGAAGTGTTGTTGCCACTATTGCCTACGTCCGCACCATGCATGCCTGGGTTCGGGCCATGCCCTCTTGCCATGCTCACGCTGCTGCTGCTGACACTGCTGCTTGCCCTCTTGCCGCTGTTGCTGCCGCTGCCGCAATTTGATGGCCCATAGACGTTCCAGTTACTTCCTGGCATTGACTTGGACATATCAGCTTGACTCACGCCCTGCCCGCCCTTCTGGCTGCTGCTGCTGCTGCTGCTGCGGACAAATTGCTGCCCCTCGGTGCTCTCCGTACCCCGACTCTCCTCGCCACTTCCCTCACTACCAGCTTCAGGAATGAACCGCACTGCATCCCTCTCCATCCCACCCTCTGGCTCCTCCACCGCTCTGCACCGAACACCACTCCCTTCGCAGCTGCCGCCACCACCGGCGCTGCTGTTGCTGCTGCAGCAGCTGTTGCTCCTGCTTACGCTGATATCCTCCGTCTCCTCGCCCTCCTCGCTTTCCCCTGGCGAGTCATTCGCAAGCGAGAGACGAGGGGGTCCAAACGAGTCGCGTCTGTGGCTTGGAAGCATGAGCGGAGAAAGCGGCTCATGCCGAGCTGCTGTTGGTCGGATCGGAGCCGAGCTGCTGCCTCGTGCCGAAGCAGCTGTAGGCTTAGAATTAGGCTCAGCAAGAACGGGCGGCTGGGAGGACCGCTTGATCTCGAACGTGCGGTTGAACTCCATTGACCGGCCGTTGACTGGCGTGGACCTTGCAAACTCCATTGACCGGTCAAACCCACCACGCTTCGGGGAGTACTCCAGCTCCATTGAATCTCGATCCATCTCCGCCGTCTGCTGCATCTCCATCGAACGATCGAGAATCAAAGGCCGCTCGCCCGCGATGCCACGGGGTTCGTCCATCAACTCACCGAGCTCCAGCGAGCGACTCAGCTCGAAGGAACGATTAGAGAGCTGCTCGGCCGACAGGGATCGCGGAACGACGCACCCCCCGGCGCCGGGAAAGCACGCCACCCTGCGGCTCCCCGAATAGGCCATTCTCGAACTCCCCGTGGCAGCGGCGGCGGCGGCGGCGGCCGCCGCTGCAGATGCCGCGGCGGCGGCGGCAGCTCCGGTGCCGGAGCTGCAGGCGATCTTGCCGAGGCTGCTGGCTCGGTGCACGGACGGCACGGAGATGTCTTCCAAGGCTGCGAGCAGCAGCGCCGCGGCGTCCTTCGACTCCGTCGCGCGCAGCGCGCCGACCTCCTCCGCCGTGCGGATGAGTGACACGATCGTCTCCTTGGAAACGCCGCGCGGGAGACGCGGGGCGGACGGGAAATGGTCAGAGGCGCCGCTGGCGGCGGCGGCGGCGGTGGCGCCAGAGGCACCTGACACGTCAGCTGGGTCTCTGCTGCTAGTTACGCCTTCTGGGAAATTGGCCGCCGCTGACGTGCCGGCCAATTGCTGGCCAGAACACGTGTCAGCAAGCCGAGCGTCGTTAGAAGGTCTTACCGCCGAGCCGCGCGCCGTTTCCTCTTCCACGGGTTGCCCGTCCTCCTGGTCGATATAGTCACCGTCGTCATCATCACTCTCCCCCACGACCCACCCTCTCCCGCTCGCCCCTGCTTGGCGCAAGCCCGCGCGGAGAAGCTCAACGGGGGAAGCAATCCGCGCGCCCTCTTCCGCGGAGTTTCCGCGCGCCAGCTCCTGGCTCCGCCGCGTGGACGAGACTTGCCCGGAGTTGACCGACGCGCTGCCGCACGACGATCTGGGCCGTCGATTTCGGCGAACGAACATCAGGCAGCAGCACGAGGAGAAGAAGCAGTCCGGCTGGTCACCCCCTCCCTCATATCGCGCGGGCGACCGCCGCTGACTGCGTTGACTCCGTTGACTCGGCTGAATCGGGTTCTTCGCTTTCCACTCCCGTCGCCGGCTCGACCCGTGCACTCGCAGTCTCGCCGCCCCTTTCCGAGCCGGCGCCGCGCGATCGTGGTTCCGCTGCTCCTCCCACTCCTCTGGGTAGACTTGCCCGTTCGGCAGCTGCGGTTGCAGCTGCCCCTGCTGGAGTTGCTGCTGCCCCTGCTGGTGCTGAAACCGCCTGGACGCGTACGTCGGTCCTCCTGGCCCCTCCTGCTGCTGCTGCAGACGCGAAACCGCGGCTTGCGCGCTCGTCGCCATGTCGTTTCCGGGATTAATGGACGAAACGGAATGGGATCGAAGCGGGAGCATCTTGGGCCTGAAGGTTCCGCGTTGCGTGTTCCGTTTCTGGTGGAGGGCGCGAAGGTTGAATTTTCTAGATCGTCATCGACGCTGGAGCTCGCGGAAATTAGGTCGCTAGGCTCCCGATTTTTCAGATAGAAGGCTGTTCCCTGCTGTTTTACCGTGGCCCTCACCGTTTTGGTGCTCAGCAACGATGACAGGAGGGGAAGGGTTTTGCGGAGGAATAATCTCACGAGACGAGAAGGCTGTACTGGACTTTAGAGTCTCTGCGAACAGGAACGGGAACCTGAGGAGAACGAAGAAACGTGCGGCTTGATGGATTACTCAAGATATTGGCGCACTTCCGTACGGGACGAAGGTCAGTAGAACAGGGCTGCTGATTAAGACCACATGCAGCCACTGGTGGCGAAGGGTCTGGATTGACTGACACGAGGGGGCTGAAAATGGGGCCAGAGGTGAAAGGTTTGATCAGATCTCAGCGTTCATTGGGCAGGTGAGAAAGAAGTCTGGAGGGAGGGAGGGGAAAGGGCGCGAAAGGGGCAGGTGGATGGATGAGCGGGCGGGGCAGAGATGGCGCAGCCCAGGCGAATCGGGTTGGTTGGGCTTGGGAAGGAGGTCAATGCAAGTGACAGTCCTCGGGGCGGGCGGGAGGGAGGCGTAAGAAGTGAAGAGAAATGACAGGGGGGCACGCAAATAGCAGGATTGAGGGGCTGGAATGTCGAATCGCAGTTACTGTCTGGACAGTTTGGATTTGGGAATCGAGTCGCGGGCATCGAACCAAAAATGACCAGAGGTGTACACTCGAGGCGCGCTGACGTGGGCCCAACACGTCCCTCCTTCGAGGCTTGCTGGTGGAGAGAACGAGCTTGCTTATGGCGATGGCAGTTGGCCCGCCCCGCTGGTTGGCTTGTAGAAGCTCTTTCGCCTTTGTCACAACTGCGATTAGGGATATGCCATCGGCACCTCCGTGCTGTGCGGCGACTCGAGAACGTGTAGCCAATGTAACCCTGATTTCGATTGCAGCTCCTGACTGTCCAGAGCAGGATAATAGATGTACTCATTATAGAATGTCGAACACTAGTGAATCCATTGCCAAGCATAAAAATGTAAGCAATCTCTCGTCAACATGGTATGTAAAGCAAAGCAAAAATCAAAAGTTCGTACTACGAAACATTGTGTGACTTATTTCGCTGCACCTTAGTAGCTTTACAAGCATAGCCAAGACGTTCTTCCCAACCTTCTAGTATCAGCATGTTCGTCAAAAGCTCATGTACGGGCCAGTGGTGTTTGCCCCAACCACCACTCCCAAGCTCGAATCATCCATTGATCCCACACCACTTCCAACTGCTCTCCTGATCGTCCCCTCTTCCTAGCATTGGCTACTATGAATGGCTGGGGCGCAAAGGATGCTGCTGTCGCCCCGTTCCATGGTGAGCCCTGGCATTCTCCGGTCGCAGTCGAGGCGGAGTGACGCTCCTCTGCTTGGACAACGCGCTCGGGTGAACGTCCTTTCCGTAAGCCGTGCACATGCTGCTGCCACTGTGACCGCTGCTACAGCCACGACCGCCACTGCCAGCACTGTGAGCCCACTCCGACCTGTTATTGTCACCATCGTTGTTGTCATCTGGAAGCAAGGTGACCGAGTCATGGACCTCAAAGCTCTCCCTCCCACCTGCTGCTGCTGCTGCTGCTTCCATGATCTGATTCTGACCATGGCTCCATCCATCACGAATCCAGGCGTCCCGTTGCGAATGGGGATGCACCATCCACGGCATGTGGCTGTTGTAACCAGGTGCCACGTGGCTTGCTGTCATTGGTGGCACCACCCCCCAGGCCAGGCCAGAGTAGGGGTATACTAGTGACTGGTAGGGCGATGGCTGCAAGGGGGAGGGTTGATACGACGACAGAGGGAAGGGAGTGCTACCAGCAGGCACATCACCATTAGAGGTGTGGGAGGTGACGGTGCCTTCATTGCCTGGGCTGCTGTCAGTCCCTGCAGGCGCAGGAGAAGCAGGGGCAGCAGCAGCGCCACCAGTGGCGGCAGCAGCGGTGGCAGCACCGTCCGGGGTGTGGTCTCCAGGGGGCAGTTCCAGCACCAGGTACTGGCGCTGATTGGCAGCCGGCTGACTGCTAGCCTTCTCACAGAGGGTTTGCTGACTGCTACCAGAGGCTGTTGTGGGTGAGTGCGCTGCTGCTGCCTTGCCTGGTGCCAGTGCAGCTGCACGCGCAGCAGCTGTCTGCTGTGCTGCTGCCCTGGAAGCAGCTGCGTGCTTTGAGGTCTTCAGGCACGACTTGCGCGGCTGCTTCTGCTGCTGCTGCTGCTGCTGCTGCTGCTGCTGCTGCTGCTGCTGCTGCTGCTGCTGCTGCTGATTGGACTGCTGCGCATGCCGCGGAGGCTGCTCTGGTGGTTGCTGATCCAAGTGGCTGGACCCAGAGGCAGCAGCAGCCGCCACTGCATCAGCAGCAGAGGCTGCATTGATTATCATTGGCTGTAGTAGCGCCTGACTTGCCTGCTGGTTACCACTGTAGGCGTGGTTGCAATAGTAACCATGCAGGTAAGCATATGGCTGGTGGAAAGGCATGGGAAATGGCTGCAGCTGGTACTGCTGTTGGTACTGCTGCTGCTGCTGCTGCTGCTGGGGTGCGGAGGCCAGTGCACCGAGAGAGTACACTCGTGGAGGGAAGGAGGTGTGGGAGGGGTGGGAGGGGTGGGAGTGGGTGGGGTAGTGAGGCCAGTGCACTTGAGACCCTTCAGCAGCAGCACTGCTTCTGCCGTCCCGCCCCATGCCATCACCGATAGCAGTGAGGGAACAGACTCGAGGCGGAAAGGCAGCTGCAGCAGATGCACGGAATGGGTAGGAGGGAGAGGCAAGTGGAGCATAACTCCCAGAGCTGGCAGCAGCTGAAGCAGCAGCTGAGCCCGAATCAGGTGGATGCTGGTTCGGTTCCGACCCTGCTGCCATAGCTGCATCAGCAGCAGCAGCAGAGAGGCTCGGATCCGAGCCTGGGAAGAAGAGGTTCGGAGCTTGCAGGGGGGCACTGATGGCACCCAGAGAGATTGCTCGAGGAGGAAAGGCAGACGCTGAGGGGTTGGCAGTGGTGGGATACGGTGTGAAGGGAGAAGGAAGGAAGGAGTATGGCTGAGAGGGAGGGTAGTGCCGGTACCATGGGTGTGTGCTCTCCTGTGTAACAGGGTTACCAGTTGTGTCCGGTGGTGGGGGGAAGGGAGGGAGGGAGTGCAGCATTTGGGAGTCAGCAGCGGCTAGGAAACGAGCCACAGCAGCGGCGGCGGCAGCAGCGGTAGCATTGGCGGCGTGGGGGGGGATGGAGGCAGAGAGAGAGCGAGAGACGTCACGCGAGGGCAGGTGGCAACCCGACTGTGTGGCTGTAGGCTCTGGTGCGACTATTGGTGGGTAAACAGCCAGTGCTGGTTGCTGTGGTGGTGGTGGTGGTGGTGGTGGTGGAGGAACAGCACTATCCACTGCTGCTGCTGCTGCTGATGGTGGTTCTGCTGCTGCTGCTGCTGCTGCCGCTGACGGTGCTGCTGCTGCTGCTGCTGCTGCTGATGGTGCTGCTGGCTCTGCTGCTACTGCTGTCGGAGCTGCATGCAATGGTGCAGCATGCAATGGCGCTTTACCATGCCCATTCCCCTCCTCCCCTCTCCTCTCCTCATCATAGCTCCAATTAGCGCCGCACCCAGTCTTCCTGCACGCGTGACTACGGCCCGTGCCTGCTCGCCCTTTCTTCTCCTTTCCCACTGCACTGCCTTTCTTCGCCTCTTTCCGCCCACCTTTCCCCGCCTTGCTTCTCCCCTTCCCCCCCCCTCCCCCTTTCATCCCTGCCTCATCTGCATCTGCCCCCCCCCCGCCTCCCCTCCTCCCCTCCCTCTCTCCCCACCTTGCATCGTATCGCTGTCCAGTGCAGTCCAGCCAACTGCTCCAGCCGTCTCTGCAGCTAATTCTGCTGCTGACTGTGCTGCTGACTGTGCTGCTGAGTGTGCTGTGGATTGTGCTGCTGGCGTCTCCTGCATAGGACCAGCAGCAGCAGCAAGTGTGGCAGCCGCAGCGGCAGGAAGGGCGGGGGCAGGACTGCTGCGAGCAGCTGCAGTGTCAGTGGTAGCTCCAGCGGCGGCTGCTGCATTAGAGACCGCTTTACTAGCACCAGCAGTTCCAGCCCCAGCAACATCAGCAGCAGCAGCAGCGGGAGCAGCAGCAGCAGCCGCAGCAGAAGAAGAGGCAGCAACTTCCACAGCAGCAGCAGCAGCAGCAGCAGCAGCCCTGGCTTCAGCTGTGGCGGCCACTCTCTGCGCCACCACCTTGCGATGTGCGTTCCGAATAACCGACGACACCAGCCTCGGCCGAACCGCCGGTGGGTTTGGCACGAACGGACCAAGGCTTGGCGATGGAGGTTCGGTGGGGGGAGTAAGCACAGGCACGGCAGGGGGAGAAGTGGAGGGGAGGGGAGGGGAAGAGGGTGCGGTGGAGGAGGTTGGGGGGGAGAGGGAATGGGGTGGTGCTAGCGCTGATGTTGCCGTGTCCGCCGCATCGGACCCCGAGACCGTTACGGAAGGCTGTGAGTCAAAGGACAGGTAGGAAGAGGTGAATGAGTGCTCCTGATGCACTCTCACCTCGCCCTCCCCCGCTCCTTGGCTTCCCAGCACCCCTCCCAGCTCCCCTCCCAGCACCCCTCCCAGCATCCCTCCTTCCCTCCCTCCCTGCTCTCCCAGTAAACTCGGATTTGAGTGCTGCAAGCCCCAGTCCAGCCCCCTCTCCTCCCCACCCCTCTCAGTCGTCTCCTCCCGCTGCTCCTCCTCTCGCCGCGCTCTCACCAGCTCCGCCCCTCCCCCCTCCCCTTCAGCCCCATCCTCCTCCCATGCCTCCGCTCCCCGCCTCTCCACCCACTCTGCCACCCTCGCCTTCCACGACGCCTCCTCCTCTCTCGCCCGCCACACGCCAAGAGACTCCTCAAACCCCAACTGCCTCTCCTCAAACCCCAAATCCCTATCCTCAAACCCTGTCTCTCTCTCCTCCCCCACTGTGTCCTCTCCTGCCTCCCCCCATTGCTCCAGTTTACCCCCGTCCCAGCCTGTCCCAGTTCCACCCGTCCTCCATCCTTCCAACCCCTCCCGGCCTTCCCTCACAGCAGCCCTTTTCCCTCCCTCTCTCCCTCCCTCTCCCCCTCCCTTCCCCCCTCCCTCCCCCCTCCCTCTCCCCCTCCCTCTCCCCCTCCCTCTCCCCTTTTCTCCGCTGCTCCCAGTCTCCCCTCTGCGCCAGCCGCCCATGGCACACCTTCCTCCCTCTCCCTCTCCCCCTCTCCCCCTCTTACCATCACCGCTCCTGTCCATCCCGCTGCTGCTTCTGCTGCTTCTTCCACTTCTCTGCCCCTCCCTTCTCCTCTCCCCGGTTGCCCTTCCCCCCCCCTCCCCCCGCGTCCCAGTCCCCCTCCCCCTCGCCCTCCTCCTCCCGCACCTCCTCCAGCAGCCGAATCATTCGCGCTCGCCGCCTGGGCGTCATGCCGCCCAGCCCCCCGCCGCACGCACCACCGCTACCAGCACCAGCAGTGCCCGCAGCAGCAGCAGCAGCACAACCCGAGGGGCTGCTATTACCACTGGTGGCACCAGCACCGGTTGTACCCATTAGCCCCTGCCAGAGCTTCTTAACGGGTGACGAGTCGTCCTCAAACGCGTCTATTTCCTCCTCCCCCTCCCCTCCTTCGTCCCTCCGTTTCTCCCCTTCCCCCCGCCCGCCCATCCCCCCCCTTTCTTCCCCCGCGCCTTCTTCCGTGCCCCCTTCCCCGCATTCTTCCGCTTCCCTCATCCCCCTTCTGCTCCGCCCGTCGCTCACGCTACTGCAATCCTCGCTAGTAGCACTCCCACTACTATCGCTCTCGCTGCCACAGCACCTCTCTTCCGCCTCTAACCCCCCGAGACCCCCCTCCACCCCGCCGCTCCCCTGCTCTTCCGCCTTTCCCTGCGCGGATGCCGACACCTGCCCCCGCGCCTCCCCGTGCGCCTCTCCTTGCGCCTCCCCTTCGTGTTCTCCGCCCTCAGGGGAGCCTTGGCGCATCACTTTCCGCCAATAGTTCCCCCCGCCGCTCATCCCGCCACCTGGATCCCCCTCATCCCCGTTCTGCCTCTCCCCCCCATCCTCGTGCTCCGATAAACGGCCAGTCTCGTCCCCTATAGCGAGTCTCACTGGACTGAGCTCTCTGCTCTTGCCGTTATTTCCGCCCCCATACCGAAGCTGCTGCTGCTGCTGCTGCCGCCGCTGCTGCTGTCTCTCTTTCCGCTCTCTCAACAATCGAATCATCTCCGCTTCCTCTCCCCGTCTCCCTCCCTCCCCCGCTCGCGCATCTTCCCTTCGCCCCTCTTCCCTTGCCACCTCTTCCTCCCCCGCGCCCCCTTTCCCCTCCCCCTCCCTCCCCACACCCTCCCCCTCCATTCCTTCCCCATCCATTCCTCCCCGCACCTGCCGCCGCCAGATGCGCGCGGCGAGCTCCGCCTTCGCCCCGGCGAACATAATCCCGCTGTCGCTCACGTCGTCGTCGTCTGACGAGTCCCCCGCCGCATCTTCCGCCGCGTTTCCCGCTCGGGGCCCGTGGTACCTCAACCACCGCTCGCTCCGCTCCCCCACCCACCCGTCCAGCCCCCCCGCTCCCCCTCCGCTACTCCCGCTTCCCCCGCCGCTTCCGCTGCCGCCGCTGCTGCCGCTTGCACGAGCAGCTGCCACGTGGCTTCCGCTGGCTCCGCCCGCGGCTTGGCTGCCGCTGCCGCGCGCGCGACGTCCGGCGGGGCTGCCGCTGCCGAGCCTGGGGACGGGCAGCCACGGCGGGGCTCCTTCCCCGTATTGCGCGGATCGTTCCCCCTGCTGCGCCATCCCTTCCGCATGCGCGGGCCTGCGGAGGACTGCTGCTGCGCTATCCGGTTCCGCCAGTCGCACGTTGTCGCACAAGTCGTCGTCGACGACGGCGTCCATGCAGGGAACGCCGCACAGGAATCGCATGCGACTGCGACGGGGGGCCCGCTTCGCAGAGCTGAAGGAGGGAAGGTTAAGGCGGGCAGGTGAAAATACAACTTAAATATGGAAATAGTGAGAAAGGGAGAGAGCAAATGGTATAGAAGGGGCAGCGGAAAGGACGAGTCCAGCGAAATTCTAAGGGCGTGTCCCAAGAGGACGTCTCGCGTACAGTTTGCACAGGTTCAGTAAGGTGCCCCAAGTTTCAAAGTGGTGGAGCAGAAATACCGTTTTCTACCGTGCTGGAACCTACAACACCGCATTCGGTGTATGCGGGAGGTACTCTTGGGACACGCCATAAAGCGTCGAAAGCGCGTGCGATTACCTCGTTTGCTCCTTCGGATCGATGTGGTGCACCTTGTGCGACGACTGACCCGCAGGCGACACCATCGCCTGTCGCACGGCGAAACGGGAGTGGGGAAGGGATGTGAGAAGGCAAGGGAGTTACGGGTGGTCCCTGTGAGATTGGCGTATGGACGACCGTCTTGTGTGCGACACTATCGACAAGCCGGCGGGCCGTGTGCGACTATATAGACGCATAAGCTCGTGACAATATAAGCGTGCCTAAACATGTCCGAGCCGGCGAGAATCAGCGACGGGCGTGCGACGGCAGCGAGCTAACCTGGATCTTCCATGCCATGTCGCTCAGTCGCCCACGCTCTGCCCGCCCTGCGGCGACTTCCCGTGTACGCCCCTTTTTTCGCCGCGACGTCCGCAATCCCCCACCAGCTGAGGACGTCTACCTAGATTCTTTAATCTGCTTTGGCCGAACATGAAGTGGCGGGGGTCAGAGCCCTGAAGCAGGGAGCCATGTATCGGAGCTAGGCGCTAGGCGGAGGAACGGGGATTGCTGAGAATGAGGATGGACGTGAGTGAGCGCGAGCATCTGGGTCTTAAGACTTGTAAGACTCGTTGTGAGGCGCCTCGAAACTAGACTCGTGGACTTCCCGAGGAATGAACCGCTTGCGAGAGAAACCTAGGAGTTATTCAGCGACGGCAAGAGCACGTATGTCACGTGAACTATGCTCGCCAATGCAACACTGGGGCACGCGTGGGTTTGACCATGGGCAGTCGGCAGTTGCGATTAGAGGCATGAGATAGTACGGCCGATAATCGAAGGCTGATCTTGGGGACTGTTGCTCGAGAGCACTGTGCACTGGCAGGAAACCGCACCTGCTACGCCTACTGGCGGTTATCACAGAGACGACCCCGTCGGGTGTCGCTCTACCTGCCTCAGCTTAGCGCTAGCGCTGCTCTGCTCTCCCCCCCTGCCTAACCGCGCGTGCCTGTCCCCAACCTCCGACTGCGCTTGACAAATTTCGGTACTCTGGTAGGTCCTCGGGAATCGGCATTCTTGTGTGCACTGTGCACGCTCTACAGAAAAGGCCCAGTCCCCCGCCACGTAAGCGTCGCCTTCGTACGGAGCCTGCTTGTACCTAAACAGTTTCGCTGCGCGCACCGTGTAATCGCGCAGCTGCTCGTCTCGTCTCGTCGAACCAGCGCATGGATAGACTTGACTAGACATCCCTCGCATGGGCTTTCGGGAGGTGCGCTTGTCGTGGCGGCACCAGTTGTGTTGTGTCGTGATTGGTACTACTACTCACGCCAGGGCATGAGCTTCAAGAATAACACCCATAGGTTTGGGAAGTGGGGGCGCAGTAATATCAGGACGCGGAACATTGCGTCCGGTTTGCAGGATCACGCTCCGAACCTCGTGAAGTACCGTGTTATACAACGCTTAAAATGTTTTGTACCGCATCTTGAAACCCATCATAACGAACCGGTCCGCGATCGATTTCGGCAAAACAGACGCAATGTACCGCGTCCCAGCGTCAGGTCCAGTGTCTGGTCTGGGTTCCCTTAGCAATGTGCGATGTGGGATGTGATGTGTCCCCACGATCCGTCGTTGGTTCGGAGCGGTTCGGGTTGGCTCGGGGTGTTCATAAAATCTCCGTTTCGTGCGGTGGGCTTTTTGCGACAGCTTGGGTGTTACCGTGCCAGTCATATCTTAGTGGTTGGCGAAACTTTCCGCTGTCGAAGAAGGTCAAGTGGGGAAGCGAAACTAGTTTCGCCGAGCGATCTTGGAGCCACGTTGGAGTGATGCGAGGCATTTCGCGGCGTTTCGTTGGTGTCACAACGCATGCTGCGAGACAGCTAAAGTTCGCCACAGACCTCTTACGCGTGGGATGGCCATATTTCATAGATTCAGCTAAATGTGATGCGCTATAAGCTTATCTTACGTGACTTACATGTGAAATCAATTTCAAGTGACGCAAATGTCACTTAGAGGCACACGAAAAATAACGAATCTTCCAAACCAGTGGTTCTTCACATGCAACACCCGTTGCATTCGCATCCTCTTCGAATAGTCCTCGTACCCATTTGTGGGAGGATTTGTTTCTAACCTATCCTATCCTTTTTTGTACACGCATGTTCTCCCTGCTCTGCATTCCCCTCCCCATGCCGTTGATGTTGCCCTCCCGCTTCTCCATTCAGCAAACTTTCTGAAGCTGGCTCTTGGCTATAGATTACCCCATTGTCCCTTCCACACCCCTGCTGTAACAGCTGAACCTCTTCCTCTTGCCTCATCAGTCCCTCCTTCTCACATTCCCGCTCGCCCTTCTCCCCGTCCTCCTGCTCCTGTCGCTGCTGCTGCTGCTGATTTTTCCACTGCAAGTGTGCTCCCCCATGCTGCTCGTCACATACACCTTCCCCACAACCATCCTCCCTCATGGCAAACTCCTCCCGACCACCCTGTATAAGCTCACAACCCTCCATGGCCACACCACAACCCCCTCGCTGCACCTGCTGTCCCTCCTCCTCCTGCGCCTGCTGCACCCACTGCATGGCTAGCCTCCCATCTGTGTGCGCTGACTCACCCCGCTCACCACACTCGCTGCTCTCGTCACACTGACCCGCTGGCACCTGCTCTGCCTGTGTTGGATGTGCCACGTCAGCCTGCACTGCCTGCCCCTGTGCTGCTTGTGTTCCCTGCCCCCGCTCCGCCTGTGCCGCCTGCCCCAGCTCCGCCTGCCCCGGCTCTGCCTGTGTTGGCTGCAGCAGCACGTAGCGGCGGCAGAGCGGGCAGGAGCAGCGCGTGCGCAGCCACTCCCCGATGCACGACACGTGGAAGTAGTGGCTGCAGGCGGGCAGCTTTCGCAGACTCTCCTGTTCGTCGTAGTCCGCCAGACACACCGCACAGCTGGAGGGAAGGGGGGGGGGGCGGGGTGGGGGAGGGGGAGGGGGAGAGATGAGACGACACGCGGAAGTATTTGCTGCAGGCCGGCAGCCTGCGCAGACTCTCCTGCTCGTCGTAGTCTGCCAGACACACAGCACAGCTGGAGGGAAGGGCGATACCAACATTTGAGATGGGGATGGGAGACAACGGAGGGGTGAGATGAGAAGAGAGGGCACGAAACAATAGGTGAAAGAGAGGAGGAAGACATCGCGTAGAAGGAGACACAAGAAACGAAACACCTGAGGCAAGTCGGAAGAACATGAGGCACTCACTGCGCGTCATCGGAGGACTCGAAGAGGTCGTCTCTGAACTTGACGAGGGGAAACGTCTCCACCAACGCGCGGTCCACGCCTGTCGGCACTGCCTCCACGTGCTGGGGAGAGGGGGGAGGGAGAGGTGCAGGGGGGGAGGGGAGCATGGTGTGACATGGTATCAGAGATACAGGGGGTAGAGGAAATATCTCCACTAGCACGCGGTCCACCCCCGTTGGCACTGCCTGCACGCCCGCTGGCACTGCCTGCACGCCCGCTGGCACTGCCTGCACGCCCGCTAGCACTGCCTGCACCCCCGCTGGCACTGCCTCCACGTGCTGGGGAGGAGAGGGGGGAGAGGGGGGGGGGTGGGGTAGGAGAGGAGGGGACAAGGGGAGGCCAGAGAAGAGGAGGGGAGAGGGGAGGAGGAGAGGAGGGGAGATTACCAAGAGACACATGGTATCAAGACAGAGGGCATAGGTTGGCTCAGAAGTCAATCCGTGCGGTGCAGTGCAGTGCAGTGCAGTGCAGAGAGGAACAAGACTGGCTGGGCGCACAATCAATCAGGACAGTAAAAAACGGCCAGTCTCTATACACATCCTGCCCACGTCAGCACTCACCCTGTCCATGTCACCGAACGCAAAGAGCTCCACGTCAGCGGTGGCGGGGGGCGGGCGGCGGATGACGCAGCGCAGCACGACGACTATGAGGACCAGTAGCAGCAATGCGAGCACGCCGTAGACGATGATGATGTAGGGCGAGTCCAGGAAGCTGGTGGTTTCTGAGGGAAGTGGGGCAGAGAGACGGGGGAGGGTGGGGGGGGGAGGTCCGGGGTGGGGTTTAAGGGCAAGCAGAGAGCAGCAGCAGCGCCAGGACCCCGTAGATGATGATGATGTAGGGCGAGCCCAGGAAGCTGGTGGCGTCTGAGGGAGAGAGGGGCAGGGAGGAGAAGGGGGAAGGGGATGGGGGTTGGGAAAGAAGATGATGCGGCGAAGCACGACGACTACGAGGACCAGCAGCAGCAGTGTGAGGATGATGATGATGATGAGGATGACGAGGAGGAGGAGGAGGAGGAGGAGGAGGAGGAGGAGGAGGAGGAGGAGGAGGAGGAGGAGGAGGAGGAGGAGGAGGAGGAGGAGGAGGAGGAGGAGGAGGAGGAGGAGGAGGAGGAGGAGGAGGAGGAGGAGGAGGAGGAGGAGGAGGAGGAGGAGGAGGAGGAGGAGGAGGAGGAGGAGGAGGAGGAGGAGGAGGAGGAGGAGGAGGAGGAGGATGATGATGATGATGATGATGATGATGATGATGATGATGTTGTTGTTGTAGGGCGAGTCCAGGAAGCTGGTGGCGTCTGTGAGCGAAAAGAGGGGGGAGAGGGGGATGAGGCGGATGAGGGGGATGAGGGGGAAGAGGGGGATGAGGGGGAAGAGGGGGATGAGGGGGATGAGGGGGATGAGGGGGATGAGGGGGATGAGGGGGATGAGGGGGATGAGGGGGATGAGGGGGATGAGGGGGATGAGGGGGATGAGGGGGAAGAGGGGGAAGAGGGGGATGAGGGGGATGAGGGGGATGAGGGGGATGAGGGGGATGAGGGGGATGAGGGGGATGAGGGGGATGAGGGGGATGAGGGGGATGAGGGGGATGAGGGGGATGAGGGGGATGAGGGGGATGAGGGGGATGAGGGGGATGAGGGGGATGAGGGGATGAGGGGGATGAGGGGGATGAGGGGGATGAGGGGGGATGAGGGGGATGAGGGGGATGAGGGGGATGAGGGGGATGAGGGGGATGAGGGGGATGAGGGGGATGAGGGGGATGAGGGGGATGAGGGGGATGAGGGGGATGAGGGGGAAGAGGGGGATGAGGGGGATGAGGGGGATGAGGGGATGAGGGGATGAGGGGGATGAGGGGGATGAGGGGGATGAGGGGGATGAGGGGGATGAGGGGGATGAGGGGGATGAGGGGGATGAGGGGGATGAGGGGGATGAGGGGGATGAGGGGGATGAGGGGGATGAGGGGGATGAGGGGGATGAGGGGGATGAGGGGGATGAGGGGGATGAGGGGGATGAGGGGATGAGGGGGATGAGGGGGATGAGGGGATGAGGGGGATGAGGGGGATGAGGGGGATGAGGGGGATGAGGGGGATGAGGGGATGAGGGGGATGAGGGGGATGAGGGGGATGAGGGGGATGAGGGGGATGAGGGGGATGAGGGGATGAGGGGGATGAGGGGGATGAGGGGGATGAGGGGGATGAGGGGGATGAGGGAGATGAGGGGGATGAGGGGATGAGGGGGATGAGGGGGATGAGGGGGATGAGGGGGATGAGAGGGATGAGGGAGATGAGGGGGATGAGGGGGATGAGGGGGATGAGGGGGATGAGGGGGATGAGGGGGATGAGGGGGATGAGGGGGATGAGGGGGAGAGGGGGATGAGGGGATGAGGGGGATGAGGGGGATGAGGGGGATGAGGGGGATGAGGGGGATGAGGGGGATGAGGGGGATGAGGGGGATGAGGGGGATGAGGGGGATGAGGGGATGAGGGGGATGAGGGGGATGAGGGGGATGAGGGGGATGAGGGGGATGAGGGGGATGAGGGGATGAGGGGATGAGGGGGATGAGGGGGATGAGGGGATGAGGGGGATGAGGGGATGAGGGGGATGAGGGGGATGAGGGGGATGAGGGGATGAGGGGGATGAGGGGGATGAGGGGGATGAGGGGGAAGAGGGGGATGAGGGGGATGAGGGGGATGAGGGGGATGAGGGGGATGAGGGGGATGAGGGGGATGAGGGGGATGAGGGGGATGAGGGGATGAGGGGGATGAGGGGGATGAGGGGGATGAGGGGGATGAGGGGGATGAGGGGATGAGGGGGATGAGGGGGATGAGGGGATGAGGGGGATGAGGGGATGAGGGGGATGAGGGGGATGAGGGGGATGAGGGGATGAGGGGGATGAGGGGGATGAGGGGGATGAGGGGGATGAGGGGGATGAGGGGGATGAGGGGGATGAGGGGGATGAGGGGGATGAGGGGGGATGAGGGGGATGAGGGGATGAGGGGGATGAGGGGGATGAGGGGGATGAGGGGGATGAGGGGGATGAGGGAGATGAGGGGGATGAGGGGGATGAGGGGGATGAGGGGGATGAGGGGGATGAGGGGGATGAGAGGGATGAGGGAGATGAGGGGGATGAGGGGGATGAGGGGGATGAGGGGGATGAGGGGGATGAGGGGGATGAGGGGGATGAGGGGGATGAGGGGGATGAGGGGGATGAGGGGGATGAGGGGGATGAGGGGGATGAGGGGGATGAGGGGATGAGGGGGATGAGGGGGATGAGGGGATGAGGGGGATGAGGGGGATGAGGGGGATGAGGGGGATGAGGGAGATGAGGGGGATGAGGATGAACAGCAGGAGAAAACGAGGATGCTGTGGATTGTGATGATAATGTAGCGCGAGTCGAGGAAGCTGGGGGGGAGAAATTGAGGGATATGAGAGAGGATGGTAGGGCGGGAAACGAGGGGTGAGGGTAAGGGGAGAGGAGGAGGAGAGCGAGGATGCCGTAGATCATGATAATGGGGGATTGGATGCATGGGAGGTTGTACGCATGGGGGGATGTACGAATGGGGGAATGTATCATGTATGGCCCCTGCATAGCTACTGAGCTGCACCTATATACGTTTTGCACCCACCCTTGTATCGGAACTCGAGCTCGAACTCGCAGTCCTGGTGCACGTAGTAGTTGAGGTTGAAGATGCCAAAGGTGTACGGCCCCTGCAGCGACGAGTTCACCACGTCAAACAGCGACACCAGCGTGTCGTTCGTCACGCGCACCGTGAACCGGTAGTCGTTATCCAGTAAAGAGGGCACCGCGCCCTGTCTGGCCACTAGACTAGCTTGACCTCCTTTCCGTGTGAAGCTGGAAGCACATGGAGATGGAGGGGAGAAGGCGGGTGGGCACATGGGATGGCAAGGGAGGAGCGAGACAAGGATGCTGTTGGTCACGCGCACCGCGAACCGGCAGTCGTTCTCCAGCAGGGAGGGCAGCAGCACGTCTTGGTGAGCCACTAGACTGCCTTGACCTCCCTTCCTTGTAAACGGGGCAGGTCGTGCGGCGCCTCAAAACTAGTGAGCCACTAGACTGGCTTGACCTCCCTTCCTTGAGAATCTGGGGGAGTGGGGTAAACGGGGCAGGGAGGGGGACGTCAGCTGGTCGTTGGTCACGCACACCCGGAACCAGTACCAGGTCACGGCAACTCTCAGTTGGTAAACGGTGCCCCCTATGGGTGAAGCTGAGGGGACGCAGCGTGGCAGAGAGATTGGGAGGGGGGAGGCCGGGGGGGTGCGCATTGGTCATAGATGGCCGGTGACAGTGCAAAGCCCCTGATGCATCTGACGTACCACAGATCTGCGGCACTAAACCCAAAGGCTCTGTTGTGCGCACCTGAGGAATCCCCTGAGGACTCACCTGATGACGATCTGTCGGTTGGTGTTGGGGTCGAACGTGAACTGCACGTACGTCCAGTGGCCCGGCGCCAGCACCCCCTTCATTGGCTCATTGATCCCCGCTGTCTGGAGCCCTCCCTGGCAAAAAATACCCGCCGAATCCGGGTTACACACGCACTGCGTGGCCGCCTCCCCCTCCACCCCCACATCCCCAAGCGCCTGGCAGAACCCCGACGGCCAACCACAGTCCCAGGGGCACACCCCGCGGCCCTCGTTCCCCACGGCGAGCTTGTAGCTCAGGCGGAAGGTGCCCGTCTCCCTCAAATCCACGTCATTGTTCAGGACCGCCACCAGCACGGTGCCCGGTTCAGTGCGGTTCCACACGATTTGGTGGCGATCGAGGCGCTGGCGGAAGGAGTCCATGTCAGCAAAGTCGTTGAAGTCAAAGACGGTGGGCATGCCGAAGGGGAGAAAGCCCTGCTCCTGGCGCTTGGCGAACAGCACCAGGTCGCCCGCTGACCGCTCCATTTGGAGGAGCAGCTTCGTTTGAGGTTGGGTGACCTGCGGGGGAGGAGGAGATGGGAGGGAGAGGGGGGAAGCAGGGGAAGCAGGGGAAGCAGGGGGGCGGTTGACGATGGCAAGGGAGCAAGATGGGTGGGGCAAGGGGCGGTTGAGGCGCTGGCGGAAGGAGTCCATGTCGGTGGGCATGCCGAAGGGGAGAAAGCCCTGCTCCTGGCGTTTTGCGAAGAGCACCAGGTCGCCCGCGGATCGTTCCATTTGGAGGAGAAGCTTGGTCTGCGGCTGGTTGACCTGCAGGGTGCAGGAGAGGGCGAGCAGGTGAGGGCGAGCAGGTGAGGGCGAGCAGGTGAGGGCGAGCAGGTGAGGGGGTGCAGGTGAGGGGAGCAGGTGAGGGGGAGCAGGTGAGGGCGAGCAGGTGAGGGTGAGGGGAGCAGGTAAGGGTGAACGGGAGCAGGTGAAGGGGGGCAGGAGAGGGGGAGCAGGAAGGCGATGCTTTGCAAGAGGCCGCAAATGGCAGGGAAGGTATAATTGCACACCTGGATTTGGAAGAAGGCCCACTGCCCCGGAGCGAGGGTCTGCACGCCCGACTGGATCTCGTGGACCACTGAGACCAGGGGGGAAGGGGGAGAAGGGGAGACGGGGTGGAGGGGTGGAAGGGAGAAGGGGTGAGGTTCGGGAAGGGTGTTTTGAACGTTCAGAAATACTGGTGGGATGCGAGGGGGCGGTGGGAGAGGAGGAGGGGGTACTGCGGCAATGAGCTTCTCGGAATAAGCACAACTGGCACAACTGGCACAACTGGCACCACTGGCACAACTGGCACCACTCCCACAGCGCTCAACATCAGCGCTCGCAGTACCGCCCCATTCCTGGAAGGACTGCCGCATCCCTCCCTGCCCGCATCCTCCCCTGCCCGCACCCCTCCCTGCCCGCATCCCCCCCTGCCCGCACCCCTCCCTGCCCGCATCCCCCCCTGCCCGCATCCCTCCCTGCCCGCATCCCCCCCTGCCCGCATCCCTCCCTGCCCGCATTGCCCCCGACCCAACCCCCCCTGCTGCCGCCTTAGCATTCGCCATCCTCTTGACTCACCATCAGCACATGCAGTCCCGCCCCACCCCTTCGGGCACTGGCACACGCCCCCCTGCCCACACCCTCCCTGCCCGCATTGCCCCCGACCCATACCCTGCATCACCCCGTGCCAAGACCCACCATCAGCGCACGCAGTGCCGCCCCACCCCTTGGGGCACTGGCACACGCCCCCCTGCCCGCACTGGCCCCGCCCGCTGCAGTTGAGCGGACACCCCCTGCCCTCTGGGGGGAGCGGATTGAGGAAGAACGGGGGAAGGGGAAGCAGGGGAACGGGGGAAGGGGGAATGAGGGATTGGGGAAGCTGTGCCGCCCGCACTGCCCGCGCCCACTGCAGTTCAGCTTACACCCCCTGCCCTCTGCAGTGACAGGCGCAACACAACACGGATCGGCGGGGGAAGGGGGAAAGACTTGCGCTCAGTGACCAAGTGTGACAGGTGAGATCTGGGTGTCCGCCGTCCCATGCTCCCTTGCTCATCCCTTGCTGACTCACCGGAGCAGAGGCCGCGTCTCCTGCCTGCACTCACCGGAGCAGAAGGCGCTCACCGGAGCAGAGGCGGCGTCCCCTGCCGGCACTCACGGGAGCAGAAGGCGCGGATGGAGAAGCCGAGGTCCTGCCCCTCCGCGATGTACGAGTCGCTGAAGATACCCACTATCAGCTCCGTCGCGTTAACGGACCCGTTTGCAACGGGGACGGCCTCGGGCACACTCACTAGCTGGTACGGCTGCCCTGACCGGAAGTCTGCCCAGGGGGGATAAGGCGGGAGGTGGATGCGGAAGGAATGGCAGCAAGGAGAGCGTTTGAGTGCGGTTGTGAGGTGTGTAAGTAGAATACACCAGAAAGAAGAGATATGGAACATAGAATCTGGCCCTACGCGACACAAGGAGGCCCCTTACTGGGGTAGTCTATGCTGGTGTGGTCGTCCAGGCGATACTGCAGCGTGTTGGTAACCAGCACGGTGGGCACTTCGCCAGCGCTGTTGAGCATGAGCATGGGCAAGTAGAACACGGACGTGTCGTTGCCCGGAGCAAACAGCCCCCATATTTCCACATTCACATAACGCTGCTGCTGCCCCCCCCCTGCATTTGCGTCCCCGCTCCACCCAACCCCCGTGTTCCACCCTCCCCCGGTCCCTGGCCCTGTATTCCCCCCTGCCCCTGTGTCCCCCCCTGCATTCCACCAGCCCCCGGTCCCTGCTCCTGACCCGTCTCCGCCTCCTGCGGCGACTCCTGCGGCGCCAGATGCGGCGCCAGATGCGGCGCCAGACGCGGCGCCGCACGTGCTGGGGACGCGGAAGAAGGCGGTGAGGCCGGAGCGGACGGTGGCGTTGCGCGCTTCGCCGGTGATCGGCAGCAACGGCTTGGATTCCTTCCACTTGTCCGTTGGGGTCACGGAGTCTACGGGGGAGGGGAGGGGGGGGGGAGAGGTGGAGGAAGAGGAGGGGGAGAGAGGACGGGGAGAGGGGAGCGGGGAGGGGTTACGGGGAGGCGGGGAGGCGGGACGGAGTGATGGAGTGATGGGGCAGGGAAGAGGGATGGAAAAGCTGAGCGGCCCGGCAGTACGCGACGCCGACGACGCGAGCAACGGCAGCTAGGCTCACCGGGTTGGCATAGTCGGCAGCTCGGCTCACCTTGGTTGGCATAGTCGGATGCTCGGCTCACCTTGGTTGGCATAGTCGGATGCTCGGCTCACCTTGGTTGGCATAGTCGGCGTTGGTCGCGAGAGACGGGGACGGTAACAACGCTGCAAACACGAGAGAGCGAGCAGAATGTGAGAGAACCAAGCAACCATTTTCGCCTTTTACGTGTCAAGCAAGCCTCTCAGGGTAAGCCTTGTTGAGAATTGAACTCAATGTGAGAGAACGAAGCAACCATTTTCGCCTTTTACGTGTCAAGCTAGCCTCTCAGGGTAAGCCTTGTTGAGAATTGAATTCAATGTGAGAGAACGAAGCAACCATTTATGTGTCAACCAAGCCCTTATACCCCGTAAGGAGAACGGATTCCATGCGAGAGCGACTTACAGCTGACGTAAACTGCAGTCAGGAAACAGATAAGACCGCTATGGCCAGGCCTACGCGCCATCAACGAGAGAGCGGACGGCACGGATCGAAGCCAGGAGGCTATACAGTACACGACTAATTACGCTCAGGACCCACGTGGGTAAACCGCTAGAAACGCGTCATTCGAGCGGAGGACGGACGGTTTCAGGAAGTTCGGTTCAGAGGAGCCAGGCGCTGGACGCGCCTAGCACAACGCATGGACAAGTGAGAATGCGGTGTAGAAGCTACCCTGACGACCGGGGAATCCTGTCGTCAGTCATCTCAAACTCGCTAGAACTAACTTGTACATGCGCCAACCCTAAAACTGGGAGAAGCTGGCAACTAGTCTTCTTTCAAGCCTGGCTGGGTGCTGCTGCTGCTGTTGCTGGTGCTTTTCTTTTGGTCTCTCGCATTCTCTACTGTACCCAAAGGTGGGATCTACCCAGCCTGCGCAGAGCTTCGGAAATGCTGTGGGGCCTGCGGTTCGTTCGGCAGCGGCCGAACCAAGCCCAGCAGACCGAACCGGTCGGTGAATTCGAACAGTAGTACAGCGCATCCCCACGATCACGAATCTCGCCCGGGGCTGGTAGTTGCCACATAACGCTCTATGGACAGGCGGTTGCCGCGGAATGAACTGTCGGGCACTAGGCCGCTTTCGGATAACCGTGGAGGTTTGGTTTCGTCCCTTGCCTCCGCAAGCACTCTGTTCTAGAAGCTTCGGTGACCCCGAAACATCCCAAGCACCGACACTTTCCCAAACCACCCCCGGAAAACTGGCGACCTTGGTGGCGAGCACAGTGGATACATGCATCACAACTAATTCTGCAGGATCATTTTGACACAGTTGAAGCATAACACACCCTTAGGCTCCAAACACCACAGATTGAAAGCCTGATGAAAAATCCAGGCAAACCAGAACTGATGATCAGGGCAAACCACATCTCAATATTCACAGCTTCGCACCTTGCTGCCTGCCTAAAACAGGCACTGATCTATTGCTGCAGCGAGGCAAACCTCAAAGGACTGGTTTCCAACCCTCTGAGCCTCCATCTCAGCTTCCTCCACCAGGGATTCGATAAGGGAAGGAACATCTGGGTCGTCTCTAACCATTATGGTCCCAATGTCGAAAGCAGTCTTGCCTGCTGATGCACCCTTCTTCAGAAGCATGGTTGCGGCTTGAAGAACCTTGATGCATGCTGCGTTCAGTGACCAACCACTCTCCCTGAGAATTGCAATGTCCTTGTTGGCGTCAAGCTTAGATATGTACTCCAGAGTCTCCTCGGCAAAAGGAACCTTGGATTGGGGCCAGTACAGCCACTCAAACGTGCAATCCTCAAACTGCAAACAGAGTAAACATAAGTAGGAGTCAGATTACCACGGAATGTCAACAAAAGATACTAAGGGGAATGACGGCGGGGTGACAGAGAGAACGAGAGCGCGAGAGAGTGAGGGTGATGGCAGGAGAGAAAAAATGAGAGCGATGCGGGGGGAAGGGACGGAGTGGGGAGGGGAGTATGCAGGGAAACGACGAGTTCAATGGAGCAGATGCTTGCTTTAGATGCTGACCTTATCTGGAATGCAGTAGCCATGATCGATTGGAATCAGCTTCACACCACTCGGACCGTCGACCCTCTGTACAAGGATGTTGGCACCATTCCGGTCCGTGTTGGCAAGCCTCATATCCAGAACCGCGATCTTGTGAACCTCCGACGCAGGGAAGCGTGAGGGTCCCATGTCCTCGCAGTTGCTGAAGGAATTGACGAACTTCTGAAGAGAGCCGACCTTCCTCCCTTCGAGGTCATCCAAAGGACTCTTAGGAGAACCAGAGCGAGGGAAAAAGCTGGCAGGGCAGCCGACAAGCGTGGTCGGAGGAACGCTTGCGAAACCCTCGCTGTCTCCTTCGTTCAATGGATGATCCAGAAGGTAAGCTGCGACTTCTCGGAAAGCGCCTTCTCCCACTCGAGTGCCACGTTTCAACCCTTCCCCATCAAGACTCGGAGCCATCCCGCGGGGACAATTTACAGCGAGAGGCTCCTCGTCCATTGGCTTAAATACAGCTATAGTCGACGCACCCGACGCGTCCGACATGAGGTAAGTACCACCCGAGCCGTCAGAGGTCAAGTGGGGAACATGGCCTTCGAGGAGTCCCGTACCCACATCACTCATCATCGCCTGGAAGCCTTCCCCTTTGAGAGAAGAACTATTTCCAAGCATTGTCGGCTCGATAGGATCACTGGATGTGGTTCTCGAGCAAGGAAGGGCCAGGGGAACAGTTCCAGGGCACACTTCGTCGCCGACTTCCTGTATCGACGGCAACGAAGCAATTTCCGTGGCATTGACAGACAGCTCCATTGTCCGGCCCGGACCGGACTTCGCGTGCACGCGAGCATTCTTCCGCACGAGAAGATGCAAATGGCAGGAGCCGACGGCTCCGAAATCCCGGTGCTTGTCCAAGTCGTTGATCAGGCAATGGTCCTCCAGAGGGATTCCGGCAAGAACAAGCTCCACGTCTTCCGAACTCGAAGGAAGCTCGCGTTCACAAATCCGCTTCTTAATGTCCCGAACCCGATGATTTGCGGCTCGCTCCACTGAAAATAAGTACTCCTGAAATTACATGACCAAGCAAGAATGAGACTCTTGAAACGAACAAAGAGACAAAGAGAAAAACACGCAGACATTAACAAACGTCAAGTTCGCGAACTGCACAACATACCTTTCCAGAGAACGTGGCGACTGAGACGAAGAGGAGATCTGACATGCCGAGCACGAACTGCATCGTCTGGGGTTGCGAAGAGGACAGGTCATCGTGCACAGACTCTTCCGACGCACAAGGTCCTGTCACTATGCGCTGGTGCTTGGCATAAAAGCCACGGCTAAGACCCTTCAGCTTAAGATTGACGGATGAAATGCCATCAGCGGCCAAAAGTCGGCGAGGAACCTGACTTGAAGATGAGCCTATGTACATCTGAATAAAATCATTAGGCAGGAAATCCTCGAAGGCAGCAGCCCGTGAGACAACAGAGCTGGACCCATTGATGACGGATGGCTTGATGAGGGAGTTGGAAATCGACATGGCTGCAAGACAAGCTGAAGGACCTTCCCAGAAATACTACTCCTCCCCGCTCAGTCTCTACCCGCTCTTCACAGCAAGTGTGGTCTGTAGCATGCAGAACCTTCACAGAGTTGTCAAATGTAGAAGGGAGGTCACTGCACACTGTGAAGAGGAGCTGCTGGCAGAAACAACGATAGAACAGGTTCAGTAGTTAGGAGTGAAAATGATGCTTGGGGAGATGATTGAGGTGAAGCAGGCAGGTCAGGTCACTCGAGTGACCAGGGAGGGAGGAACAGGAGAGCAGGGTTTGCTCGGGGCTGCCGACAAGCAGTGCAGTGAGGGGAAAAGGAATTCGGGGGAAGATGGGGAAGGTGGGGCGGGGTGGGGGGAGAGTGGTGGTGTGTGGTGGTGACGCAGGGAGGACCGCGGAGAAGGGATTCCAGGAAGGTGATGGGAGGACTGCGGAAGAGCGGAGCTAGGTGGGGGAGTGACATCATCCTCCCCTTCGGGCGGAGGGGTTTTTTTTTCCAAGCGGACCCGCGGAGGAAGTATGCGTGGCTTACAAGTCATTACACGTGCATGGATGGGCACTGATTGGTGGAGTTGTTTCATTCATTCAGACGACGGTGCAAGAAATTTGGTCAGTTTCTCTCATGGCAGACTTTTCATTTTGTTTCGCGGTCTTCGCCAGTCGGGCATGTCCAGGATCACGTGCAAAAGGAGGCCGGGCCCGGTGCAACGTTTTTGCCAGGCTGAAAATAATTACCAGTACCCTTGTAGAGAGCACTTCATTTAGTTTGGTCCTTGTAGAACAATCAGCTGTATATGTGCACTTTGAAAGACATAACAAACCAAACCTTACCCTAATCCCTAAGCACCTTGGGACATTATCATTTTCAGCCAGTTTTATGGTTGCGCTATCCGTTCACTAATCCAAGGTTCCAACAGCTCCATATCATGGCCCTCATACACAGGAATGTCGTCAATGCGTGTACTTTCAAACATACATGGTCTTCCTTAGAGATGCCAATATGTGACTTGCTGCTTATGTACACACCTGAAGCGGCATGTATCTCATGCATGCATCCCTCACTTGCGAACATATAACAACGCATCCCGTAAGGGGCACAACAAGTCCTGCCACGCCAGCCCGAACGTAAAAGCTGCAACAGCAGTGCTTGCTGTGATTGGTTGATATATATTGGTTGAACTCACTGACCACCACAAGCATCATTCCGCCACATCGCCCAACACGAATGGCAGCGGTTGGGATGATGGTCGAAAAGGACCTCAGTAAGCTCGGGAAAGCACTACTGACCTGATTTTGATTGGCCAATAAGACATGCAGCTCTACGATTGGTTCATTCACTTCAGCCTTGTGTTTGGTTTGGGACATGCAGCTGGCGCTACCCGAGCCACACTTGCTGACTGGCGAGACAACAGGTTCGGCTGATTCAAACGGGTGGCAGTGTGGCTGAGCTGTGCATATAGTATCACAAATTAGCGGAAGGAGATACGGATATCGCTGTTTTCATGCGTATTTGCTTGCTTGCTAGGTTTGTGGTGTTGGGCTCCACTTTAGTTCTGTACACACCAGTAATAGCGTTCAATGACATGCCAAAAGTCGCCGCACTTTACGCCCGCACCTGCAAACTGCCACATGCGTCATCATTCCCAAGAATCTTCAGAATCCACCAGCGCTTTCGATCGGGACGGGAGCTACTAACTACTCCTCAGCTCCTTCACTCGTATATCCATTCGCGATTCGTGTAGATTCGCTATGGAGAGCACTGCATTACTCAGAGCCTTTCTATCAGCTGACAGAGGAGCATTTTCTCACCTTTTCACTTCCAGAGGTTGCTTTCCCGTCTTACGGCAAACGAAACCTGTTCGAAGACAGAACCTGCTTAGTCATTATCGGCTGTAACAGCAACCCCTGACAGCCTTTCCTCGAGGCTCCGTCGTAGAGCCTCTTCAAAGCCGACCAAAAGCCTAAGCTCATTAGCCGCACTGACCGCACTGCTGAACAGTGTACATCCCTCGCTTGAGTCACCCCCCGTTGGTGACGCACTGGGAATCCGTCACAAGGTTGTGAGTCCCCTTCCCCCACCGAACACCCCCTCACCCCCGCTACCCCCGGCCCCATCTATGGGGGGCTGCGTGGGCAAGCCGCCGCTCTCCCCTCCGTGCCTTCCCCGCGACAGCTTCTTCGACGGCCCGCGCGACGCTGGCGGAAGTTGTAGAAACGGCGCGTACGAATCTGCGGCGCGACATAGACTAAATTCCGCCGGCGCTGCGGCGGCAGCACCGGCGGGAATAATAGTAGCGCCGCCGCCGCTCGAGAGAAAATCCAGCGGCGGGGTGCAGCGGCACTCCGAGTCCGCGCAACTCCCCCCGTCGCAGAAGCAGCCTTGGGCGCAACCTTCCGCCGCCTGCGCGGACCCGCCGCTGCCCGGAGCGGACGACCATGCGGGCCGGCGGAGCGAGGAGGGCGCGTCGGGATTCCTCCCCGGATCGCCCCCCGACAGCTCCGAGTGGCAAGTCAACGAGCCGCTCGATCTGTCCGTTATCACGGGCCGCACCGCCATCCCCACGCCTCCGCGCAGCGGCACCGCTTCCAACCGCGGCGGCGGCGGCGGCGGCGGCGGCCGTGCCGGCGGTAGCGCAGCTCCCGGAGCGCGGCATTCTGGGGAATCCCGGACCGCGCATTTGGTGACAGTACCTACGCATATCGCGGGGCAAGCCGTGCCGCTACTATCGCGGTTCGACGGCGACGAGTCGCGAGACGGGTCGCGGCAGAGCCAGGCGTCGCGCGCCGGCAGCAGCAGCTTATGCCGGCCAACGACGGGCGGCTCGGTGGGCGGCACGGCGGCGACAAACCCGCCGCTGTACGCGCGGATGGCGGGGAGCATGCACGGCGCGGGGGTGCTGAGCGGCGGGGGAATCGTGGGGGGAGGGGGGAGCAGCGGGTACGGGAGCGGAGGGGGGGATTCGATGTGCGGCGGCGTGGTGGTGGGCATGGGCAGCTCGTCCATGCACGCTGGCGCCATGTCTGGGGGCGGGTCAGGACACGGCAGCACCGTGGCGCTCAGGTGAGTGATGGCCGTGTGATGCGTTGAGGCCAGACTGAGTGGGGGGACTCGAGGTCGTGGAGGGGAGGGGTTTGGAGAAGAGGCCGGACTGAGCGGCGGCGTGGTGGTCGGCATGGGCAGCTCGCCCATGCACGCTGGCGCCATGTCGGGTTTAGGCTCGGGCCATGGCAGCACCGTGGCACTCAGGTGAGAAATACGCTCAGGCAAGCGGGCTGTGAGAGGGTTGAGTGATGAGCTCGGATGGAATATGTTTGTGATGCCACAATCCACGTTCACTTGTCTCCGTACATCCTTGCCCATACGGGTGTCTGTTGTGTGCGTGCAGGGCGGCTCAGGCAGCGAAGCTGAGAGCCAGCCGCACGGCGCAGGAGCGGCACAACGTGCGCATCGTGGGGTCGGGGCCCGACCTGCTCGTGCTCTCGCACGGCTTCGGCTTCAACCAGGCCGTGAGTGGCGATCACTCAATCATTGCTGTGCTGCCCACGCCATGTGCCGCCCACCCAACACATGGTCACAAGCAAATGCTGGCACCATTGCTGCCAAGCGGTGTAGCCACAGACAACCCTGAATATGTTTGACATCCCATGCCATAACTTCTCCCCTGACTATGTTGTTTCGCTCTCCCCTCACCTTCAGATGTGGGCGCATGTGTTGGAATCGTTTGACACCGCTCTGTACCGCATTGTGCTCTACGACCTCACTGGCGCTGTTGGGTATGCTCTGCTCACACCCCCCAACTCCGCCCCCTTTCCTCCAAACCCCTCGCCTGCTCTTCCCTCTCCCTCCTCTCCTCCCTCTCGTCACTGCAGCTACAGCCAATGTCCCATTGCGCATGCATGATGCCATGCCCCCATGACTGCACGTCTTGTTCTTCTCCCTCACACCCCGTATACCCTCTCTCACCCACCCCCCCCCCCCCCCTCTCCCCTCTCCCCCCCCCCCTTATCAGCTCTGACGCGGACGCATTTGACTTCCAGCGCTACAGCACGCTGCACGGCTTCGCTGAGGACCTGCTACAGCTGCTCACCGAGATGGGCGTCGAGGTATGTGCTGTGCTCGCTACAGCTGCTACAGCTGCTGCAGCTGCTACAGCATATCACCGAGATGGGCGTTGAGGTATGTTCTCGCTACAGCTGCTACAGCTGCTCACCGAGATGGGCGTCGAGGTGAGAGATGACGTGCAGCTTTGTTGATCCCCAACGTTTCTAGGGGCACGCGTTGACTAACGCATTGATGACAAGGTCTCACTTGACATGGTCCCCATGGCCGAGCTATTTACCCCATGGCCGAGTTACTTACCCCATGGCCGAGCCCCCATGGCCGAGTTACTTGACCAGGTCTCACTTGACCAGGTCTCACTTGACCAGGTCTCACTTGACCAGGTCTCACTTGACCAGGTCTCACTTGACCAGGTCTCACTTGACCAGGTCTCACTTGACCAGGTCTCACTTGACCAGGTCTCACTTGACCAGGTCTCACTTGACCAGGTCTCACTTGACCAGGTCTCACTTGACCAGGTCTCACTTGACCAGGTCTCACTTGATCAGGTCTCACCTGAATCAACTTTCTCAGCTGTTTAGTCTCCTCCTGCCCCATCGTTCTTCCTGTTTCCTCCCTCCCTTCGTCCATGTGTGATGGCAAGGCGACTGTTTTTGAGGTGCCTCAAAAATAGACTCCATGTGTGATGGCAGGGCGACTGCGGCCAGCCGTGCACACTAGTGGGGCACGGGCAGGGCGACTTGATCGCCCTTTCCAAATTGCCCTCCCTCCCTCTCTCCTTCCCACCTCCCTGCTTCCCTCCCTCTCTCCTTTTCACCCACCTGTCTCTCTCCTCTGCATGTGCGTGTGGGCGCAGGGCGACTGGGGGCAGCAGTGCACGCTAGTGGGGCATGGGCAGAGCGGCATGATTGCGCTTTTAGCCGCCATCGAGCGCCCAAAGCTCTTCAAGCGCATCGTGCTGCTCGCCTCCTCCCCCAGGTACTGCCTCCTCCCCCAGGTACTGCCTCCTCCCCTAGGTGCTGACTCCTCCCCCACATACTACCTCCTCCCCCCAGGTACTGCCTCCTCCTCCAGGTACTGCCTCCTCCCCCAAGTGCTGCCTCCTCCCCCAGGTACTGCCTCCTCCCCCAGGTGCTACGTACCCCCGTCCCCTCCGTCCTTTCCCCAGATGTCACCTCCTCCACGGGCAGCCTTCCCCACGGGCTGCTCAAGGCGTCATTCACACTCGACTGTTCCTATCCCGTTCTAAACCGCCCCATGCCCCATGCGTTGCGCCCACCACCACCACCACCACGAGAGAACACCACTTGGTGGTGGTTTTAGCCATACGTGGCAGCGGGTTGTAGAACACTGTTGATTTAGAAAAGAAGTATTGTTAAAAAAAAAACTATCGTGAGTTTGAAGGGCAAAATTGATGGCAAAAGTTTCAGCAGGTGAGCAAGGCTAAATAGGCTGGAGCTCGCGGGCCTCCCAAGGCCAGAATGCGGCTCGAGGGATTCCCAGAGTCCAAAACCTTTGCCTGAAACAATGAAATAAGTGCTAAGTGGAGAAATGCGCGTACAGCGTATTATACGCTAGCATATTATACGCTAGCGTATATACGCTGTACGCTTGATTCCGGGATTGGATACGCTAGGAAATACGCTATGGCGGGCAGGTCTAAAAAAAACTCGGGCAGGTGTGAAAAAAAACTGTCTGGGGAGGGAAGAGGGGGGGTGCAGAGCACCAAATTCCCCCCACCAAATGTGGAATCATTAGCATGCTAATAAATAAATAGTTCAAGCCACCAAGGGCATGTCAAGGGTTCCAAACTCCTCCAACAACCAGCCAACCACCCATCTCAGGTAAGTCTCCCCCAAACCACCCGCCTAACCCTCTCCTGCTCTTCTCTACAGGTACTCGTCCAGCAGCTACTCATCTTCGCCCTCCTCATCTTCCTCCTCCCGATCCATGCTGTACCCCGCAGGGACGGGGGCGTCCGGGATGTTCCCGGACACTACCCCCGCCCCCTCGTCGGCCATGTGCCAGTTGTGCACAACCTTCCAATTGTGCGCAACGTAAACCAGATCCTTGCACTTTTCTGAACCCAGCCGGTTGCGTCGGGCGGTGTGGACAGTATCCCACACCGCCCAGTTGCGCTCGCAGCTGGATGCGGACACCGGCTGAGTTAGCACACGGCAAGCAAGGGCCATGAGCAAGGGGTGGTCAGTGGCGTGCCACTCCCACCACGCCTCCATGGAATAACTTCCCTCCTTCACCAACTTCCGGTCATTGATGGCCTCAGCCGTGCCGAAGCTGCCCCTCAACTTCAGAAAGGCGGCCAACCCTTCCTGCAGAAAGAGTGTGGCACGCTTGGGCAGGCCATCCCTCCGGGGAATCATCACCCCCCCATAGTGGCGGGCAATGAAAGCCTTGAACACATCGGTGCACTCCGTGTCCGGCCCAGAAATCCGCTCCTCCTGGTTGGCCGGGTTAAGAATCCGCCCGACCACGTGCAGTGGGCAAGCCATATTCCCATCCCAACGTCGCTTCACAATCTCATTGACGCCCTTCTTGTCTCCCGCACTCAGCACCCCATCCCCCTCCTCCTTCAGCAGTTTTGCCACATTCACAGTGAGCTCAAGCATCAGCTCATAGATGTGGCCCATCATCCCCTTCGTTGCCGAATCCGTCGCCCTCATGGCCTTGAACGGGAGCAGGAGCAGCCTCTTGAAGAGCTCAGCCGCCGGCCACCAGTCCTTATCCATGATCTGGTCGTGGAATGTCTCTGCAGCTGCCTTCTTTGGGCCCATCGCCCACTCCGCCTTCCATGCATTGCAGAGCACCATGGTCACCAGCGTTGACCGCAACTCCACCAGGCGGGACACAGCAATGTGTTGCGTCCCAAACCTGGTCCCCCCCGGCCTCAGCATCTGAGCCCCTTCCCTCCGTCCACACCCCTGAGATACTGTCGGGTCCAATGGTGGCTGCGGGTGTAGTTGATGAGCCCGCTCGCCCGCCCCACTACCTCCTTGGCCCAAGCCTGCTGCCCCACATCCTCCATAAGGAGGTCGAGTACGTGCGCCGCACACGGCACATGCTCGATGCGCGGATTCTCTGCAATGAGGAGCCGGCAGGCGCTGGGGTAGTTGCTGCCACCATTGGTGCAGAACGCCACGATGTTCTCGACACCAACCTTTTGCAGGATGGACCGGAGGAGCCGGGCGATGTATCCCCCGGTCTTTCTCTCCATCTTGCAGTCAATACTCTCAACGAACACTGCGCCAGTGTCATTGACCAGCATCACATTCGCTTGTGGCCTGCCACACTTGTCGGTCATCATGTCGCTGGCAATCGTCAAGCCGTGGCGCTTCCAGCTCGACATGACGCCCGTCAATCCCTTGTCAATCCGCTTGCGGCATAGCTGCAAGCCGGCACCACCCACGTAGTCTCGCTTTGGAGGCACATAGTTGGTCCCCGCGCGAGCAATGGACCGAACGGCATTGCGCCAAAGCGGGTGGTCGGCATGGCGCTCGGGAAGGCGGAGGCCGGCAAAGAGGAGGCAAGCAGCCTTGTCCGCCGCCGCCTTGGCCGCTTGGGCGTCATTGGACAGGTTATCGCTGATCTTCCGCTTTCCCCGACCACTAACGGCGTCGAGGGCCGACTCCTCCGCCCTAAGCGCCTCCTCCCTCGCGAGCACTTTGGCGGTTTGGAACGGGCGGACAGCAGCCTGCTCCTCCTTCCCTACCTCTTCGCAATTCCGAACCTCGCGCCTACGCGTACCATCCCAACTAGTGATGTGCTGCGCGCAGCGGTAGGCCATCCCAGTAAAGGATACGGGCCAGTACTTGCACCAATACTTTTGCTGCTTGACGTGCTCCTTGTGCTTAAACTTCAAATGCTTAAAGACAATGTGGGTGGAGTTCTCCAGGAGCTCGCCAGAGGAAGACGCAGTACGGGAGGTTCCCGCGTCGTTTCCGTGGGAACCAGGACTAGGTGGAGGGGTCGACATAGCAGCAGTCGCTAAAAAACCAGCTAGCTGGTCGCGCTAGCTTGGAAGAAGAAATGGCTGAAGCTAGCGCGCCAGTTTACTTGTACCCTGATTTCGTCGTAGGAGTGAACTGCGCTAAACCCTGCTGGAGTAGAGTAGAGAGGGAGAGGAAGAGGATTTCTTTGAGTGTTGTTTGGAAGTCGCAGATTGGGTGGGATGCTGTGCGGTTGGGAGGGGCGAAGGGGTTGGGTTGATTTCAAAAGCCAAATTTCGGTTTGCGACATGGCGAAATCCCTGTGGGGTTTCGCCGTGTCGCAAATTTGTAGCATCTTCTTTTGCGTATTTCTTGCCGGGCTGCCTGTCAAGAAATGCCCTAGGGTATTGCGTACTTAGCTAGCGTACATCGTATTCGTATTATACGCTAGTGTACATACGCAATACGCTCGGCTGCCCAAGCGCATTTCTCCACTTAGAATAAGGAATCGTGCGAAGGAAAGGACTCAAGAATCGAGGAACTGTGCTCGGGATGAAGAGGGCTGCAGAAAACGTTGAAGTTTGCTGCGAATTAAACCAGCCTTACTGCTTCTGGTGTGATACGACCTGTAGGGTAAGTAGAGATAGCGATTCATGGGCTTTTGAAAAAAGCGACAGTCGAGGATGTTGCTGTTGCCAAAACGATCCCCTTTGTAGAACGTCACATCCGGGAAATTGATCGACGACTTAGATATATTCCAAGTCAGTCGAATGGATGGATGGTGTTCTTCAAAGCGTGCCTTGAGCCTGTCAAAACTTTCTCTGGAACCTTCCCATAACTAAAGACCATTATGGGAAGGTTCCATTTTTCCATCTATTTTTAACAGAAACGATTATCGAACGCGACGTAGCTGTTGAACATCACCCATTTTAGGAGACGGATGACCTTATGAAGAAAATAAGCTACGGCATCGATTCCGTCAGTGAAAGGGATGGACGGGTAAAGTGATTCCACGTCGTATGTAGCGAGAAGTAAGGGCTTAGAAAAGGCTCTTGACTCGAGGTTGACGATTAGACTCTGAGAGTCTTTAATGTAAGTCGGTTGCGTTACGTCTAGTGGTCGAAGAACGGTGTCAAGCCACCTCGAAACATTAGAAGTTAGCCAAGAGTGTGGGGCCGCGATTGGTCGACCTGCTGGAATCTTCTTGTGAATCTTAAGGAGAATGTAAAAAGCCGGAACCTTCCGACCCCCTCGCGGTGGTGCGGAGAAAGAGTTCCAGATATGTGCTGGAAGAAGAGGATGCCATTCTTCTCTAATATTCAGCAGTTCGTGAACGATGCCGCGAGCAAGAACAACAGTGTATTGTCGATAGACCTTGTCGTTAAGAAGATGCTTGTAGCATTTCTCATTGTAGTAACTTCGGTTCATGACGGCATGTCCAGGATTTTTATGTGCGGGTTTGGAGATTAGTTCAGGATCTCTAGCAAGTCGACAAAGAATTGGAAAGAAGTTTTTTCGGCGACGAGTGAGATTTGCCCGCGGTTGATTGTTGATTCCTGTTAAAGCTGGTTCCTTGAAGACCGAAATCGCTGTTTCGACCTCAGGTGAAGCTTCTGGTGGTGTCCAATTAATTCTCCTGGGAAGTTTGTAGCGAGTATACTTTGAAGCAAAATCCACTCCATTAATCAGGTACATCGGTCTGATACTGCTGGTAAAATCCTCCAACTCTGCTGCGACTGACGCTAGACTTCGGATGGATGGCACAGGTATGAATTTCAGACCAAGACCAAGCAGACTGAGTTCATCATTGGTGAACTGTCGAGAACTGAGATTGTGGATCCCCCTGTTCGTGACTTTGCACCGCACCTGGGCTTCGGTGAGTCTGCCAAAGAGCGTCAGAGCGTATGAATGAACATCCGCCACTAATTCAGCTTTCTTTTTCCGCGGGTGTCGCCGCCCGCCCTGAAAAAATTTGGAGCTTTCTGCTTCTTAGAGGCGTTCGGGTTACGACGAGCAGTCTTCGTGAAGGAATTTCCCATAATTCGTGCAGGGTTGGAAGGTCCGACTGCGCTGCGTGCAGGATTGGAGGGTCCGGCGTCATCGTTCCTCTTTATGGGGTTGCGTCGCTTTAAATTCTTAGCAGCAGCTGCGGTGACGTTTTTCCTTTTCTGCAGAGGAACCACACGGTTGGTCCTGGTATTAGCCAAAGAAAATTTGCGAGCAGGACGAGTCGGAAGACGATTCGCAGGGTGGCGGCGGTTGGCGTTACGCGGACGCTGTCGTTGCTGCTGCTTCTGCTGCTGCTGCTTTCCGGTCGATCGGTTCGAAAAGAATTTCTCGATCTCCTGTTAAGCGATGGCGCACATCGATGGATCGACAGGAAGATTCTCTGCTTTCACCCGAGCGCCACCACCACCACCACCACCACCACCACCACCACCACCACCACCACCACCACCACCACCACCACCACCACCACCACCACCACCACCACCACCACCACCACCACCACCACCACCACCACCACCACCACCACCACCACCACCACCACCACCACCACCACCACCACCACCACCACCACCACCACCACCACCACCACCACCACCACCACCACCACCACCACCACCACCACCACCACCACCACCACCACCACCACCACCACCACCACCACCACCACCACCACCACCACCACCACCACCACCACCACCACCACCACCACCACCACCACCACCACCACCACCACCACCACCACCACCACCACCACCACCACCACCACCACCACCACCACCACCACCACCACCACCACCACCACCACCACCACCACCACCACCACCACCACCACCACCACCACCACCACCACCACCACCACCACCACCACCACCACCACCACCACCACCACCACCACCACCACCACCACCACCTCATTACCCCTTTGTTTCATGATGGTCACTTCCATCCACCCCAGTACCGCCCCAGCGAGCATGAGTGCATCATGGTCATTCTCATCAATCGCACCTATGCAGGCCGTTGGAGCCCCCCCGAGCACAGGAGTAGTGCTGGGTGCCTTTCAATTTCCCAGTCCCATTGTACCCATTTTCACCGCACCCATCTCCATGGCAGGCTGCTGGAAGCGCCCCCGGAATATGAGAGCAGTTTTGGCTTGGCAGACCTAGATAAGGTCTTTGGCATCATGCAGGGAAACTTCCGGGTATGTGCCTGGTAGTAGAAGGTTGGGTTGAATGCATCAGAGTGGGTTGGGTGCAGCAGTGAAGTTGTGACTGCATTTAAATTGCGACATCTGCCACCCCTTGCTTATTGCCTCATTTATTTGTAGTGTGACCGTGCCTATTCAAAAGAGGTGTCCACCGTGTTTTCTCCCTCCACCTTCCCTCCTCATTCCCCCCTGCCAGCTGTGGGCCAAGGGCTGTGCGCCGGTCCTCAATGCGGACGATGTGAAGGCGGCCCACGTGCGCGAGTTCACGCGCCCGCTCTTCTCGCTGCGGCCCGACGTGGCCTTCTCGTGCCTCAAGACCAGCTTCGCATGCGACCTCCGAGAAGTGCTGCCGCAGGTGTGTGCGTTCTGCCTCCCATGGGTGTGTGTGTTGGGTGGTAGGGGGGGTGAGGGTAGCAACAGGGGGGGTGGGAATGGCCAGACGTCGCCTTGTGGTGCCTCAAGACCAGCTTCGCGTGCGACCTGGGAGAAGTGCTGCCGCAGGTGCGTGTGTGGTGCTTCCCATGGGTGGGTGTGTGTGTGTAGGGGGGGTGAGGGAAGCAACAGGAAGGTAAGGAATGGCCTGATGTGGTCTTCTCATGCCTCAAGACCAGCTTCGCATGCGACCTGCGAGAGGTGCTACCGCAGGTGCGTGTGTCTTGGGGGGGGTTGAGACGGGTGGGGGGGTGAGGGAGGACGCAAGAGGGGGATTGGGAAAGGCCTGTTGTCGCTTTGTGGTGCGTCAAGACCAGCTTCGCCTGCAATCTGTGAGAAGTGCTGCCAGCCACAGGCATGCATGTGTGTTGGGGGCAGTGAAGCAAGGGAATCAAGAAATCCTGTTGTCGCCTTTTCCTCCCTCATCACGGCATCACTCACCCTCCCGCTCCCCCCATCCCCATCCCTCCTCCCCTCCATCCCATCAGGTGGAGGTGCCAGTGCACATGCTGTTCTTGGAGGGAGATCCAACCACCCCCCCGGCTGTAGCAGCTTACATGCTGCGCCACATGCCCGGCGCTACAGCCGAGGTCCTCCCTGCCAGGTCCGTGCACCAGCAGCCGGATGCTGTAGCGGACGGCATTCTTCGGCTGCTTCAGGCTGCCCCAGAGAACTCGAGTGGGTCTCAGGTGATTGGTGGTGGGGTGGAGTTGGCTTCCCCGCCCTTTGATGCCTGGAGTACACCCATGGAAGTAGATATTATATAAATACAATCGTTTATATGGTAGGTATAATAAATGGAGGGGCATGCAGTTAGTAGGCTATTTGGGTGGTGTTGGGCTGAGAAAAGCCCTTAGGATCTTTTGCAGAGACTAAGTCCCAGCTGTAGAGACTTGAGACTTGGAGTAGTGCAGCGGAAGTTGAGACAGTTGAACCCTTGTACTAGTATGTGAGAACAAGTGATTGATTAAAGAAACAAGCATACAGCAATATATAGAAGATAAGAAAGCAGTTGCAGAGTACAGTTACAGGAACGGTTTATCGAGTCGCATAGCGACTCGATTGCCGCTTCGGTTACCATCCGTGATGCTGTAACGGTCAGTCGCAACCTCCAGTTGCGACCCTTTGAGTCCCAGACCCTTCGTGTTCTTTGTCCGCCCCCTCGTGTAACCTCCGTTGACTCGCGTACCCCTTGCAATCTTCCTCGAGTGTAGTGTTACACTTCAGAAACGCTTAAGTCTTTTGATGTACTTTCAACACTCCCCTTCGTTTCTGGAGTGCTGACTTGTTCAGGTCCGATGACGTTTGTTTGTCCGGTCAGCACCATGCAGTAGTCGAATTTTGCCTTCGCCAATTTCTTCGTCAAATAGTCTGCGGCCATTTCTGTCGTCGGGCAGTAACTGAGTTGAAGTCTCCCCTTCGCGATTTCATCCTTGACGAAGAAGTACCGCAGGGCGATGTGCTTGGTTCGGTTGGCGAAGCCGTCCTTGTTTGCGATTTTGATCGCAGATTGGTTGTCGCAGAAGAGTGAGAAGGCGGGCAGGGTCGCGATCTTCGCTTCCTCGAGTAACTCTCGCAGGTAGAGTCCTTCCTTGGTCGCGGTACAAAGGGCGATGTACTCTGCTTCAGCAGAGGATAGTGCGATTAACTCCTGCTTGCTCGACTGCCAGGAGATAGTTCCGATGGGTTCTAGTCGGTAGATGTAGCCCGTCCTAGATCGTCGATTTTCCCTATCTCCCGCGTGGTCGGCGTCGACGTATCCGAGTAGTTGTACGGACGATGTTGTCGCTTTGCTGTAGGTAAGTCCGATCGTCGGCGTGGAGATGAAGTAGAGTAGTGCCCGGTTGAGCTCCTCGAGATCCTCCTGTTCCGGTTGCTTCAGATGCGTCGCCAGTTGACTTGCACTATAGGACAGGTCGGGTCGGCAGGTTACTGCTGCAAATAGTAGGCAGCCGAGCTTCTGTTGATACTCCTGGATTTGCTTCGCGGGGAGTTTTGCGGAGGCGCTGTTGTTGTTTCCGTAGCGGTAGGGAGTTGAGGCGGTAGCCGGTGTTAGTCCGAATTTCTTCGCGACAGTGCCTGCGTACTTTCCAGCGTGTAGGTAGAACGCCGAGTTGTCTTCGACGATATTTAGTCCCAAGTACTGGGTCACTGAGTCGGACACTGTGAGCGTCAGGTCCCCTTTCAGCTCCCCTTCGAACCAGGTGACGATGTCGGTGGTAGAACCGATGTAGAGCAGGTCGTCGACGTAGACGATGAGCAGAATGTAATCTCTTCCCTTCTGCAGTCGGTACATGCCTTGGTCATGTGGTAGCTGTAGGAAGCCGATTTTTACGAGACGGCTGTGAAGATGCTGCTGCCAGAGCCGCGGGGCTTGCTTGATCCCGTATAGGGATTTTGTCAGTCGGCATATTTTCGTGGGGTCGTTGATGAATCCGTGGGGTTGTTCGACGAAGATCTCAGCGTCCACAGGTGCGTATAGGAACGCATTCGCGACATCGATTTGGCGTAGTGGTAGTGTTTTCGTGGCCGCGACGGCGAGTAGGATGCGTAATGAGGTGTGACGGGAGACTGGAGCGAAGGTTTCTGTGTAGTCGGTTCCGTATCGTTGATCGAAGCCTCGTACGACCCATCGAGCTTTGAATCGTTCGATGGAGCCGTCTGAGTTGGTCTTGATGCGGTACACCCATTTCCCCGAGAGAACGTTCTTCCCGTTGATGCTCGTTGCAGGTACCAGTTTCCATGTGTCTCGGTCTTGCAGAGCTTTTAACTCTTTTTCCATCGCTTCCTTCCATTTTACCTTATGTTCCCCCCCCAGAGCCTGCGACAATGTTGAAGGCTCACGCGTAGAAGGCGGCGGCGGATGCTGGACGGAGACCCAGAGGCCTAGAATCTGGAGTCCCGTGGGTGTGTGCCGAGGGGAATTGTCATTCCCGGAATAAGCTGCTTCGTCACCGTCTTCGGGGTCAGGTAAGAAATTGGGGCCGATGCGTTCCGAAATATTCGTGTCGACGGGGTGAGGTGTAGCGTAACCTTGGTCGGCGAAGTGGTAAAAGGTGTCGAGGTTGTTGCTATCGAGGGGATTATCTTCATCTAGTGGAACAGGTACGGAACAGAATGGGAGTGGCCCGGCAGCTTCCGAGGCTCCAGGTACGTCTTCTTCTGCTGCGTCAGCTTCGGCAGCACGATCGGCGAAGGAACGAAGTCCCGAGAGGCCGTCGGTGGGGTCTTGTGTGTTGGCAAGGTTGTCCAGGTAATGCTGCAGAGTCAGTCGTTCGTAGAAGATAACGTCTCGTGATGCCACCGTGTTTTTGTCTTGTATGTCGAGAATTTTCCACGCGTGAAAATGTTTCGCGATGCCGAGGTGGAGTCCCCACCGAGCTCGTTGTGTGAAGCGTCCTGCTCGGGCTGTGTGGGGTCTGTACTGTACCATGCAGCCAAAGACTCTGAGTAATTTTGTGCTGCCCCTTTTTCTTGTCCACAACAGGTGCGGTGATGCGTTGTTGGGAAGTGATGATGAGGACAGCAGGTTGTGCAGGTGAACAGCATGTGTCATCGCGTCTGGCCACAGTGTGGTTGGCAGTCGCATCCCCTGAAGCAGTTTTCGCATCGTCGTCTGCAAGGTCCGATTCATGCGTTCTGCTACCCCCTGCTGTTGGTGAGCATAGGGCAGGGACACCAGGCGTCTGATTCCCCTTTCCGCCAGATAGGTCCTGAAGCGTTGTGACTGGTATTCCAGTGCACCGTCTGACTGGAAGCTCTTGAGTTTGAGTCCTGATTCTCGTTCGGCGATGGGGAGCCATGTTGTGAAGGCTTCGAAGGCTTGGTCGCGCGTTTTGAGATTGAAGTGCCAGACATATCTGGTTGCGGCGTCGATGAAAGTGATGACGTAGTTAAAGTCGGCTTCGGCGTCGTCTCGAGGCATGTTTAAAATATCGCTGTAGACTTTTTCCATCGGAGCGTAAGTAGGTGCGCTTGGGTTGTGATGGGATGGAAAAGGTTGATGAGGAAGATCTGCTTCGGGGCATGTGAAGCACCGTGCGCGTGGTCGTCGAAGTTCTTGACCGCTCGTCGTCAGAAGGGCGTTGCGTTCTAACACCTCTGCTTGGATTGTTTGAAGTATTGTGCTGTTTGCAGGGTGTCCGAGGCGTTGGTGCCAGATGTCGTCGGGAGCACGGTGACCGGGCGAGCGGTGGTAGATGTCGGCGTTGGAGAAGAACGCGACGACCGAGGCGGGACTTCGACAAGCTTCTCGTGTGGCGGGCATAAGTTGGTCTGCTTCCGTTGGCGGTCCTCGTGTTGATGGTGGTGGTACTCGGCTGGGTCCTGCTGCCGATACTGCAGGTGATGGTTTTGTTGGGACATTTGCGGGTACTTGTCTTTCTTGTCTGATAACTGCTAATGCTCGTGTTCTCTCTGCTGCAGGTATGGTGTTGGAGTGCCAGAAGCCGTCACTGTCGAAGTCGGGATCAAGATCTGGCGGGTGAGTCCAGGCGGCGAACGATACGATGCCATCGCTGTCGGCAGTTCCGCGGTCGGGGACGAAGTCCAACACGAAGACACCGGACTTCAGGAGGGCACGACCGATGAAGAGGCCGCCCTTCCCGTGGTAAAGCCGGAACTCGTTGGAGTAAGAGTCGCACTCCAGGTGAATCCCTTTGGCCATTAGTTGGCTTACGCTTAGTAGATTGTATCCCAGGTTGTCGACAATGAGCACTTTGTTGAGCTGCAGTATTACGTTTGTTTCCATGGATTGTAACTGAACCACGCCTTGTCTGTTTGTCTTCAGGTTTTCGTTGTTGGCGACTGTGATGACGACGTCGCGGTTGAGTCGTTTCTCCTGTTGCACGAAGCGTCCCGAGGAGCACATGTGTTGACCGCAGCAGCTGTCCAAGAACCAGGTGTTTCGCCCGGTGGGTTCGGCGTTGGCGACTGCAGCGTATGTCGGGTTGACCTGAAGTCCTTGCGAGCGCGGCGGCGGGAATTCCTCTTCGTCTGGTGCGTAAGTGGGTGGTGAACCGGGTGCGCAGTTGTCGATGTGTACCATGCAGTTGATGATGTTGGGTGTTTGTTGTGCAGATGTTGAAGAGCGCCTTGGAGGACTTGCTTGAGTGGAAGCGACTTGTGGGTCTGCTGCACGGTAAACGCGAGGGCGGTTGCAGTTGACTTTGGAGTGCCCGGAAGTCTGGCAGTTGTGGCAGAACGGCGGTACGATGGTGAGTCCTCGGTTGTCGCGTTGATCTTGCTTGCTGCGTCGGTTGTAGTTGTTGTCATTTCTTCTTTGAGTGTAGAAGACTAACTGCTGTTGCTTCCTTGGTTGTCTTTCCTCGAACAGATCCATCTCCTGTTGTTCAGCGTGAAGCTCGGCGCAGAGGTGCATCTCCGAAATTCTTCCGTGGGCTCGAAGAAGTGATCGTGTGGTTCTCCATTCTGGCCCGAGCCCGGCGAGGACAAGTGTCACGAAGCTTTCTTCAGTGATCGTTCCTCCGCACCGAAGCAGGCGGTCGCGGAGGGTCTGGCAGCGACTCATATACTGCATCGCCTTTTCCCCGGTCTTCATCTGTATTGTTGTCAGCTGTTGCATGAGTCTGCTTTGTGTCACGCTGTCGTTTGCTTGGTAAAGGCACTTGAGGTGGTGCCATGCGAGCTCCGCGGAGTTTCCATAACTCCGATACGTTCTGATGCTCTGCTGCTCTTGTGGTGACAGGTTTCTCAGGAGTACCGTGTACGCCAGCAGCGACTGATATGTGAAGATCTCTTGTTCCTTCCCAGTGCCGTTGCTTGGGAATGGCAGGGACCCGTTGAAGTATCCCAGAAGATGCGCGGCCTCCATCAGCAGCTCGAACTCGAAGCTCCAGGTAAAGAAGTCGTGTCCGTTGAACGGTGAGGATGTCTGAAGTTTGATCACGTGTGAGAACTGCGCCTGTAAACTTAAGATTTCATTCGGTGTTTGTTGTGATGCAGCTGCTGTTGGCTGGGCACGGGGCGGCATGAATTCGAACGTCCCCGGCGAAGAATGATAAGGCGCAAAGGTAGGCGCTTGGTTGTGTCGCCCGAAGGATGAGTTGTCGAGGCTCATCGGCGCTAATCCCATATTCCCTCCATTGCTCTGTGTTGAGTGCGCAGGTGTCCTTGTCTGCTGCTGCTGGTCGAAGTGTGACATGAAGCTGAAGAATCTCTCCATGAGATTCGGGTCCACACTTGAAGAGGGAGACGGAGTCACCATCTCTGGTACTCTTCCCGTTGTTTCTTGAGTAGTCCCGGTCTCTGTCTGCAGTCCTGAGGTGTGCAGACCAGAGTTGCCGTGTTGAGTTTCTTGGGCGCTGGGTGAGCCCGTAGAGACTTTCTTGCCCTTGTTGTCCATGTCTTGTAATCAATGGAGTTGTTGAATCAAGTTGAGTTGCTGGTTGTTGATGGAGTGTAGTTGCTGGGAGTTTTGGTCTCTGACCAGCTCTCATACCATGTTGGGCTGAGAAAAGCCCTTAGGATCTTTTGCAGAGACTAAGTCCCAGCTGTAGAGACTTGAGACTTGGAGTAGTGCAGCGGAAGTTGAGACAGTTGAACCCTTGTACTAGTATGTGAGAACAAGTGATTGATTAAAGAAACAAGCATACAGCAATATATAGAAGATAAGAAAGCAGTTGCAGAGTACAGTTACAGGAACGGTTTATCGAGTCGCATAGCGACTCGATTGCCGCTTCGGTTACCATCCGTGATGCTGTAACGGTCAGTCGCAACCTCCAGTTGCGACCCTTTGAGTCCCAGACCCTTCGTGTTCTTTGTCCGCCCCCTCGTGTAACCTCCGTTGACTCGCGTACCCCTTGCAATCTTCCTCGAGTGTAGTGTTACACTTCAGAAACGCTTAAGTCTTTTGATGTACTTTCAACACTCCCCTTCGTTTCTGGAGTGCTGACTTGTTCAGGTCCGATGACGTTTGTTTGTCCGGTCAGCACCATGCAGTAGTCGAATTTTGCCTTCGCCAATTTCTTCGTCAAATAGTCTGCGGCCATTTCTGTCGTCGGGCAGTAACTGAGTTGAAGTCTCCCCTTCGCGATTTCATCCTTGACGAAGAAGTACCGCAGGGCGATGTGCTTGGTTCGGTTGGCGAAGCCGTCCTTGTTTGCGATTTTGATCGCAGATTGGTTGTCGCAGAAGAGTGAGAAGGCGGGCAGGGTCGCGATCTTCGCTTCCTCGAGTAACTCTCGCAGGTAGAGTCCTTCCTTGGTCGCGGTACAAAGGGCGATGTACTCTGCTTCAGCAGAGGATAGTGCGATTAACTCCTGCTTGCTCGACTGCCAGGAGATAGTTCCGATGGGTTCTAGTCGGTAGATGTAGCCCGTCCTAGATCGTCGATTTTCCCTATCTCCCGCGTGGTCGGCGTCGACGTATCCGAGTAGTTGTACGGACGATGTTGTCGCTTTGCTGTAGGTAAGTCCGATCGTCGGCGTGGAGATGAAGTAGAGTAGTGCCCGGTTGAGCTCCTCGAGATCCTCCTGTTCCGGTTGCTTCAGATGCGTCGCCAGTTGACTTGCACTATAGGACAGGTCGGGTCGGCAGGTTACTGCTGCAAATAGTAGGCAGCCGAGCTTCTGTTGATACTCCTGGATTTGCTTCGCGGGGAGTTTTGCGGAGGCGCTGTTGTTGTTTCCGTAGCGGTAGGGAGTTGAGGCGGTAGCCGGTGTTAGTCCGAATTTCTTCGCGACAGTGCCTGCGTACTTTCCAGCGTGTAGGTAGAACGCCGAGTTGTCTTCGACGATATTTAGTCCCAAGTACTGGGTCACTGAGTCGGACACTGTGAGCGTCAGGTCCCCTTTCAGCTCCCCTTCGAACCAGGTGACGATGTCGGTGGTAGAACCGATGTAGAGCAGGTCGTCGACGTAGACGATGAGCAGAATGTAATCTCTTCCCTTCTGCAGTCGGTACATGCCTTGGTCATGTGGTAGCTGTAGGAAGCCGATTTTTACGAGACGGCTGTGAAGATGCTGCTGCCAGAGCCGCGGGGCTTGCTTGATCCCGTATAGGGATTTTGTCAGTCGGCATATTTTCGTGGGGTCGTTGATGAATCCGTGGGGTTGTTCGACGAAGATCTCAGCGTCCACAGGTGCGTATAGGAACGCATTCGCGACATCGATTTGGCGTAGTGGTAGTGTTTTCGTGGCCGCGACGGCGAGTAGGATGCGTAATGAGGTGTGACGGGAGACTGGAGCGAAGGTTTCTGTGTAGTCGGTTCCGTATCGTTGATCGAAGCCTCGTACGACCCATCGAGCTTTGAATCGTTCGATGGAGCCGTCTGAGTTGGTCTTGATGCGGTACACCCATTTCCCCGAGAGAACGTTCTTCCCGTTGATGCTCGTTGCAGGTACCAGTTTCCATGTGTCTCGGTCTTGCAGAGCTTTTAACTCTTTTTCCATCGCTTCCTTCCATTTTACCTTATGTTCCCCCCCCAGAGCCTGCGACAATGTTGAAGGCTCACGCGTAGAAGGCGGCGGCGGATGCTGGACGGAGACCCAGAGGCCTAGAATCTGGAGTCCCGTGGGTGTGTGCCGAGGGGAATTGTCATTCCCGGAATAAGCTGCTTCGTCACCGTCTTCGGGGTCAGGTAAGAAATTGGGGCCGATGCGTTCCGAAATATTCGTGTCGACGGGGTGAGGTGTAGCGTAACCTTGGTCGGCGAAGTGGTAAAAGGTGTCGAGGTTGTTGCTATCGAGGGGATTATCTTCATCTAGTGGAACAGGTACGGAACAGAATGGGAGTGGCCCGGCAGCTTCCGAGGCTCCAGGTACGTCTTCTTCTGCTGCGTCAGCTTCGGCAGCACGATCGGCGAAGGAACGAAGTCCCGAGAGGCCGTCGGTGGGGTCTTGTGTGTTGGCAAGGTTGTCCAGGTAATGCTGCAGAGTCAGTCGTTCGTAGAAGATAACGTCTCGTGATGCCACCGTGTTTTTGTCTTGTATGTCGAGAATTTTCCACGCGTGAAAATGTTTCGCGATGCCGAGGTGGAGTCCCCACCGAGCTCGTTGTGTGAAGCGTCCTGCTCGGGCTGTGTGGGGTCTGTACTGTACCATGCAGCCAAAGACTCTGAGTAATTTTGTGCTGCCCCTTTTTCTTGTCCACAACAGGTGCGGTGATGCGTTGTTGGGAAGTGATGATGAGGACAGCAGGTTGTGCAGGTGAACAGCATGTGTCATCGCGTCTGGCCACAGTGTGGTTGGCAGTCGCATCCCCTGAAGCAGTTTTCGCATCGTCGTCTGCAAGGTCCGATTCATGCGTTCTGCTACCCCCTGCTGTTGGTGAGCATAGGGCAGGGACACCAGGCGTCTGATTCCCCTTTCCGCCAGATAGGTCCTGAAGCGTTGTGACTGGTATTCCAGTGCACCGTCTGACTGGAAGCTCTTGAGTTTGAGTCCTGATTCTCGTTCGGCGATGGGGAGCCATGTTGTGAAGGCTTCGAAGGCTTGGTCGCGCGTTTTGAGATTGAAGTGCCAGACATATCTGGTTGCGGCGTCGATGAAAGTGATGACGTAGTTAAAGTCGGCTTCGGCGTCGTCTCGAGGCATGTTTAAAATATCGCTGTAGACTTTTTCCATCGGAGCGTAAGTAGGTGCGCTTGGGTTGTGATGGGATGGAAAAGGTTGATGAGGAAGATCTGCTTCGGGGCATGTGAAGCACCGTGCGCGTGGTCGTCGAAGTTCTTGACCGCTCATCGTCAGAAGGGCGTTGCGTTCTAACACCTCTGCTTGGATTGTTTGAAGTATTGTGCTGTTTGCAGGGTGTCCGAGGCGTTGGTGCCAGATGTCGTCGGGAGCACGGTGACCGGGCGAGCGGTGGTAGATGTCGGCGTTGGAGAAGAACGCGACGACCGAGGCGGGACTTCGACAAGCTTCTCGTGTGGCGGGCATAAGTTGGTCTGCTTCCGTTGGCGGTCCTCGTGTTGATGGTGGTGGTACTCGGCTGGGTCCTGCTGCCGATACTGCAGGTGATGGTTTTGTTGGGACATTTGCGGGTACTTGTCTTTCTTGTCTGATAACTGCTAATGCTCGTGTTCTCTCTGCTGCAGGTATGGTGTTGGAGTGCCAGAAGCCGTCACTGTCGAAGTCGGGATCAAGATCTGGCGGGTGAGTCCAGGCGGCGAACGATACGATGCCATCGCTGTCGGCAGTTCCGCGGTCGGGGACGAAGTCCAACACGAAGACACCGGACTTCAGGAGGGCACGACCGATGAAGAGGCCGCCCTTCCCGTGGTAAAGCCGGAACTCGTTGGAGTAAGAGTCGCACTCCAGGTGAATCCCTTTGGCCATTAGTTGGCTTACGCTTAGTAGATTGTATCCCAGGTTGTCGACAATGAGCACTTTGTTGAGCTGCAGTATTACGTTTGTTTCCATGGATTGTAACTGAACCACGCCTTGTCTGTTTGTCTTCAGGTTTTCGTTGTTGGCGACTGTGATGACGACGTCGCGGTTGAGTCGTTTCTCCTGTTGCACGAAGCGTCCCGAGGAGCACATGTGTTGACCGCAGCAGCTGTCCAAGAACCAGGTGTTTCGCCCGGTGGGTTCGGCGTTGGCGACTGCAGCGTATGTCGGGTTGACCTGAAGTCCTTGCGAGCGCGGCGGCGGGAATTCCTCTTCGTCTGGTGCGTAAGTGGGTGGTGAACCGGGTGCGCAGTTGTCGATGTGTACCATGCAGTTGATGATGTTGGGTGTTTGTTGTGCAGATGTTGAAGAGCGCCTTGGAGGACTTGCTTGAGTGGAAGCGACTTGTGGGTCTGCTGCACGGTAAACGCGAGGGCGGTTGCAGTTGACTTTGGAGTGCCCGGAAGTCTGGCAGTTGTGGCAGAACGGCGGTACGATGGTGAGTCCTCGGTTGTCGCGTTGATCTTGCTTGCTGCGTCGGTTGTAGTTGTTGTCATTTCTTCTTTGAGTGTAGAAGACTAACTGCTGTTGCTTCCTTGGTTGTCTTTCCTCGAACAGATCCATCTCCTGTTGTTCAGCGTGAAGCTCGGCGCAGAGGTGCATCTCCGAAATTCTTCCGTGGGCTCGAAGAAGTGATCGTGTGGTTCTCCATTCTGGCCCGAGCCCGGCGAGGACAAGTGTCACGAAGCTTTCTTCAGTGATCGTTCCTCCGCACCGAAGCAGGCGGTCGCGGAGGGTCTGGCAGCGACTCATATACTGCATCGCCTTTTCCCCGGTCTTCATCTGTATTGTTGTCAGCTGTTGCATGAGTCTGCTTTGTGTCACGCTGTCGTTTGCTTGGTAAAGGCACTTGAGGTGGTGCCATGCGAGCTCCGCGGAGTTTCCATAACTCCGATACGTTCTGATGCTCTGCTGCTCTTGTGGTGACAGGTTTCTCAGGAGTACCGTGTACGCCAGCAGCGACTGATATGTGAAGATCTCTTGTTCCTTCCCAGTGCCGTTGCTTGGGAATGGCAGGGACCCGTTGAAGTATCCCAGAAGATGCGCGGCCTCCATCAGCAGCTCGAACTCGAAGCTCCAGGTAAAGAAGTCGTGTCCGTTGAACGGTGAGGATGTCTGAAGTTTGATCACGTGTGAGAACTGCGCCTGTAAACTTAAGATTTCATTCGGTGTTTGTTGTGATGCAGCTGCTGTTGGCTGGGCACGGGGCGGCATGAATTCGAACGTCCCCGGCGAAGAATGATAAGGCGCAAAGGTAGGCGCTTGGTTGTGTCGCCCGAAGGATGAGTTGTCGAGGCTCATCGGCGCTAATCCCATATTCCCTCCATTGCTCTGTGTTGAGTGCGCAGGTGTCCTTGTCTGCTGCTGCTGGTCGAAGTGTGACATGAAGCTGAAGAATCTCTCCATGAGATTCGGGTCCACACTTGAAGAGGGAGACGGAGTCACCATCTCTGGTACTCTTCCCGTTGTTTCTTGAGTAGTCCCGGTCTCTGTCTGCAGTCCTGAGGTGTGCAGACCAGAGTTGCCGTGTTGAGTTTCTTGGGCGCTGGGTGAGCCCGTAGAGACTTTCTTGCCCTTGTTGTCCATGTCTTGTAATCAATGGAGTTGTTGAATCAAGTTGAGTTGCTGGTTGTTGATGGAGTGTAGTTGCTGGGAGTTTTGGTCTCTGACCAGCTCTCATACCATGTTGGGCTGAGAAAAGCCCTTAGGATCTTTTGCAGAGACTAAGTCCCAGCTGTAGAGACTTGAGACTTGGAGTAGTGCAGCGGAAGTTGAGACAGTTGAACCCTTGTACTAGTATGTGAGAACAAGTGATTGATTAAAGAAACAAGCATACAGCAATATATAGAAGATAAGAAAGCAGTTGCAGAGTACAGTTACAGGAACGGTTTATCGAGTCGCATAGCGACTCGATTGCCGCTTCGGTTACCATCCGTGATGCTGTAACGGTCAGTCGCAACCTCCAGTTGCGACCCTTTGAGTCCCAGACCCTTCGTGTTCTTTGTCCGCCCCCTCGTGTAACCTCCGTTGACTCGCGTACCCCTTGCAATCTTCCTCGAGTGTAGTGTTACACTTCAGAAACGCTTAAGTCTTTTGATGTACTTTCAACAGGTGGCTGCTTCTAGAGGCCTCACAACGGTGAAGACTAATAACACTATTCATGTCCCTTCGGTGGGCTTATGGAGCCCATTGCTCCTCCCACTAGCTCATGCCATGCTTTACAATGTACATTTTGTTTTGCTATGGTATGCAATGAAGGTCATGGCATGTCGTGTAAACGGACATTGACATGTACAGTAGTTGTCAAGTTATGTGTGCACCGTCAGCGTTGGAGTGGCTGTATGCGACTATCTACTATGGAGAGGCACCATGTACGCGATATGAGATTCTTTCGCCATCACTCGCCTCAGCCCTCCACAGGCCGTCCTCTGGTTGTTGGGAGAACTACGTGCCTACATAACAAGCCCCTATTGTTCCACCTAGGAGTTAGCAATTGTTGCTCCTAGAAGTTGCCGAGCATCCGCAACGGCTAGTTAGTCACTGCTTCACGTCCATCACATTCCCCGGTCTCGCGTCGCCTCGCATGCTTAGCGAGAGACTCCTCCGCGCAATTCAAGCTCCTAAGTAATGGCTCCTAAGTTGACGACGCGTCGTCACCGATTCGTCAGCCTACAGCCGCCGACAATGGTAGCTTGCCGACCTTTACCCAGCAACGTCAATATGCCTTCTAGCTAGAATGGTGGTAGTTTTTATCCATCGGTATTCTTGAGATGCCAAAATCTCGGCAATCAGCGAAGCTCTAGCTCCTTGAACTTATTCCTTCGCAGGCCGTAGTGACGTGCGTGATTCGGCTACCTCTATTGGCTCCCTCCGTCCACTAGTTAGTAAATTATATGCGGCCGCAATGGGCCTTACGTCCGAAAGTTAGGAGACTATTGGCACACGCAATGCGCCCTTAGTTGCGCTCTCTTCGTCCGGGACGTACAAGATTATAACGACAGACGCAATGCGACACTAGTCTCTCTTTTCTTCCGATATTAAACACATATTTTAATTTATAACGACAGCCGCCATGAAGAAGCGGTCCGGCAAGCCGTCGGCGTCGTCCCTGGTGGCGATTCGGTTCGACTTCAAGGTGCATCTGATCGAGCTGCGCCCGTGGCTGCGCATGGGCGCGCCGGCGATCATCCAGTGGCAGCGCGGGGACAAGCGCACGGGGTTCTCCAAGCCCGTGCGCGCGCAGCGGGACGAGGGGGGCGCGGACGAGAGCGCGTTCAAAGTCGTCATCGACCAGACGTTCCGAGTGAGCATCTCACGCCGCACGTATTCGCGCGTTGCTCTTTGGTTGACCGTAAGAAGAACACAAATAATATCTTCTCTCTTCTTCCACTCCCAATGCGACCCCTGCAACCCGCTCAACGCCCCTCCCGCCCACCCTTCCCCTCCCCCATTTCCCCCCCCTTCTCCCTCTCCCCCCACTTCCCCTCCCCCAGGTCCCCGCCACGCTGTACCGCGAGCGCGGTGGCCCCGGCGCGGCCTACCAGCGCAAAACCGCCGCGTTTTCCATCCACGAAGCGCAAGCCGACGACTCGGCGCAGCCCAAGCCCACCGCCCTCGGCAAAGCCTCCCTGGACCTCTCCGCGTTCGCGGACTGCCAGGGGGTGCTTCCCCATTCCGTGCCCGTGCAGGTGTCCAAGTCGCTGGGCGCCGCGCTAGGGCAGCCCGAGCTGGTCATAACGGTGGAGTGCGCGGGGAAGAAGCTGAGCAAGGAGGCTGCTGCGGACGAGGCTGGCGCGGGGGTGTATGGCGGGGCAGGGGGCGCGGGGGGGGGGTCGCTGCCGCACTTCTACCCGACGAAGCTGGAGCCGTTTGAGGACGAGGAGGAAACGGCGGCGTCGTCGGGGGATGAGACCTGCTACTCCGATGCTGCTGGGTCCGTCATTGGGGCGGGGGGCAGTCGGCGGGGGACGCTTTCGGACCATGGGGGGAGTGATTCGGAGCACATGCGCGCAGGGGGGGCGCATGGGGGGCAGGGCGGGCAGGGGACAGGGAAGGGGCACAGACGGAGGGGAAGTGAGGCGTCTTCAGGGGGGCACGAGGGTCAGAGCAGCGATTCCGAGCTGGTCAGGCGGAGCAGTGGCGCCAGGAAAGGCCACGTGGCGGGGTACGAGGACCAGGGAAGCTCCACGCCAGGCTCGGCAGCAGGTTCGACGGCAGGTTCGGCAGCAGGTTCGGCAAGCGGTTCGCCAATGCGTGCTGCAGAGCGGAATAGGAGGCTGAAGGACGCTCCTGGGAGCGAGAGGGAGAGAACAGGCGCGGGCAGGCGGGAGAAGGGCCGGGCGAGGGACGGCAGCAGCGGATACGACAGGAGGCACTCGGGGGGAGAGATGGACCTGAGTCTTGCTTTCCAGGGGAAAGGGGGCGCAGGGAGGGCGCAGGGCGGGGGAGGCGGGGGGTTGCCGCCAGTGGGCGCAGGGGGAGGGGCGGAAGGGGGTCTGGGGAGTCGCATGTCGTCCCTGCCAGTTGAGAGGGGCATGGGGGGGCCGAGTGACGAGGCATGGGCGCAGGATGCTTGGGAGGAAGGGGAGGAAGGGGCGGAGGAGGAGGAGGAGGAGGAGGAGGAGGAGGAGGAGGAGGAGGAGGAGGAGGAGGAGGAGGAGGGGCGAAGAGGGGTGATGGAGGAAGGCGAAGAGGTGGGGGAAGACGATGGGTTTGGGGGGGAGGAGGGGGAGGAGGGGGGGGATGGGGCGGGTGGAGGGTCGTTTGAAGACCTGAACGACGCGTTTGGGAACGTGGGGGGGATGCTGGGCAGGACTGGCGGCGGGGAGGCATCAGACGCGCATGACATCTACGTGCACGACCCCCAGGGCAGCCATGGCCTTCATGGTGACGGGGAGGATGATGGCGATGGTGCTGTGGATGACATGTATGGGCAGGACGACATGCGTGATATGTACGGGCATCATGGCATGGGAGGGGGCATGGGGAGGGGCATGGGGAGGGGCATGGGGATGGGCATGGGGATGGGCATGGGAGGGGAGGAGCAGGAGGAGGAGGAGGTGAGGGAGGAGGACTTGGAGGACTTGTCTCTGGCGTACGAGAGGCGAGGGCCGGGGCAGCAGCAGCACGGCGGCGGCATGGGGGCGGACGGAGGGATGGGGGCGAGGAAAGGCGGCCGGCAGCAGCAGCATCAGCAGCAGGAAGCGGAGGGGGAGTACTGGGGTGATGATCAGGAGGGCATGGGGGGGGAGTACGGGCAGGGGGGAGGGTACCAGGGAGAGGAGGACTATGGGCAAATAGAGGAGAACTATGGGGAGGAAGAGGGGTACGGGCGCGGGCATGGGCATGGGCATGGGCATGGGAAAAGGGGGCAGGGGCGAGGGGGGTATGAGGAGGCGGATGGGGAGTTAGTCCAGGTGGAGGAGTACGTGAATGAGGGCGATGGGGATGATGGGGGCGATGGGGGTGATGGGGATGATCACAATGGCGGCATGAACGGGGGCCAAGGGGCGTACGACGAGGCGTTTGGGTTCGAGCAGAGCCAGGATGCAGACAGGTACGAGGACCAGCAGGAGGGGTATGCGGATGAGGATGGGGGGTACCGCAACCAGCAGGGGGGATACGGCGATCAGCACATCCGGGCGAGAGGGGGAGAAGCGGACCAGGGAGCCCAAGAGGAGGAGGACGCGGAGGAGGAGGAGGAGGAGGATGAATTCGAGACGCTGCCTCCGCCGCCCCCCAAGTCGCCCCTGCGGCGGCCCCTGGAGGGCAAGGAGCGGCGCGACCCCTTCAACGACTCGCTGCACTTCGGGCTGACCTCCCCTGGCAGTCCGGGGGGCGACCTGTTCCCGGTGAACCTCAAGAAGCCCATGCCCTACGTGGGGGGGGTCTTGGACGGGGATCACATTACTCCTTCGCCACGCGCTGGGAGCAGCGGTGCTGGTGGTGGGGGCAGTGGGTCGGATTCAGGCAGTGGGGGCGGGGGAGGGGCAGGGGGAGGGGGAGGGGCAGGGGGAAGGGGAAGCGGGGGGGTGTTGGGCCAGTCGAAGAGCATGAAGGTGGTAGGGGACAGGACAGGGGAGCGGGAGGAGGAGCGGGTGACGGGCGACGCGTCGAGTCTGGAGTTTGAGTGGCGCAAGGTGCGCACGGAGAAGAAGCTGGTGGAAGAGGAGAAGCGCGCGCTGCAGACCCTAGGGGACGAGGTGCAGCGGCTGCGAGTATGGGCGGAGAACGAGAGAGCAAGGCTCAAGAAGGAGCAGGCGCAGTTGGAGGGGGATAGGAAGCGTTGTGCGGAGCTGGAGACCCAAATGGCAGAGTTTTCCTCGTGGTCCGAGGCGGAGGAGGAGCGGATCCGGCAGGAGAGGGAGGAGGCGGAGCGGATGAGAGAGGCAGCGGAGGAGGTGGAGAAGAGGGTGCGGGCGGAGAGGGAGCGGTTCGAGTGGGAGCAGCAGCGTGTGCTCGAGGAGAAAGCGCACCTCGACGAAGCTGCTGCTTCAGTCGCCGAGGCTCTGGCTCGGGCTGCAGAGGCTGAGGAGCGGGCGAGGAGTGCGGAGCGGAATTTCGGGCGGTTGCCCGGGGATCTGAGAGACGCGGCGATGGCTGACGTGGCAGTGTATGCAGTGAGGCCGGAGCACGGGGGGTCCGTGCGGCGAGTCCACACCCCTGCGAGGCGAATTGCGCGCGCGTACGCGTATGTGCGCGTGCACGAGGCGGATGAGAGGGTGGGGGGCGTGGCGAGGGTGGCGGTGACGGCACTGACCCTGGCCTCACAGGCAGCTGCTGACGATGCGGCGAGGCTGCTCTTCTGGTGGTCCAACACTGCCATGCTTCGGGAAGCCATCGCCAGCATCGCCCCCACTGAAGTTGGCTCTGACGGTCTCCCCTCTGCCGACTCCTCTTCCTCCTCCTCCTCGTTCCCCTCCTCTGACCGAACCTCCTCCGGCTCCGAACCTGATTCCGAAGCTGCTGGGTCGGCGGGTTCCAGACCTGGCAAAAGGGCTTCTAGAGGAGGGGTGGCGGGGGCAGGGGCGGGTGGGGAAGGGGGGGGTGGGGGGCGGGAGTCGTGGGGCAGTGCAGGGACGCTGGTGGCGGCGCTGAGGCGACTGGAGGAGTGGCAGCACGACCGGTGCTTGGAGCTGGTGTGGCGCAAGGTGAGAAGAGGGGGGGCAGGGGAGACGTGGGAGGGGCTGTTGGGTAATGGGAGGATGGAGGGTAGAGGAGGGATGTGGTGGGAAGGGTGGGCAAGGCGTTTTTGAGAATTCTCAAAAACACCCTGCAAAATCAAGGGTGGGCAAGGCTGGTCGGTGACTCTCAGGCGACTGGCAGAGTGGCAGCACGACCGGTGCTTGGAGCTGGTGTGGCGCAGGGTGAGGCCAGTGGGAGGGAGAGGGGACTGGGACGAGCAAGGCCATGCCATCAACACTATAATCCCCCCCTCAGGCTGGTGTTTCCTTTTCTATGATATTCCCCCCCCCCCCCCCCCCCCCTCTTCCTTCACCTCACCGGCCATCTTTCCCGCCCTCCGCCCTCCACCCCCCTCAGGTCTTCCTCCCAGCCCTTCGCCGCCCCCCCACCTCCCCCCCCTCCTCCTCCTTCTCCTCCTCCTCGTCCACCCTCTCAGCGGCCTCCTCGCTCTTCTCCTCCCTTGCTTCTGCCGCCACCACCAGCGCCTCCTCCCTGGCCTGGCCGGGCGGCCAGACCGTGAGCGGCGCTTTGGGCGGCGCACTGGGATTGGGCGGGCAGAAGAAGCCGGCAGCGCCTCTTGCTGGAGGGGTGGCAGGTGAGATGTGGGCAGGTTAGGCGTCGGCATGTTCGTCTCTCAGCCCGTCAGAAGCCTCCACTAGGGGTACCTTACCAGAGCACAACCCTTTTCCCCCTCCCGCCTGCCTCTCGTCCCCCCATCGCTCCCATCCTCCTGTCCTCTCCCCTCCCTTCTTCCCTCGCGTCCCCCTTTCCCCTCACAACCCCCTTCTCGCCTCATGTCCCCTTTCCCCTCACAACCCCCTTCTCGCCTCATGTCCCCTTTCCCCTCACAACCCCCTTCTCGCCTCATGTCCCCTTTCCCCTCACAACCCCCTTCTCGCCTCATGTCCCCTTTCCCCTCACAACCCCCTTCTCGCCTCATGTCCCCTTTCCCCTCACAACCCCCTTCTCGCCTCATGTCCCCTTTCCCCTCACAACCCCCTTCTCGCCTCATGTCCCCCCCCCCCCCCCCCCCCCCCCCCCCCCCCCCTCCCCTCACAACCCCCTTCTCGCCTCATGTCCCCTTTCCCCTCACAACCCCCTTCTCGCCTCATGTCCCCTTTCCCCTCACAACCCCCTTCTCGCCTCATGTCCCCTTTCCCCTCACAACCCCCTTCTCGCCTCATGTCCCCTTTCCCCTCACAACCCCCTTCTCGCCTCATGTCCCCTTTCCCCTCACAACCCCCTTCTCGCCTCATGTCCCCTTTCCCCTCACAACCCCCTTCTCGCCTCATGTCCCCTTTCCCCTCACAACCCCCTTCTCGCCTCATGTCCCCTTTCCCCTCACAACCCCCTTCTCGCCTCATGTCCCCTTTCCCCTCACAACCCCCTTCTCGCCTCATGTCCCCTTTCCCCTCACAACCCCCTTCTCGCCTCATGTCCCCTTTCCCCTCACAACCCCCTTCTCGCCTCATGTCCCCTTTCCCCTCACAACCCCCTTCTCGCCTCATGTCCCCTTTCCCCTCACAACCCCCTTCTCGCCTCATGTCCCCTTTCCCCTCACAACCCCCTTCTCGCCTCATGTCCCCTTTCCCCTCACAAACCCCCTTCTCGCCTCATGTCCCCTTTCCCCTCACAACCCCCTTCTCGCCTCATGTCCCCTTTCCCCTCACAACCCCCTTCTCGCCTCATGTCCCCTTTCCCCTCACAACCCCCTTCTCGCCTCATGTCCCCTTTCCCCTCACAACCCCCTTCTCGCCTCATGTCCCCTTTCCCCTCACAACCCCCTTCTCGCCTCATGTCCCCTTTCCCCTCACAACCCCCTTCTCGCCTCATGTCCCCTTTCCCCTCACAACCCCCTTCTCGCCTCATGTCCCCTTTCCCCTCACAACCCCCTTCTCGCCTCATGTCCCCCTTTCCCCTCACAACCCCCTTCTCGCCTCATGTCCCCTTTCCCCTCACAACCCCCTTCTCGCCTCATGTCCCCTTTCCCCTCACAACCCCCTTCTCGCCTCATGTCCCCTTTCCCCTCACAACCCCCTTCTCGCCTCATGTCCCCTTTCCCCTCACAACCCCCCTTCTCGCCTCATGTCCCCTTTCCCCTCACAACCCCCTTCTCGCCTCATGTCCCCTTTCCCCTCACAACCCCCTTCTCGCCTCATGTCCCCTTTCCCCTCACAACCCCCTTCTCGCCTCATGTCCCCTTTCCCCTCACAACCCCCTTCTCGCCTCATGTCCCCTTTCCCCTCACAACCCCCTTCTCGCCTCATGTCCCCTTTCCCCTCACAACCCCCTTCTCGCCTCATGTCCCCTTTCCCCTCACAACCCCCTTCTCGCCTCATGTCCCCTTTCCCCTCACAACCCCCTTCTCGCCTCATGTCCCCTTTCCCCTCACAACCCCCTTCTCGCCTCATGTCCCCTTTCCCCTCACAACCCCCTTCTCGCCTCATGTCCCCTTTCCCCTCACAACCCCCTTCTCGCCTCATGTCCCCTTTCCCCTCACAACCCCCTTCTCGCCTCATGTCCCCTTTCCCCTCACAACCCCCTTCTCGCCTCATGTCCCCTTTCCCCTCACAACCCCCTTCTCGCCTCATGTCCCCTTTCCCCTCACAACCCCCTTCTCGCCTCATGTCCCCTTTCCCCTCACAACCCCCTTCTCGCCTCATGTCCCCTTTCCCCTCACAACCCCCTTCTCGCCTCATGTCCCCTTTCCCCTCACAACCCCCTTCTCGCCTCATGTCCCCTTTCCCCTCACAACCCCCTTCTCGCCTCATGTCCCCTTTCCCCTCACAACCCCCTTCTCGCCTCATGTCCCCTTTCCCCTCACAACCCCCTTCTCGCCTCATGTCCCCTTTCCCCTCACAACCCCCTTCTCGCCTCATGTCCCCTTTCCCCTCACAACCCCCTTCTCGCCTCATGTCCCCTTTCCCCTCACAACCCCCTTCTCGCCTCATGTCCCCTTTCCCCTCACAACCCCCTTCTCGCCTCATGTCCCCTTTCCCTCACAACCCCCTTCTCGCCTCATGTCCCCTTTCCCCTCACAACCCCCTTCTCGCCTCATGTCCCCTTTCCCCTCACAACCCCCTTCTCGCCTCATGTCCCCTTTCCCCTCACAACCCCCTTCTCGCCTCATGTCCCCTTTCCCCTCACAACCCCCTTCTCGCCTCATGTCCCCTTTCCCCTCACAACCCCCTTCTCGCCTCATGTCCCCTTTCCCCTCACAACCCCCCCCCCCCCCCCCCCCCCCCTCATGTCCCCTTTCCCCTCACAACCCCCTTCTCGCCTCATGTCCCCTTTCCCCTCACAACCCCCTTCTCGCCTCATGTCCCCTTTCCCCTCACAACCCCCTTCTCGCCTCATGTCCCCTTTCCCCTCACAACCCCCTTCTCGCCTCATGTCCCCTTTCCCCTCACAACCCCCTTCTCGCCTCATGTCCCCTTTCCCCTCACAACCCCCTTCTCGCCTCATGTCCCCTTTCCCCTCACAACCCCCTTCTCGCCTCATGTCCCCTTTCCCCTCACAACCCCCTTCTCGCCTCATGTCCCCTTTCCCCTCACAACCCCCTTCTCGCCTCATGTCCCCTTTCCCCTCACAACCCCCTTCTCGCCTCATGTCCCCTTTCCCCTCACAACCCCCTTCTCGCCTCATGTCCCCTTTCCCCTCACAACCCCCTTCTCGCCTCATGTCCCCTTTCCCCTCACAACCCCCTTCTCGCCTCATGTCCCCTTTCCCCTCACAACCCCCTTCTCGCCTCATGTCCCCTTTCCCCTCACAACCCCCTTCTCGCCTCATGTCCCCTTTCCCCTCACAACCCCCTTCTCGCCTCATGTCCCCTTTCCCCTCACAACCCCCTTCTCGCCTCATGTCCCCTTTCCCCTCACAACCCCCTTCTCGCCTCATGTCCCCTTTCCCCTCACAACCCCCTTCTCGCCTCATGTCCCCTTTCCCCTCACAACCCCCTTCTCGCCTCATGTCCCCTTTCCCCTCACAACCCCCTCTGCGTACCAGACGCTGAGCGGGCCCCCTGGTGGAGCAAGCTGGTGGGTGTGGAGCGGTGGAGAGCGGTGTTGCACGAGGCGTCGTTCGCCCTGTGCCCCCAGCGCGCCATGGGGCGGTGCTGCGGCTGCGTGTACCTGCTGGAGAAGCAGGTAGGGCATGCTGGAGAAGCAGGTAGGGCATGGTGGAGAAGCAGGTAGGGCATGCTGGAGAAGCAGGTAGGGCATGCTGGAGAAGCAGGTAGGGCATGCTGGAGAAGCAGGTAGGGCATGCTGGAGAAGCAGGTAGGGCATGGCGAAAAGGCAACAGGGCTTTGCTGGAGATGAGGTAGGAATCGTGGAGAAGCAGGTAGGAATGCTACGTGTTCCTCGCTGCTGTTCGTCTCTGCCGTTCCTTTCTGGCACAGCACCCCACCCCATCTCTGGGTTCTGGACCGCTGCCTCCTCCCCCTTTACACAGCCCTCTTCAACACCGTCCACTCATGCCGTCCACTCATGCCGTCCACGCATGCCGTCCACCACAATCCAATCAAGTGTGTTCCTTTGATGTTCCATACCACCCCATGCTGCAGGTTCTCGAGCACTGCCTCCTCCGCCTTGACACGGCCCTATTCAACGCCCTCCTGCGACCCAATCCGGACGTGCCTCCCTCCGACCCTCTTGCCGACCCTATTACCGAGCCTGCTGCCCTGCCGTTCTGCACGATGGGCAAGCTCACCTACTCCAACGGCATGCACCTCAAATACGCCGTGAGTGCCGCCTGCACCTCAAATACGCCGTGAGTGCCGCCTGCACCTCAAATACGCCGTGAGTGCCGCCTGCACCTCAAATACGCCGTGAGTGCCGCCTGCACCTCAAATACGCCGTGAGTGTGGCTGACTTGCCTTGACTGGTACTCACTGACCCTGGCTGACGTTCAGCCGATCTTCACAACCTCGACTCACACCTGTGCTCCGCCCCTTTCCTCGACCATGTTTGCACCTCCCCCCCTTCCGCTACCCCTCTGCACAGCTCAGCCTGGTGCACTCATTTCCACGACCCTGACTCATGCTTGCAGCCTCTATCGTCTCCCTCCCTTTCTGCGCCCCTCTCCCTCCCTGTCCCGTCTCCCCCCCTCCCTGCGCTCCTCTCCCCCCCTCCCTGCAGACCTCTGCTTGGTCCACCCTTTTCCACGACCTTGATTCGCACGTGCACGCCCAACTCGACCACCTCCTCGCATCCTCCCACACACCCAACCACTCAGCCCCACACCACCCCCCCACACTCCCCCCCCCTCCCCCCTTCTCCTCCTCCGTCCTAGCCACCACCACTGCCTTTTGGGCCGGAGCCCTCGACCCCTCCGACCCCTCCCCCTCCTCCTCGCCGTCCTTCCCCTACTCGTCCTCCGCCTCTCATCCCGCCTCCCCTCGCTTCCCTCCCAGTGCGGCGGCAGCACCCGGGGCGGCAGTGGCAGTGACGGGCGGACCGGGGGAGTATTTTCCAAAGCTGAGGGCGATGGCGCAGGTGCTGCTGCTGCCCAAGGACCTGCTGAAGGACCAGCAGGCGAGAAAAGAGGTGAGGGGGTCGGGCTTGTGTGGTGCCACGTGTGGGGATTGGGTTTGTGTGGTGGGACGGATGGATGTTCCGACGATGATCGTGAGAGCCATGGCTCAGGTGCGTCTGAGGCATAGGAAGAGGTGAGTGAGGAGGGGGAGATAAGTGTTGCACCCAGAGATGCATTCCCCCCCAATGAATCCCCCCCCACGCATCCCCCCCCAATGCATTCCCCCCCCCCCCCCCCCCCCCCATGCATCCCCCCGATGCATCCCCCCCTATCCATCCCCTCCCATGCATCCCCCTCCTATGCATCCCCCACCTATGCATCCCCCCCCTATGCATTCCCCCCCTATGCATCCCCCACCTATGCATCCCCCCCCTATGCATTCCCCCCCTATGCATCCCCCCCCTATGCATCCCCCCCATGCATCAAGAGTCTGAAGGTGAAGGAGGTGATGTGGGCTACAGCTCCAGCGAATGAGTGTAGGCTCTGCTTTAGCTCAGGTGCTACATCCGCCCGTGTCCATCAATGGGGATCACATGAGTCAGATCTGCAACATACTATGTACCATGCATTCATGTGTGCATGCGTGCGTGCGTGTGGGTGTGCATTCGTGCTGGTCGCATGAGTGCAGGTGTGTGGCGATCTGAGTGTGGCATTGGTGCGCCGCATCCTCGTCCTCTTCGCCCCGGATGCCAGCGCGCCCGACGCCGTCTCCACCACGCTGCTGCAGCTGCTCAATAGCGAGGTGAGGCTCTTGCGATCACAAGACTTGGAGGCTCATGTGAGGTCAAAGAGTGGCAGTATGCCAATGCGCCACAGATGCCAGCGCGCCTGACCGCGTCTCCACCACGCTAATGCTGCTGCTCACTAGCGAGGTAAGAATCTCAGTGCGAAGGTCAGTGCCTTGTGAACAGGCCCTGAGATATCAGGCTTTTTAGGCTGATTTGGGTTTCAGGTCCAGGCCATATCTTGGCATTGGCTAATGCAAATGATACAAAGGCTCGTGAGGGACCTGTTGTTCAAGAATAAGTCTCAATGGGCAGTTTGCAAACACAGGAAAATCATAGACAGCAGAAAAGACAGCCATTGAAATTAAGCAAACCAGGGCTTTAAGGTTGATATCTTAGGCCCTGCTTGTGAACCAATGTTTTGCGTTCGCATCAGCATGTGCTCCCTTTGTGCCAACCTTTTCACAAACCTTTCCTCCCGCCCACAATGCCCCCCCCCCTTCCCCCCGCCCCTCTCTTCCAACCGCACGATCATCCCCACCGCCCCTTCTCAGGTGCACAGCGAGTCCCGCCGTGCCAAGGGCAATCCCTCCACAGACGTGGCCCCTCTCCCCCCCACACCCTACACCCCGCCCCCCTCGCCCTCGCTGCGTCTGCTGCTGGGGTCAGTGCGCCTGCTGCACCTGCCCCACCCCGGGGCGTCCGGACTCGCCCTGGACCGCGGGTACGAGAGTGAGGAGGAGCTGCGCCTTGTGGAGTCGCCCTCCGACCTCCTCGCCCACATGATCGCCCAGCTAGGGGGGCAGGGGACTGCAGGAGCCGGCGGTGCTGCTGGTAACGGTGCTGGTAATGGTGGGGGAATTGGGAAGGGTGCGGCGGGGAGTGGTGGGGCGAGTGGCAAGGGGCGGGTGTTTGGGCACCGGGACACGTACAAGAGCTCGGGGTACCAGCTGCTGGCTGACGTGTGGAGCAGGCAGGCCGCCAGCAATGCTCACTCGCAGTCTGGCCACACATAGCCGCCGCAATGTGCATGTGATGTGAGAGACAGCTCAAGCCCTGGCCTCCAGTCAGATGGCAAACTCATGCGTAGCTAGGTGCCGTGCAGGAGAGAGTGAGTGAGAAGAGGCGGGGAGAGTGTGACGAGCTGTAGTGATCTAGTGAGTAGTCTCATGCCAGATGGCATGCTGCATCAGCAATCTCTAGGTGGTTGTGCTGCACAGTATGGCACGATAGGTGCTGGTTAAGTGCTGTTGTAGTACCAGGTGTCTAGTTTTGTCTGGTTTTGTGTGCATACCAAACAAATTACTTATAAACATACATCTTTGCTTCTGGTCTACACTTGCCCACACATCTTGTACAATACTACAGCTGAAATGTACACATTTTGCAGGGTAGCTCCTGCTGTTAGCACTGGTTCCTGCTGTAACTCCATCACCCCTGTTCCTCTCTATGGCATGGCACCCCACTGCGCCACTAGCTGCTAGCACTGCTTGCAGGACTTTCTGCAGGACTCGTGCATGTAGGCAGGGTTCCTCTCACACTCCCCACTGGCAGCCCAGCTGGGGCAGCTGCAGCGAGGGACAGACAGAGTGACGTGCGAGAAGGGCAAAGACTGGTGGTTAGGCAGACGGCAGCACAGCGCAGCACAAGGGCAGTGCAGCACAAGGACAGCACAGCACAAGGACAGCACAAGTACAAGTACGAACACACACAAGGCAGAAGCTGGACATGCATGCATGGACGTGACACCTTGGTGATCAAGAGAGCATGCATGGAAGCTCATGATGTGGCATGACTCTGCCATAGAGTGCAGCATCAGATTAGCAGTGACCACCTCCTCCTCCCCCTGCCCAGCCACCTGGACCCCTCCCTACTTGCCCACCCCATGCACACACTGCCTCCATACGCCAAATCGCCATTTAACTCTCTACAAACCAGCCACGTGTGCATGCTCCCCAGGTCCCTTACAAGGCATTGGCGTCGATGCACCCTGTCAGCACGCCCTGCCCGCCGCCCGCCATGTCAGCCATGCCCACGCCGCCCGAGGGCCCGGTGTAGAGCTTGGAGAAGTCTGCCACGTGGATCCACTTGGGTGCGGACCACTTGACGCCCTCCACCACAGGGCATGCGTAGTGCAGCGAGGACGCGTCAGGGGAGCCGTCCGGATGCATGCTATAGAAAAGAAGGGCGTCACCCTTTGAGGGTTTCACTGGCGGGGGAGGGGGGAGGACAGGTGAAGAGGGGTTGGATGGAAGTGTGCAGCACGCACCCGTAGTGCAGTGAGGACGGGTTGGAAGAACCGTCTGGGTGCATGCTGTAGAGAGGAGGGCGTCGCCCTTGGAGGGCTTCCCTGGCGGAAGAGGCCTAGGAGGGGAGGCAACAGGACGTGTCAGGCCCGAGGGGGGCACACCCTTGAGCTGAAACCTATCCTTTCACCTCAGTGTTTCTCTGCATTCCTCCATCCCAGCCCGCAGCCCCGGCTTACCTAGATTCTCCCCTGCCCGCCCCCCCCCCCCCTTGCTAGCCTCCCTTCTACTTTTAGTCTTCTCCCCCTTCGTCCCGCTTCCTGTCAGGTGCTCTCCTACTTCCACCCCCTCTCCCTGCTCCCAGCCTTCACAACTGCTTCCCCCCCTGTGCCTCTCACCAGCGAGCTTGCCCTTGGCGCAGTCGGACCACGAGTCATCCCTGGGCGAGTGGTCGTCGGCGGTGGGGAAGACAGTCTCGCCGCCCTTGGTGACGTTGTTGAGGTACATGAGCACCGTGGCGTACCGGTGCCCGCCGCGCTTGCGGTTGTTGGGGTCGTGGAAATAGTCCACGTGCGGCTCGTACTTCTGCCCCTTCTCGTATTTCAGCACCTGGTAGGAGGGAGAGGGGGGGGGAGGGGGGAGAGACGTGGAAAGGCAGGGATGGATGGAAGGGTAAGGATTGCGTGTGCGTGTGCAGTCGACGTGCTGCTCGTACCTCTGCCCCTTGGCGCGCTGCAGTGCCTGGAGGCAGGGGAAAAGGGGCATGGGCGGAGGGAGTGGTGGAAGAGGAAGCGAGTGGTGGATGGCGGGACGGGATCATGGGGATGGTGGATGGTGGGTCAATAGAGTGTGCGTCCAACTTATACGGGCCTCGGGCTTCCACCCTCTCCTACGGGGCCAGCTTGAGCATTCCTCACACAAGCCATACCACATGGCTCGCATTTTCCGGCATCCCCCCACCCCGCGTGGCACCTGCATGGCCTCCTGTTTGGGCAGCGGCAGGAACGTCCACTCGGCTCAACGCCACTCGCGCTTCAACCTCCCCTACATCCACCCCCTCCCGCCCCCCAACCCCCTGCCACCCGCGCGGCACCTGCATGGCTTCCTGGTTGGGCAGCGGCAGGAAGGTCCATTCGGCGATGCGGTGCTCGATGCGCGCGATGACGGCGTCCTCGGCGACGGCAATGAACATGCCGCTGCTCGTGCGGATCTCGCTCAGCTCGCTGTGCCCGTCCGTGTTGTCCGCCACGGATGACCTGCGGGAGAGACGGGAGGCGGACGGCAGGGGGTGAGTGAGGATGAGGGAGGCAGAGGTGAGCCTTAGCCCGCCCCTCGCTCAGCTCGCTGTGCCCGTCCGTGTTGTCCGCCACTGACGACCTGCGCGATGGACGAGAGAGAGGGGAATGGGGAGGGGACGGCAGGGAGTGAGGATGCGAGCCTTAGCCCGCAGCGCTCAGCTCGCTGTGTCCGTCCGCGTTGTCCGCTACGGACGACCTGCGGAGAAAGCGGACAGAGTGTGGAAGGGGCGGAAACGGCGGGGGCCCGTCGCCCGTCGCCTCAACGTGAACTACCCTGCCAATAGGCCGCGCTATTCCTGGAGACGCGCAGCGACTCATGCAGCGAAGAACGCTTAAGTTTAAAATTGCTTCTGGAGATGAATTCCAACCTACCTCTGTCACTGTGATGCGCGGCGCGGCGGACAAGTCAAGTGTACCTCTGGAGGCGCGGCGTGGCGATTTTGATAATGTGGTCGCACTCGTCGTCCGTGAGGAAGTTGCGGTAGAGGTACGCGCGCGGCTTCCACGCCGACAGCTGCACGATCCGGCTGAAGTCGATTCCCCCCGAGCGAGAGCCGTCGCCCTGCGCAGAGGCAGAAGCATGGGAGCACGTGAAATGCACGTGACTACTGATCAGCAGGAGCGTGAGAGGTAAGTATGCAGCTAATGCTGCGCCGTGAACCTCACACATGGTTATTCGTGAGCGCATATGCGTCGGCGCGACACGAATGCGTCGTACGGCGCATCTGGATGCGTGGAGCGGCGGCGAAATCTGGATGCCGTTTGAGTCGACTTCAAGCACGCATGCACGATGCGTCAACGATGCTTCAGATGCACGTGCGTGATGCTTCTGCGAATTCCAGAATGCGCACGCGTGCATTGAGAGAAGGAGACATCTGCTCACCGTGGCTCGACGAATGCTGCGCTTTGGGGTGAAGGAGGAACCGATGAGGTTTTTTATCTGGGGGAGCGCATCGACCATCACTGAGAAGGCTAAGAGGCAGAGCACCGCTACATGCGGAAGATGTACGCTTGTTCTCCGCGCCATTCCGACTGCTCCGACGTGACCCACGCGGCACTGGTATGCAAGAGATTTCTCGTCGCTTACGTGCCTCGACTACTTGTACTCAAAATCTGACTATTCGAAACGTCACAGCGCACTGTAACAATCGCGTACACAGTGAAACTAAAAGCGTCGTCTGACACTGGCCTGTGTGGAAGGGTAGAGGAAACTAAACCGGTTATGCTAAGTTGTCCTAGCTATGATGGAGCCGAGAGAGGTAGCGCTAGGAAACTGGGGTACGAGGGCCGAGTTCTAATGCCACCGACATCAGTCAGAGCGGCTCACAGCTCTGCCTCTCTGCAGCACATCAGTCAGGTGAACCCAAACCAAGGCCTTTCTGGCTGCGCTAGCAGGTTTGGGGAGCATGCTGGTCAAGCGATGTGGTCGGGCAAACTGTGATGTCAGGTGCCTCGATGGCAGGTCTGGAGCGGGAGACGGCCCCGAGGCTTCAGAAAAGGTACCTGTATGGAGTTCTGGTATGGCAGAGTATGTGGTCCGCTGAGGCCTGTGAAGTGAGAAAAGAACCGCTGAGACAGCGCATGGATTTGTGACTAGATTGACGGCTTCGATCGACTCATCTTCGCAAATCCAGCCTCGGCAAAGTAGCGTAGGTGGCGGTGACGTGTCCGAGGGCCAAGAGTCCCAAGTTGGAGTCCAGCGCATTCAACGCGACAGCGAATCAACGAGTTCGCGCATCGACGATCAGCTCGAGGGCTCGGTTTGCCACGAGGTTGTGATGTCTTTCTCCCCTGTCGCGTCGCACAAATTCATCGCTGGCGACTTTTTCTCCAGCGCAGCAGAAAAATATCCCTAGGGATTGGCTTGCCTCGGGATAACCTTTTTCCGAACCAGGCCTTGAGTTCTCCGAACAACCAGGCGCCAAGCCCTGGAGTTACAGCCCTGTACAATTCCCACCCAGCATTCCTCGCACCCGCCCTCAGGCTTCTCTCAGGCCAGCTCTGCCTTCACACAAAGCAGCAACACAACAGAGCCAGCTTGTTGATCCGAGCTTGTAGTTTCCCCATCATTCGAACGTTTTGTGAAGCTCACTCTCCGCCCTAGAATAGGTGGCTCGTTCGAAATCGTGGCCTTCTTAGATCCTTAACTCACGCACCTGAGGAGAGCACCTTTCGTGGTAACCATATCAATTAAAATTTCAGGTGACATGCGGCATTCAGACAGGAATATGCAGCAATCGCGCATGGCCTTCCTGGCCCTGCATTTCATCCTCTTATCCCTCCTACCCACTCTCCTCGTGCGTGCGGGGGACGTCCCCGGCGAGGCGGAGTCGTTGCCGGGATGGAAGGGCGCCACCTACGTCCTGCCGCCGGGACTAAGGGTAATCAGTCACGCCATGGCCAACACCCAGTTTAACTGATGTTCCATACTCACTTTCGCAGTTTCACTGAAAGCGTATCCGTCGTGGTGGTTGCGTCTGCAGGGACGGGAGAGGGACACGGCCAATGAGAGCCCCGGTCTGCCAGAGGACGATCTAGTGCAGGTGGAGCAGCAGAAGAGGCATGAGTCCGAGGCGCTACCTGAGCCGGCTGAGCAGCCCGCGCAGGGTGACTCTAGCGGGGGAAGTGACCCTAGCGGGCGCGCGATCATTCAGCTGTCGGCGGACGAGCCCCGCGCGTATCTGTTCAAGCGGTTCCTCACGGACGAAGAATGCGACCATATCATCGCCCTCGCCGAGCCCAGCCTCGAAAGGTGCCGCCATGATCATTAAGCCTTTAGCCTAGTCAATGACGGTACCGCGATAGCCGCTGTACTGTGCACGCTGGGAGGCTCAGCACCTCCCCCGTCCCTCCTCCACGCGTTCTCCTTCCCTCCCCAACCCCCCCTCAGGTCGACGGTGATCACGGAGGCGAGCTGAGGCAGCGAGGTGAGCGACATCCGCACGAGGCTCTCTAATCGACACGAGAAACACTGTTGCATACCCCCTGTGCCCCCCCCTACCCTCCCCCCCCCCTCTCCCGGGCCCGACCCTGTTCAGATCGACGGTGATCGCAGATTCGAGCAGCGGCAGCGAGGTGAGCGAAATCCGCACGAGCTTCGGCACGTTCATCGACAAGAAGGCGGACGCCGTCATCGAGCGCGTCGAACGGCGCATCGAGGCGTGGACGCACCTGCCCGTGTCGCACCAGGAGGCCCTGCAGGTGAGCGGGGGAGGAGAGGGGGGAGACGAGGGACTGGGACCAAGGGATTGTGACAGGCGGGAGAGAGACGAGAAGGGGGCAGGACAAGGACGCATGAGCAACGGCCGCGAGGACCTAGGTAGCCTGGGAGAAATGGGGGAATGCGCATTGAGAGCAAGGAATTGAAGTAGTCGAAGCTGAGCAGACACGAGGAGCACTAAACGTTCCATCCATTTGTCCCTCTACTCCCGTTGTCCTTCCCTGACCTCGCTTCCTTTCCCCACAGTTCAATACCATCGGGACCTTTGTTATCTGCTCCCCCTACCTTCATCCCCTTCCTCCCCTTCCTCCCCCGCCCTCAACGCCCCTTCAAACAGGTGCTGAGGTACAATGTCGGCCAGAAGTACGTGCCACACCACGACTATTTCTCCGACCCGCCAGAGACGCTGCAGGGCGGCCACAGGCTGGCCACCGTGCTCATGTACCTCAGCAACGTCACCAAGGGCGGCGAGACTGTGTTCTCCAATGTGCCTGACCCCACGCCCAAGGACCACTCCTGGTCCGACTGCGCCAAGGGGTATTTAGCAGTCAAGCCCGTAAAAGGCGACGCGCTGCTGTTCTTTAGCATGCACCCGGATGGCACGCCGGACGAGGCGAGCATGCACTACGCGTGCCCTGTGGTGGAAGGGGTGAAGTGGTCGGCGCCCAAGTGGATCCATGTGAGGGAGTTTGACGTGGCGGGGGAGGAGGGCGATCCCAGTGTGTGCGCGGATACAAATGGCATGTGCGATGCGTGGGCAGCGGCGGGGGAGTGTGAGACGAACAAAAATTACATGGAGGGAGGGAAGACGTTCGTGGGGGCGTGCCGGAAGGCATGTGGAGTGTGTAAACCAGACAGCAGCAATGGGACTGCTGTTTCATAAGACAAGGCACACTGCTCTTGGCTTGGCGTATCAAGGCATGGAGTTGGTAGGTAGGTTGTCAGCTCAGCTGTGGGCCCCCCTCAATCAACCTTCCTAATGAAGGTGTTGTAAGGAATCGTTGTACAGTATTTATTTGCACAAATCAAGTACACATTGGTTGTGTTAGAGCAACTAGATGTGATCATGTGAGCTCGATAACTTGCCACCAACCACCGTACCTGGCACAGGTATCACCAGGAGGGCATTTCAGTAGAAAGCTGAAATCTGCTGCATACGCAGTGCCTTGTTTGGCAAGGCTAGTAGACGAGCACGGACTTGCGTGCAGCAAGGAACTTGTCGAGCCTGTCCCAGAAGGACAGCGCTGCTGTGCGATCCTGATGCCGCTTGTACTTGCTTATCTGAGGGGGGGGGGGGAGGGGAGGGGAGGAAGGGGATGAAGCAGGAGAGAAGAGAATGGAGGAAAGGGGCAGAGTATGTGTGAAGGCACAGAAGTGCGCCATGGCCTTTCAAGTCATGAGAGTGCCGAGCCGAGTGTGGAACAGAGGGGGAGAAGAAGGGAGCGGTGTTTCAGAATACGTACAGCGAGGATGTTGCAATTCCACTGCTTGACTGTCGCCGCTGACTCCACACTGTCATCCTCAAAGCGCATGAACACACCCATCACTGCATGCACCACGCACACATGCACCATGCACACATGCATGCATGGGCAAAGGCATGGACCCACGCATGCAAACATGCACAGCAAGCGCAAAGTCAGTGAGCACGACACAAGAACGAGACACCGAACAGTAAAAGCTTCAACGGACAAAGCCAACCCAGCAGCTGTGCAGGTCGGCACTCTATAGCGAGTACGGCAGGTGAGCCAACCTTTGGAGAGGATCTCGACGTGGTCCTTGAAGGGCCACCCCTTGAACTGCCACTCCTTGCCCAGCACAAACACCGCCGCCACACGGTCCCAGTCCTGCGCACACCGCCAATGGATGGACAGAGCTGGCTCAACAAAACAACCGAGCACTAGCAAACACCAGACACTCACAACTATGCCACAGTCTAGTGTCATACGAAAGCAGATCACACCCCGCACCACAGCTGGCCACTCACTCTCTTGGACAGCCCTTCCGGTCGGTCCCTCACATGGTACGCCACCGCCTTCTCGCGCCCCATCTTGCGCTGCACCACCACCATCTCCGGCCGCTTCCCCCCTGCCGCCCGCGCCTTCTCCTCGGCCGGCACGTAATTGCCGTCCTCCAGAAACTCCTTCACGTTGAAGATGTTGATTAGGGTTTGGGCAGCGCTGGGTACGAGAATAATCGGCACCAGGCTTGCTCCTGCTCCCCCTCCTGATGATGCAGCTGCGCTGCCGCCACCGCTGCTGTGCTGTCTGTGCTGCGACTGGTGCGCTGGGCGGGCATGGCGGGAGGATGGCACCAGAGCGTGTGGCTGGGGCGGGTTGGACGGTTGCGATCGGCCATGCTGCCCTTCTGCTTTCCCCTGAGAGGCTCCAGCAGGAGCGCCGGAGCCGCCAGCAGCAGCAGCAGCGCCACTACCCCCCGTCCTGCCGTGCTGCACGAAGGACGACTGGGTGGGGTTGATTCCCAGCTCCTCCAGCGCGTCAGTCCCCATGTAGTCCCGCCACACCTGCCGCTCGTCCTGCCGCCCCCCCCCCCTCCCCCGCCAGCGCCAGCATTGGAGCCCCCCGCTGCCCCTCGGGCGTCCCTAGACGGCCGGGAGGAGGCCGGGGCGGAGGGGTGGCCGCGCTTGGAGGCGTCTCTGTGCGCCATGTCGAGCTTCTTGCGCTCGTGCTCGCGGCGGTTGAGCATGGCGAGCACGGCGGCGAAGGCGTCCTTGCGCCTGGGGCACAGCAGCACCGTCTCCCGGTCCCGCACCGGCCGCTCCCTCTTGATCAGCTCCCGTATGGCCTCCCTCTCCTCCTGCTCACTCATCCCCCCCCCTCCTAGCCCCACTCCCCCTACCGTTGCTCCTGCTGCGGCCGACCCTGCGCCAACGTCCGCGTGATAGGCCATGCCGCGTCCGGTTCCCAGCCCTGCCTGGTTCCCCTCTCCTCTCTGCCTCTTGCCGTACACGTCGTATCCTCCCCCTCCCCCTCCGTCTGCTCCTGCTGCTCCCACCTCCCCACCAACCCCACTCGCCCTTTTGTCCGTATCCCATCTGCTCCTTTTCCGACCCTGATCCCCAGCTTCGGCTGCTCCCAAACCGCCTGGCCCGGTGGCACCCTCTACCGCTGCTGACGCTCCTTGGCCTAAAGCGCCAGGAGCTGCTGACGTGGCGGCTCCGGAAGGGGGGAGGGGCGCGGAGGGGGCGGCGGAAGCGGGGGCGGGGGGGGGAAGGCCGATGGGCGCGATGAGATCGATGGCGTCCGTCGTCTGCAGATGGCCCTCGAGATATTCCTGGTCGCGGGAAGCAAGGTGGGGGCGGGGGGGGGAGGGGGGGGACGGAGTTAAGAACGAACAGGGTCCTGTGGAAGTTGGAGCAGCGTGAGAGAGAGCAGTGGAGCGAGGACGTAAGAAGGGTAAGTCGCGAGCAAGGGGAAGAGAGGTAAGGAACGGCTCGGGTCGCACCAGCAGCAGCTTGCGGTCCGTGAAGGTGACGATCTGCATGTTCTGCGCGCGAGCGCGCTGCATGTACTCCGTGTGTTTGAGCGCCTTGCACTGCACGAACAGCAGCAGCGACTCCAGGTTGTACCGGTCGCCGCCGCGACGCCGGTAAGCGGTTTCGACGGCTCGGGGGAAGCGGTACTCATTGCCGAAACAGCAATCGTCGCCGACGATGGTTACCCGGTCCAGCTCATTTCGCATGGTGTATTCGCGCAGGACGGATAAGGGATCCATTTTGGCTTTTAGGTCAAATCAACGAAGCAATAAGGGAGAAGCCGTAAAGGAAACCGGCTGGCGAGAAACTACTTGCTTTAAAACAAAGACGATAAGGAAACTAACGTCCTCGAGGCATTGAAGATCAGAATCACCAGTCAGTGATCGATCCTTCCGCATAATCTGCTGCTCGTGCGGGGATAACTATGGGGGGAGGCTAAGTGGAGGAGGAGGATGCTATGTGACCTAGTAATGCATTTCAGAGTGGAGGGGGAAGGCAACCTTGGGATTTGAGTGGACGTTGGCGGAATGTTTTGAGGCATTTCGCGAAGGGATTGAGGGGTGTTCGAACGAGCCTCGCGCATTCGAACGAACCTCGCGCGTTTTCGCACATGTCGCGAACCCGGACTCCCCTCCCTCCCATTCTTTTCCACCATGACTCGAGCCTATTTGAAACTATGTCTGGCTAGTCAACCCAGACTTGTGCTTGACGCTTAGCTTTCGCCACATCCCCGGAGCACTTGACCGGACAGGTGTGTCCCTTGCACGTCATCAAACAGGTCATTCGTGTCGCCGCAGCATTCAAGTATAGGACAGCTCGATCGCGCAGAACGAGACTGATTGCTTGCTTGTGCGCTCGAAGCATCTGTTCCCCAACAGAGATTCGCAAGAGATCCCTTGCTTAGCCGCTATGGCTACCGAGGCTACTCGCGAGGTGAGTGCTAGGAAATCGGTTTGGATCTGTATAATCCCCATCGACCAGCTTTCAAATGGCGATCACTGGTAGGCACGTCAGGCGTCTAGCGCGTACTCGAGCACCGTTGACCTGCTCGGCGTTATTTCGATGTCCGTTCCGTACGTCGTCTCATTTCAGCTGCCTTTCGCTCTCCCACTTGCTTCTCACAACCGCTCTTCTCCCCGCCAAGATTCCCGTCTCTTCCTCACCCACCCTTGTTTCCTCTCACACTTCTGCTCCCCATGCACCATCACTCAACCCCTTCGCATCGCCGTTCCTCACACGTCGCCACGTCTCTTCGTCAACCCTGCTGGTTACCATCGCTTGGCTTCAGGCCTTCGTGGAGCTCCAAGGGCGACTGCTGGAGACAGACGGCAAGCTGAAGCAGGTGGGTCGGGGTTGAGCAGAGTATGCATTTTCCGACCTAGGATCGAGTGGCGGAGGCGGTAAGAGAGGGGGGAGTATTGCTGATGCACGCTGGGAACGTGGGTGGGCCGATTGATTAATGGTTAAGAGAGTAGATGGCGCACGCTGGGCATCGCTTTAATTTAAGGTGCTCTGTTCCTGTTTCGTCCCACTCAGGTGGTGGGGCAAGAGCAGGCATGCCAGGTGGACATCTTCACGGCCAAGACGACGCTGGACGAGCTTCAAGAGCTGCCCGCAGAAACGAACGTTTATCAAAGTATCGGTGAGTGCACGCAGAGGAAGTATCAGCAGTGTGGAAAGGAGGCGGGTTATTAGGCATGAAAGAGTAAAAGCTTCTGAGTGCTGCAGAATTTCGGCATTCTTTTCAATCTTGCCCAAATTCTCTTTCCCCTGCCACCTCTGGTTGCTCCGCTCCGCGTGCGTGCCCCTCTGCTCTCGTGTGGACGCTTACTCGCTACTGGTGGCACATTGACCGGGGACACGTCTCCCTTCTACCACACCAATGCTCCCAGGAAGAGCGTAAGAAACATAGCTCGTGCTCTTCTATGGGACCCATGCTCTTTTTCTCCACCCCCTCCGTGACACCCTTCTCACTCCCTGCTCCTCTCAGTGTGTGCTCAATCCCATGCCTCTACCCTATCCTCGATGTGAGCGTTGATTGTGCGCACTGCATTAGGTCGTTGCACTTGCAGCTATTTTTAGCATGCCGTTTATTCAGGCACTCAGAAGTTGCTTCTCTTCACTCCATCCATCCAACACGAGCCCATGGTCCCAACCTCGCACCCCATGGCCAGGTTTGTTCTGCAGCCACTAGGCGATGCCAAGGCATGGGAAGAAGGGAAGATCAAAGAAGCAGAAGCCACCATCGCGTCGCTGCAGGTGAGTGGCCTTTCCCAGAGTACTTGCACTCTGGCAGCCTTCGCTCTAATCGGCATGTGTCGAGCATGCCTGTCCTCTCGCATGGCCTCATGTGCCACTGTTCATGCGTGCTTCTCGGGTGTGCAGGGCTCGAAGAAGTATCTGGAGAAGCAGATGAGGGAGGTGCAGAGCAACTTCAAGGAGCTCATGGAGCAGCTCCCGGCGTCCATTCCTGGTATCACACAAGCCATCAATGGTTCAGCCAGTAGTACCTAGTAAGGTACCGGTACATAATTCTTTCAGTCTGGATAAACGATATATTTTGTTCCTTGCCATGTTCTGTAGTAGCTTGTTCAGCCGAAAAAGGCTATATACCGTCACAAGCAACCCTGTCAGTCATTCCGGGACTTTCAGAGCATGCTCCTACAACCTCTTCCCAGGCTTGCCTCTTCCCAGACTCGCCCCTCTCGCCTGAATATTGGCGATGCCGAGCCTCGTGAGTGTCACACCTCACAGAACTGCCATGGTCCAACTTGAGTCAAAATTACACTGCACTGCGCTGTAGCGGGCCCGTCTGGAAAGAGGCTACCCTGGGAAGAGGTTGTAGGAGCACGCCCCTATAATGAACCCTTGCTGCGAGCCTGTGCCTGAGCGTGGTAGGAAGAACAATCAGATCAGAAGCAGTCACTCAAGTCCTTCCATGGCAAAACACCTATTCCTCACATGTGGCTGTGAGGCGGCCAACCACGTGCGACAGCACCTCTTTCTTTGACAGCCTATAAGCCAGAGCCACCTCCCACTCCGGAAGGTCGCGCACAAACTCCGGCGGGCACATGAGAGGCTTGTCCCCTGGGTACTTCCCGTACAGCACCTGCACCTTGCACGACTGCACCACCTGCATGCGCTGCACGTCGCCCTCCTGCGATGTGCCCATGGCCTTGAGCATCTGCTTGGCGCGCTCCAGAATGCCTGCGCCCGCCGCGGGGATGGCGTCGCCCAGGTCCTCGTCTAGTGAGGCGGCGAAGTCGTCGCACGTGGTCTTGGGATCCTTGAGCCACGCGTACTCCACTGCTGGCCGGGCGAGCTGCGCGTAGTCAGGGGCTACATGGAGAAGAGGGGGGGCAGAGGGGGAGAGACCAGCGGGGGTGAGACCAGCGGGGGAGAGACCAACGGGGGTGAGAGCAGAGGGGGAGAGACCTGAGGGGGTGAGAGCAGAGGGGGTGCATAGATAATCTCACCTTGCTTGTTGATCACGTGGGCATGCAGGGCTGCCAGGCCTCCCAGCATTCTCGGGTCGAGCCTCCCGCCGTACCAAGCTCGCAGGCTCGCCTGCGGCTCAATTCTGAACTCTGGCTCGTCCGGAATGCCCTTGTACTTGTCCTTGGCCACCTCTGCCTTGAGCGCCCTCTCCATGTCAGCAAACACCTTCTCCACGTCAGTCTGCACGCATGGTTTATGGGGGGGGAAGGAGGGAGGAGAGGGGGGGGAAATAGTTTCTCATGAGCATCCAGCCAGAAACATCACAGCTTACAGCAAAATGGGGGTTAAAAAGCCAGGGCATACATGGAAGTACGAGGAGGCACAGGGGCCTTCGGATGAGAGAGAGAAACAAGCACGGGTGGAAACAGGGCACTGTGCCGACTATCTGAACTCCGAACTCCGCAACACCTAATCTTCAAGAATGACCCCCAGTACTGCACCTCCATGAAGGACTCCCCTTAAAGCCCACGCACATTCATGAACGACTCCCCTTAAAGCCCACGCACCTCCATGAAGGACTCCCAGTGGCTCTTGAAGAAGTGGCGGCCGTAGAAGTCGATGGCGACCTCGGGGTACTCGAACATGTCCACGCGGTCGCGGTAGTTGGTCACCAGCGCCATGGCCCGGAACACCACCGCCTCGTCGTTGGCCAGCAACCCGTACTCCACGCTCACGTGCTGCCCCGCCGTGATGTTGGCGGTGGCCTTGAAGGTGATGTGCGTGCTGTTGTCCTGATGGGGGGCGGGAAGGGAGAGCAGGGGGGGTGGGGATTGGCAATGGAAAGGGTGGGGGAGTTACAAGTTCAGAGTTTGGGGAGAGTCATGTCGGTTGCAACAAGTTTCTATTTTGTTGGGAATCGCGACGCAACGAATGCGACACACATGCTCGGTTCGAGCCAACTCAGAGCGCATTGTGCGAGGCGCTCACCTCCCATACGGCTACAGGTGCTTTGTCGGTGTCAAACAGGTCAGCGTATGGGAGGAGCACTGTCTCTGTGGCGTTATTGCCGCTGCTGCTGCCGGTGCCGTCAGAACTGGCGGTGCCGTTGTTTGCACGCAGTGAGAACATGCGGGAGGTCACCATGCCCACCGCCCACAGGAACTCCTGCTCCGTTGCATTCGCTATGGCCTCTGGGCGGCACTTCTTGTACTCTTCTGACAGAGTCCGCTTGTGCTCTGCTGTCTGCGGCACCCAATGGGTAGAAGGGGATCGGAGACATGTGATTGGTTGAGACGGGAGTTGGCAAAAGGCAGATACGGCATTATTGACGTGACTTGGACTGATCACACTAGAAGCAGGAGCAGGGAGGGGAGTGAAGGGCGGGGAGTGGGAGTGGAGGGCGGGGAGTGGGAGTGGAGGGCGGGGAGTGGGAGTGGAGGGCTTACAGCCAGGATGAGCGACTGGGATTGGAACTCCGAGCGGAGTTGGTCGGAGAAGAGGTAGGGGAAGGGCAGGTGCGCGGGCAGCAGGCGCACGAACGGCGCCCACAGGGACGCACGGCCCTTGGCGCGCTCCCTCAACACCCACGCTGCCAGGGCCGTGAACGGATGCACCTGGGGGGAGGAGAGAGGGGGGAAGGGGGAAGGGTAGATGCGTGTATAGGGATAAAGAGAGCTGGCGGATGCACTTGGGGGTGTGGCGGGGAGGAGAGAGGGGGGAAGGGCAGATGCGCATGTAGGGGACAACGAGAGGGGCGGATGCACCTGGATGGTGGGGAGGAAGGGGGTGATGCGTATGTGGAGTTAAGGAGAGGTAGTGGAGATGGGCGGGAATGGTGGTGAAGGGGTGGAAGGTTTACTTCGAAGTCTTCTGCGCTGGAGCTACTCTGATTGGCAGAACAGGTCTCTTACCTCTCCCTCGTGCGCCCTTGCCTCCCACTCACCCCTCCCTCGTGCGCCCTTGCCTCCCACTCACCCCTCCCTCGTGCGCCCTTGCCTCCCACTCACCTCTCCCTCGTGCGCCGTTGCCTCCTCCTGCGCGTGAGCAGCGGAGAGAGCGAGCGACCGAGGCAGCGACAGAAACACTTCGCCCTCGCCGATGGGGCGAGTTGCTACCATGCGCAGGTTGGCCCTGCGGGTGGGGGAAGGAGGGGGAGAAGGGGGAGAGGACGAGTGGGAGGAATTCGGAAGTGGTTGGAAGTTCTACTGGAGGAGGGAGCTGTTTTGCTGGAAAACAAACTGCCGGACTGAGAGGTGATGGGAGGCAAAGCAAGGTGCTGGAGGGGGAGAGAGAGGTAATTGTTCATTACTGACGCAAGACAGCAATGAGTCCATTTGCTGCCTTTGGCTTGTCGTTCCTTGGTCAACTTGTTGGCCACTTGTTTTGACAAGCGTTGATTCGCTCACCTTGACCTGCGAGACGCCTTGAGTGTGGTGTTGGCGTCAATAAACACCTGCACACGGGCGACCAAGTCGCGGGATTGGGTCAATGAGGAAATTTGTGTGAATTGTTAATCGTAAAAACGTCATTTGTTCAAAACAACCGTCAACCGTTCAAAGCGCGAGTCAGCCTTTCAGGTGCGGCTATTTCTTCCCAGAAGTGGAAATTGCTCAGAGCCATGCCGTTCATTCAACGCGCCGTCAACCATGTGTGGTGAGTCTATTTTTGAGTCGACTCAATTCATTCAATGCACCGTCAACAATTTAAACAGTCCTCGACTTCTCACCTTCACAGCCGCGTCCTCGCCTCTGATCCCTCCCACGCCGCGCCCCTCCAGCCACGTCAGCAGCTCCTCCACCATCCGCTCCTCCTCCTCCACCCCCGCCAGTTTAGGATCGAAATCCGGCAAGCCTGCCGCATCTGTCGCCGCATCCGTCGCGCCTTCCGCCGCGGGAAGGTCCTCCGTGGAAACGAACTGATCCGGCGTGACCCCTCCGGCTGCTCCCACCCCCATTCCCAAGCCTGCGCCTGAGCTACCGCCTGAATCAGCAGCAGCAGCGGCGGCGGCGGCAGCGGCTATGCTCGATTGAGAGGGATTTGAGGCATCAGTCCCGTCCGCTCGTTCGGATGCGGAAGCTGATGGCGAGCGGAGCAGGACGAGCGAGAATAGGAGCAGAAGATGCAAGACGGGGGATGAAGCCTTGCGGATGGCTGTGGTTACCGGTGATGGGCGACGGGATGACGCCATGCAGTGCAATTTTTTAGAGTATTCGGTGGGTGAGTAGTGTGCAGTCAGTGTGTGATCTGCGTGATCAGTGTGAATCGGATACTGATCACTGTGCGATCAGTGAGCAATCAGTGGGTGGTCAGTGGGTGGTCAGTGGGTGGTCAGTGGGTGGTCAGTGGGTGGTCAGTGGGTGGTCAGATTGTAATCATCTAATGGCCAGTGTTTCTGCAAGAGCGACACGAAGTGGCGCGAGGGCACGAAAGGAGCAGGCGAGACTCGCGCAACGAGCGGTTGGCTTCACGTCACGCCTCCCTCGTTCTGATGACCATCAGAAATCAGAATGACTATCCTGAAGTACGCGGAAGACCATCGGCATCCGGAAAAGGAGGGAAGAATCGAATCGACGTCTCGTTCGGACAAGTTTTAGAGGCAGTATTGAAACAAGGAAGTCGTGTTCTGGAGGGACGTGAACGAGCTAGGGAGCGACGCAAGGGGTCGACTTGGGGTAGCACTTCGGCGGACGTGGAGACGAAAAAATAACGCGCTGGGTACGAACGCGTGAGAGAAGGCTTTGAATGCTCGACAGAGGAGGCTGTTATTAGAAGCCAGCCAGGCAGTCTGAAGGTCAATGTCCCACAATGGGTGAAAGGCGGAAGGTTGCTCAAACTAAATTGAATGAGAGCCCAAGGTTCTCGATTGAATGAGAGCCCAAGGTTCGAGAATCCTGATCAAATGAGGGAGACAGGGCTTGGCGGGAATGAGCTGGCAAGGCGCGCCCACATATGCAGGGAACCAAGACACCATTCATGCGCCGCATGGAATATTCCTATAGATTATCCAGAGGTGTAATAAATACTGGTAACCTAAAGCTCCAAAGTCAATGCGAGGTTCCTTACTCAGGTCTTTTGCATGACCCAGGTATAGGAACAAATGATATGAAAGCCCATTACCCACTCACGCCAGACCAGCCCCCAATCGCTTCTCTTTATTTTTTATCATTGCACTAGTGCCACAGAACAGAATGTTCAACCGCTCTCACACACTGGCAAGACGCACTGGCTTGATCCATTTCCACCAAGACGCAAATACCCATGTATGTAAACCATCAACTTTGGCAGCCATTCCATGTAAGCCGAAACTAGTACCTCACCTGTGAAGTTGCTGTTGTGCCTTGCAGGAATCCTGAGTACAAGTGCTGTTGGGACCGTAGGTAGTGCACTATCTACGCACATACAGCATGTGGAACAGAATAACCAGCCAGGGCAGCAGCAGAGCAGAGGCAGAGGGCAGCGAGAGTGAGCGTCATGAGCAGAAGCAGCAGGCGCAACGCCACATGCCGGCTCACCCACCGCATCTCCGCCCACTCCACCCCCTGCAAGGGCGGCGCTCCCCTGCCTGTGAGTGCAGCTGAGGGGATGGGCGAGCGGAGGCGGGGATGGAGAGGAGACGGGTGGTGCGATGACGGCTGCTGAGGTGAGCGCTGCTGCGGGGTGCAAGGTGCCACGGGCGAGGGAAGGCGGGCGGATGGATGGGTAACGCTGTTACCGGGGTGGTCCAGTGAGGGCGAGTCGGACAGGCCTGATACCGATGCGTCTCTTGCTGCCCCTGCTCCTGCTGCACCTTCTGCTGCGCCTCCTGCTTGCGTGGCCGCAACCGTTTCTCCATGGGTCCCTCGGTGTCTCTGCTGCACCCAGGACCCCCTACTTTCCTCTGCCTCGCCCTCTCTCTCGCAGCACACCCCGCATGTGCAGCCGCCTGCCAGCCTAGCTGGCACGCTGACTTGGGCCCCAAAGAGATCACAGAGTGCTGACGTGGCAGCAGATCCACCACCCATGACCTGGATCTTGCTGCGCGTGGCTGGGCTCAGCAGCTGGGGGTGACCGGGGTCAGGGAAGGGGAGGGGAAGGGAGGGAAGGGGAGGTGAGGAAAAGAAGGGGAGAGGGAGAGAGCAGAGATGAGAGACAGCAACCCAGCAGCAAGGTGAACCCGCATCTCCTGCACCCCACCCAACTCTTCCCCTCACCCCCTGTGGCAAAAGGCAGAACCTCCCTCACCTGCAGCATAGCCCGTGCCAGCAGGCGCAGGGCGGGCGGGAGGTGCAGCACGTGCAGGCGGGCCATGCGGTGCGGGAAGTTTCGGTGCAGAGCGGTGATGGTGGCGCGCAGCAGCGCCACGGGCAGGTGCCAGAGGGAGGGCGCGCCCTGGCAGTCGAGGACGACCGCGATGCGCCCGCTGTCAGGCGACGATAGGGTGAGCGCTGCTGCCACCGCGCTCACCAGGGACGCTGGGGACAGGCGTGCACACAGAGAGGGAGGACGCGGGGGAAGGTGGGCCGGGAGAGTGGTGATTTGGCCTGGAGAGTGGTGATTTGGCCTGGAGAGTGGTGATTTGGCCTGGAGAGTGGTGATTTGGCCTGGGCGGCATGAGGCGGAAGGAGAGGGGACTCACCGAGGTAGCGGACGAAGTCAGAATGCAGGGCGGACGGGATGGCCTTAGCCGCCCGCCCCACATGCAGCACAAGACAGGGCCTGCAGTCCACATCCACGCCGTGCCAGTACCCATACTCCCCAAAGGGCGAGCAGCAGACCTCGCTGGGCGGCATGAGGCGGAAGGAGCGGCGCCACTCCGCAGTGGCTGTGATTCCCTTCACAATGCGCGGCACGTGGCGCTTCCCCGACACCGCGTAGCGCAGGATGCTGTCATCTGAGAGCCTGCCCCAGAGGCTCAGATGCGGGGGAGGCGCGCAGGAGAGAGGAGGGGACTGTGAATGCAATGACACCCGTGATGTAATACCTCATCCCTGCCCACATATCGCATTCCCACATATCGCATTCCCGCATATCGCATGCCCACATATCGCATTCCCACATCTCACATTCCCACATATCGCATTCCCACATATCGCATTCCCACATATCGCATTCCCACATATCGCATGCCCACACATCGCATGCCCACACATCGCATGCCCACACATCGCATGCCCACACATCGCATGCCCACATATCGCACGCCCACAGATTGCATGCCAACATACATATCGCATGCCCACAGATTGCATGCCAACATACATATCGCATGCCCACATATCTCATGCCCTAATATCCCCTGCCCTCACATCCCGACCTGAGCAGGCAGGGCAGCAGAGAACGTGGTTGCCATGCACCACCACAAGAAGCAACACAGGCACTGGACACGCACCATTCATGTGTGTCCACGTCAGCATCTAGGAGCGCCAATCGCACATCTCGAATGAGATCGCGGTCACCAGGTGAGAGCGTGGGAGACGGGGGAGAAGGAAGCGCGGGAATGACAGCAGTGGGGAATGGCGGAGGGAGAGAGGGAAGGGTCGGTGCTGTGGCTGCAGATAGAGAGGCAAGCGGAGAGTCAGTGAGTGCAGTAGCCCCTGCTGCCCCTGTAGCACCCACTCCTGATGGCCATGCGCCCGCCTCTACTGCTGTTAATTCTGCTGCTGCTGCTGCTGCTGCTGCTGTTGCAGGAGTGGTGTGGAGGGTCTCGGCGGAGGGTGAGCGCATGGGAGAGGCGCGCTTGGGGGGTCGGTGGGGGGAGGAGCGGCGGGGGAAGAGGATGGGCAGCAGGGAGGAGAGCGTGGCGGCGAGGAGCGGCGCAGAAAATACCTGCATGGTGGGAGGGAGGAGAGGATGGGAGGGAGGAGAGGATGGCAGGGAGGAGAGGATGGCAGGGAGGAGAGGATGGGAGGGAGGAGAGGATGGGAGGGAGGAGAGGATGGGAGGGAGGAGAGGATGGCAGGGAGGAGAGGATGGGAGGGAGGAGAGGATGGCAGGGAGGAGAGGATGGGAGGGAGTGAGAGGGCAGGAATGTGGGGCGTGGCCATGAGGGATGGGTGCGCAGGGTGACGAGGGAATCAGAGAGGCGGGAGGGAGAAGGTGAGAGGGATTCAGGTGCGGCAGCGAGTGGCACAGTCCCCTTCCCACTGCCATGCATGCGCTCATTGCATTCGCCCCCACATCGACTCATATACGCCCACATGCATCGCCCCTCCTCTACCCCCACATGCCTCTCCTTTACCCATGCCACGTTTCCTTACCTCCAGAATCATCCACGTCCCGCCACGTGTCACCGCCACAACACCACTGAGTAATTCCTCCGCTCCCCCAATTCCCTCCAGGTGCGCTGCCGCCTCCCCTCGCCCTTCCGCCACCACCGTTCCCCCTCCCCCTACCCTTCCGCCCGCCTTCCCCTTTATCCGCTCCCCCAGGTGCACCGCCGCCACCACGTGCAGCGCCGGCCATAGTAACGGAGGGCCAGCGGCGCACAGGGGCCTTCTTAGCGCTTTAATCGCTACCACCCGCACCGCGAACCACGCCGCGCTGCGTGACACGCTCAAGGCCCCGCCGACGGATCGACTCAATGCGACGCTCAGGACGCTCTCGCGTGCGACTGTGCGACGCACCGTGCGACCCAGTGTGCGACAAAGAGCGGCTAGCGGCGAGCGTGCGATCAACCCTGCGACGGCTGCGAGCCAGCCTCGTCGCCGCCTTGTTGGCAGCCGTTGATCGCTCGCCGAAGTACTCCCTCTCGTCGCACGGGCATCTGCTGACGAGCCACTAGGCGCCATTTCAGAAGTCCTAGCTGACACAGAGTTAATCGTCGCATCGTCACTCGCTGCGATGCGGCTTGCCAGCTCAGCAGAGTCGTCGACCCGTCGGGTCGCCGAGCTGTCGCGCGAGCTGCTGTGAGGGTCGATGCTATGCGCGGCGGTGCCCGCATCTGCCGGCAACGATTCCGCCGCCAACTGCGGCGGGTCTGGCAGGTTTCGATCTTCGTGAGACATGCGAGCGCTAGGGCGAGCGCAGAGTGCAGCAAGATTAGGGTTGGGGTGGATTAGGGTTAGGGTTAGGGTAAATGCTGGGATGGGATGGTGTGCGAGCCAAAATGTGGTTTGGCTCGGCTTTCCATCCGCGTTACTGGAATCTCCAGAATTTTTGTTTTGCTCGCGAGTGTCTGCACTTACGAAATTCACTTCGTTCCTCTTGCAAATTCCCCGACCAGCCAGCCATTTCCACCTGCGCAACACTAACCCAGCCTTCTCGAGTCAGGTCCCATGATCCCATCCGTCCATCCCGCACCCGCGCAACCCAGCGCCGACGCCGTGAGCTCGGGCTGCGTGGATCGCACAACTGTAGCGTCGCGGTCGTTGCGACTGAACGGGGATTACGGGGAGTTCGGGGAGCGCGGGTAGCGCGAGGAGTGCGGGGAGCGCGCATGGAGGAGTGCGGCAAGTGCGGGGAGCGCGCGGTGGATTACGACGAGCAGGCGCTGGCGCTGGTGTGCGCACGATGCGGCCACGTGGCGGACGACGCGCAGCTCACGTCGCGCGTCGAGTTCGACGAGTCGGGGCGCGCGGGCGGCGTGCGTGTTGGCGGCGGCGGAGGCGCGGGGGATGGCGGCGAGCCCCGCTCGTGGATGTGGACGGCGGGAGCGGGTGGGGGGCGATTTGGGGGAGGGTGGGGGGAGGGGACGGCGGAAACGAAGTGGGGCGGCGGAGGCAAGTCGGCGGAGTTCAAAAGGCGGAAGAACAAAGTATGCGGGCTACTCTTAGCACTTAGCATCGCAAAGCAAAGGATCCCAGAGTGACTCCTTGGGCTCAAAGCACAGCCTCGTAACCCCGCCCTCACTTCCTCACCTCATCTCTGCCTCACTCGCGTTCTTCCCCATTGAGTCTCAAAGCCACCTCTCACCCTCCCCACACCCATCCCTTGCCTTCGCCCCACTCCGATCCGCCTCCGCCCCCCCCTGCGCTTCCCCTCCCCCCCCCCATCCCCCAGCGCGAGTGGGAGGAGCGGCTGGGCGCGGTGGTGGCGGGGCTGCGGGTGCCGGAGGGGGTGCGGGGGGAGGCAGTGGAGGTGGCGGAGCGGGTGCTAGAGGGGCGGTGGGGCGGCGGGCAGTGGATGGGCGTGCTCATGGCGGCCGCCGTGTACATCGCCGCGCGCAACAGACGCCTACCTGTTTCCATGGCGGAGGTGGCGGTGAGTGTCCATAGCTAAGGTGGCGGTGGATGTCCATGGTCCATAGCCAAGGTGGCGGTGAATGTCCATGGTCCATGGCTGAGGTGGCGGCGAATGTCCATTGTCCATGGCTGAGGTGGCGGCGAATGTCCATTGTCCATGGCTGAGGTGGCGGCGAATGTCCATTGTCCATGGCTGAGGTGGCGGCGAATGTCCATTGTCCATGGCTGAGGTGGCGGCGAATGTCCATTGTCCATGGCTGAGGTGGCGGCGAATGTCCATTGTCCATGGCTGAGGTGGCGGCGAATGTCCATTGTCCATGGCTGAGGTGGCGGCGAATGTCCATTGTCCATGGCTGAGGTGGCGGCGAATGTCCATTGTCCATGGCTGAGGTGGCGGCGAATGTCCATTGTCCATGGCTGAGGTGGCGGCGAATGTCCATTGTCCATGGCTGAGGTGGCGGCGAATGTCCATTGTCCATGGCTGAGGTGGCGGCGAATGTCCATTGTCCATGGCTGAGGTGGCGGTGAGTGGCATCAGCAGTCTTTATGGCTTGGCATGAGGAAGCTATGGTGTGGGGCATGGCATGGGAAGGGTCCACCGCCCGCCGCCCATCTCTCGGCTTCCGTCCACCGTCCACCGTCCACGGTCAACCGTCCTCCGTCCACCGTCCTCCATCCACCGTCCTCCATCCACCGTCCACCATCCACCGTCCACCGGTGGACGCCGTCCATCGTCCACCGTCCACCGTCCACCGGTGGACGCCGTCCACCCTCTACCGTCCACCGTACACCGTCCACTGTCCACCGTACATCGTCTACCGTCCACCGTCCACCGGTGGACGCCGTCCATCGTCCACCGCCCACTGGTGGACGTCATCCACCCTCCACCACCCACCGGTGGACGCCGTCCACTGTCCACCGTCCACCGCCCACTTGTGTCTACCGTCCACCGGCAGACGCCGTCCACCGTCCACCGTCCACAGTCCACCGTCCACCGCCCACTGTCCACCGTCCAACGTCCACAGTCCGCCGGTGGACGCCGTCCACCATCCACCGCCCACTGGTGGACGCCGTCCACACTCCACCGTCCATCGGTGGACGCCGTCCATCGTCCACCGTCCACCGTTCACCGCCCACCTGTGTCTACCGTCCGCCGTCCACAGTCCACAGTCCACCGGTGGACGCCGTCCACCGCCCACTGTCCACCGGTGGACGTCGTCCACCGCCCACCGTCCACCGTCCAACGTCCACAGTCCGCCGGTGGACGCCGCCCACCATCCACCGCCCACTGGTGGACGCCGTCCACACTCCACCGTCCATCGGTGGACGCCGTCCACCGGTGGACACCGTCCACCGCCCACAGTCCACCGTCCACTGATGGACGCCATCCACCGTCCACCGGTGGACGCCGTCCACCGCCCACTGACCACCGTCCACAGTCCACCGGTGGACATCGTCCACCGCCCATCGTCCACCGTCCACCGTCCGCCAGTGGTCACCGTCCGCCGTCCGCCGTCCGCCGTCCACCGGTGGACGCCGTCCATCGCCCACTGTCCACCGTCCACAGTCCACCAGTGGACGTCGTCCACCGCCCACCGTCCACCGTCCGTCGGTGGACGCCGTCCACCGTCTACCGGTGGATTCCGTCCACTGTCCACTGTCCACCGTCCACCGTCCACTGTCCACCGGTGGACGCCGTCCACCGTCCACCGCCATCCACTGTCCACCCTCCACCGTCCACCGGTGGACGCTGTCTACACCGTCCACCGTCCACCGTCCAGCTGACTTTCCTGGCGTCCAACTAACTTACCTGGCATCCAGCTAACTTACCTGGCGTCCAGCTAACTTGCCTGGCGTCCAACTAACTTACCTGGCATCCAGCTAACTTACCTGGCGTCCAGCTAACTTGACTGGCGTCCAGCTAACTTGCCTGGCGTCCAGCTAACTTACCTGGCATCCAGCTAACTTACCTGGCATCCAGCTAACTTACCTGGCGTCCAGCTAACTTGACTGGCGTCCAGCTAACTTGCCTGGCGTCCAGCTAACTTACCTGGCATCCAGCTAACTTACCTGGCATCCAGCTAACTTACCTGGCGTCCAGCTAACTTGCCTGGCGTCCAGCTAACTTGCCTGGCGTCCAGCTAACTTGCCTGGCGTCCAGCTAACGTACCTGGCATCCAGCTAACTTGCCGGGCGTCCAGCTAACTTGGCTGGCGTCCAGCTAACTTACCTGGCATCCAGCTAACTTGCCTGGCGTCCAGCTAACTTACCTGGCATCCAGCTAACTTGCCTGGCGTCCAGCTAACTTGCCTGGCGTCCAGCTAACGTACCTGGCATCCAGCTAACTTGCCGGGCGTCCAGCTAACGTACCTGGCATCCAGCTAACTTGCCTGGCGTCCAGCTAACTTGCCTGGCATCCAGCTAACTTGCCTGGCGTCCAGCTAACTTGGCCTTGCGTCCAGCTTAATTTGACTGGCGTCGAGCTAACTTCTCTGGGGTCCAGCTAACTTGGCTGCGTCCAGCTAACTTGACTGGCGTCCAGCTTAATTTGCTTGGCGTCCAGCTAACTTGAATGGTGTCCAGCTAACTTGACTGGCGTCCAGCTAACCTGCCTGGCGCCCAGCTAACTTGGCTGGCGTCCAGCTAAGTTTCACTGGCGTCTAGCTAACTTGCCTAGCGTCCAGCTAACTTGCCTGGCGTCGAGCTAACTTGGCTGGCGTCCAGCTAACTTGGCTGGCGTCCAGCTAAGTTGCCTGGCGTCCAGCTTAATTTGACCGGCGTCCAGCTTAATTTGACTGGCGTCCAGCTTAATTTGACTGGCGTCCAGCTAACTTGGCTGGCATCCAGCTAATTTGCTGGCGTCCTGCTAACTTGCCTGGCGTCCAGCGTAATTTGCATGGCGTCCAGCTAACTTGGCCGGCGTCCAGCTTAATTTTGCTGGCGTCCAGCTAACTTCTCTGGGGTCCAGCTAACTTGGCTGGCGTCCAGCTTACTTCCCTGGCGTCCAGCTTTATTTGCTTGGCGTCCAGCTAACTTGACTGGCGTCCAGCTAACTTGCCTGGTGTCCAGCTAGCTTGCCTGGCCTCCAGCTAGCTTGCCTGACCTCCAGCTAACTTGCCTGGCGTCCAGCTAGCTTGCCTGGCCTCCAGCTAACTTGCCTGGCGTCCAGAGCTTGCTAACTTGCTAGCCACTGCCCACCCACCTGTCACCACCTGTCCCCAGTCACCGCCGGTCGTTTCTCATGCCCGTCACCGGGCATCACCGTCCATCACCGCCCGTCACTGCCTGTCACCACCCGTCTCCACCCATCACTGCCCGTCACTGGCCGGCACCGCCCGTTGCGGCCCAATACAGGCTCTCACCACCCATCACCCCCCATCACCGGCCGTCACCGCCCTCCGCCCGTCTCCGCCCACCACCCATCACCGCCCATCACCGCCCACCGCACATTGCACACCACTCGTCATCGCCCGCTGCCCATCAGCGCCCACCGCCCGTCACCGTTCACTGTCTACTGTCTACCGACTTCCGTCTTCAAGGAGGAGGTTTAAGGTGCTGCTGTTGCTGCTGGGGTTGTGCGTTCTTCTCGCCTCCTTGATCTTTTCTACCTTCTCTTCCCCCTCCTCTCCTCCCCCAGCACGCCACGGACTGCCAGCTGGCATCGGTGTGGGCCATGTTTAAGCGCTTGCTGGCTTATTTTCCAATGCTGCAGGTACTCCCATCGCTGTGCCTGCATCTGTCTGCTTGCCTCGGTGGATTTTCTCGTGCGCAGCTTCTTCTGTGTAGCCGCTACGTTTGTCTTTCACCATCTGCTGAGTGCTTTATTCATGCCACCCCATGTCATGACATCATGCCACCCCATGTCATGACATCATGCCATCTTTTAAAGACGTGCTGTCTTCCGTCTAATCACCCCATGCCTTCCCATGCCATGCCATGCCATGCCATGTGCAGCCTGAGCATGTGGATCCAATCAGCCATGTGTGGAGGGGAGTGCATGCCATGCCATCCCTGGCGGTATGTGCGTGTGCCATCCCTGGCGGTAGGTGCGTGTGCCATCCCTGGCGGTAGGTGTGTGTGCCATCCCTGGCGGTAGGTGTGTGTGCCATCCCTGGCGGTAGGTGCGTGTGCCATCCCTGGCGGTAGGTGTGTGTGCCATCCCTGGCGGTAGGTGCGTGTGCCATCCCTGGCGGTATGTGCGCGTGCCATCTGCACGGCAGCGTGTCGGTTTGCCATTTCCCCCTTCACTGGACTTCCTTCTGCTATGCCCTGCAGTATTTTCCCCTCGACTCTAGCATTTCAGCTTATATTCACACTTCATGGCATGGCATGACATGGCATGACATGGCACGGCATGGCACGGCACGCCGCGGCATGCATGGTGCATGCAGGGTGGCAGGGCGAGGGTGGCAAGCAGGCGCTGGTGAGGGACGCCATGAGGCTGCTGGCGTTCGCCCACTCGCACTCGCTGCACACCGGCCGCCATGCCGCCCCGGTACCTGCATTGCCATGCATCCTTCTCCCTGTCCCCACCCTTCTCTTTCATGCACTGTTGTTTTGCTGCTGTGCCGCTTGAGTGAATTCACCCGGGGCTCTGTTGCTCCCTTTCCTGCCTCTTGTCCCTCCATGTCACCCCTTCCACCCACCCCTCTCCCCGCCTCTCTCGCCGCTTCCCATATCTCCATCCCCTATGCACCCCTCCTTTTCCACCAGATGGCAGCGGCGGCACTGCTGCTGGTGGCGGCAGCGAGGGGGGTGGTACTGGGGGAGGCGCAGCTGTGCGCGGCCATGGCGGTGCCCCCGGCCACGGTGCGGCGGCGCTTCTCAGAGCTGGTCCCGGCGCTCTCGCGCCTCGCGCGCTCGCTGCACCTCCCCGCTGCGGCGCACGCCACCTCGCAGGAAGCTTTCCAGCGCCTGCTGCCGTCCATCCTTGCAGTATGCGTGTGCGGTGGGGCACGGGCTGTCTGTCTCTCAGCCGCATTGTCGGTAGCTGTGCCTTGTTTGCGGGGCTTCTTATCATGTGCTGCCATGGAGAATTATTGCTGGTAGCCAAGGGTCAAGGGCAAACTTTCTCTTGCCTGTGCTTCTCCCTCCGCCCCTCCCTTCCCTTCTTACCACCCCCCCCCCCCCCCCTCTCCCTTTTACCCCCCTTCCCCTTGCCGTTCGCCTGGCCTATCAGCTTCTGCCGTCCCCGGCTCGAGTAGGTCACCGCTTTGTGATGCCATCTGCAGGAGACCACAGTGCTGACGTGGACAGAAATGCTGACGTGGACAAAAATGCTGGCTTGGACAGAAGTGGTGACGTGGGCAGACGTGCTACCGTGGAAGATAAAGCTGCTGAGGGGCCTGCCCCAGGCTGTGTGCTTCAGTCGTCTTTCGCTGGAGGTGAAAGAGCAGGGCGAGGAAACGGGGCAGCACAGGCAGGGGCAGTTCGTGATGAGGAAAGCAATGAGGGAAAGGGAGGGGGGGGAGGGAGGGAGGTGAGGAGGCGCGAGGAGCAGAGGGGTTAGACAGAAGAGAGGGAGGAGACGGATGCAGAGGAGGGAGGATGGGGCCGCATTGGAGCCAAGAGAGGGGCATGCGGTGTGCGCCAATCAGCTGCTGCCACCTGCGTTTGAAGACAGCGTGAAGGCCCATCAACGGTGCGAGCCCCTGCGCTGCATTGACTCCTTTTCCTCCCCTTCCCACGCTCATTGCTGCCACCATCCAGCCCCCCCATCCCCTGATCACCCCGTCCTACCGTTTCCTCCCACCCCTCTGCCATCCGTGCCTCGTTCCCATCTCGTTCCAAGGCCGCCTCCTCCCTCCCCATCCCACCCCCCCAGGCGTGCCGGCCACATCAGCCGGGCACAGCAGCGCCTGCAGCAGACGAAGCGCGACAGATGGGGGCGGGCAGGGAGAAGAGGAGCTGTGGGGGCGTGGAGGAGGGGGGCTCTGGGGAGAGTGGCGAGGGCAGGGGAAAGACGGTGTTGGCCGAGGGGAAGGAGGGCGCGGGAGGAGGGGAGGGTGGCGACGAGTGGAGGATGGAAGTGCTGTGGCGGTGGGAGGCGGCGTGCGTGGACGACAAGGGGGCGAGGGGGGAAGAGGGTGCGGAGAAGCATGAGGTCGTTCGGTGAGGGTGGCGGTGGTGTGGGGGCTAAGGGGCGGCAAGAGCAAGGGGGTGGTAGTGAGGATGCTGTCGTGGATTGGCTGCTGCTGCAACAGGTATGACGGCTGGCAACTTGCCATGCTCCAAATTCTATACATTTTCTTTTTGCCATGCAAGCGCCGTTCCTTGTTGGCGCCTGATAGTCCACGATCCATTGATGGTGGCTCATTTGCAATGCATACACGACACGATCCATTGATGGTGGCTCATTTGCAATGCATACACGACACGATCCATCGATGGTGGCTCATTTGCAATGCATACACGACACGATCCATTGATGGTGGCTCATTTGCAATGCATACACGACACGATCCATTGATGGTGGCTCATTTGCAATGCATACACGACACGATCCATCGATGGTGGCTCATTTGCAATGCATACACGACACGATCCATCGATGGTGGCTCATTTGCAATGCATACACGACACGATCCATTGATGGTGGCTCATTTGCAATGCATACACGACACGATCCATTGATGGTGGCTCATTTGCAATGCATACACGACACGATCCATTGATGGTGGCTCATTTGCAATGCATACACGACACGATCCATTGATGGTGGCTCATTTGCAATGCATACACGACACGATCCATTGATGGTGGCTCATTTGCAATGCATACACGACACGATCCATCGATGGTGGCTCATTTGCAATGCATACACGACACGATCCATCGATGGTGGCTCATTTGCAATGCATACACGACACGATCCATTGATGGTGGCTCATTTGCAATGCATACACGACACGATCCATTGATGGTGGCTCATTTGCAATGCATACACGACACGATCCATTGATGGTGGCTCATTTGCAATGCATACACGACATGATCCATTGATGGTGGCTCATTTGCAATGCATACACGACACGATCCATTGATGGTGGCTCATTTGCAATGCATACACGACATGATCCATCGATGGTGGCTCATTTGCAATGCATACACGACACGATCCATCGATGGTGGCTCATTTGCAATGCATACACGACACGATCCCTTTATGGTGGCTCATTTGCAATGCATACACGACACGATCCATTGATGGTGGCTCATTTGCAATGCATACACGACACGATCCATTGATGGTGGCTCATTTGCAATGCATACACGACACGATCCATTGATGGTGGCTCATTTGCAATGCATACACGACATGATCCATTGATGGTGGCTCATTTGCAATGCATACACGACACGATCCATTGATGGTGGCTCATTTGCAATGCATACACGACACGATCCATTGATGGTGGCTCATTTGTGCCTCGCAGGCCGATCCCAGTGCAACCTCAGCCGGTTGGTATCGCTCTGCTGCTTCTACTGTTATAGATCGCCACATTAACAGCTCCGGCAAGGAGAAATAACACATAAATTGTATGTATTGAATGTAGTTTTTTTCTCGTTTCCCGAACGTGTGATCGAACTGCACCATGCTGCACCACACCGAAGTGAGCGTGGAACTGAACGCAGCAGCATGGCAAGTGCCCCAGCCTAGTGCACAACGGTGGTGCATGGCATGGCATGGTGGGTCGTGGGGAATGATCCTGGGAGATGCGAGGTAACGCTGCGCCAGCAGCATAGTTGTTCTTTGGCATGGCCATGGCTGGTATGCTGATGTGCTGAATGCCAATGCTGGTATGCTCATGCTGAGGAGAAGGGGAGTGCAGGTGGACGTGCATGCATGGCCAGCTTCGTGGCAGCTTGGATGGGGCAAGATCGGATGCAGGTCATGGTGTTTTTCGAGCCATGCATCTTATGCGGTGCGCCTATGAACCATATGCGGAGTGGAGACAGGAGAAAGGAAGGCTGCTCTGCCCATTGGCTTGAGAACTAGGCACTCAAGCTGATGCTACATACATACCATATATCAAGCCACCTATGCGCTGCACTGGTGCAGCAAAAAGGCTACCTATAACGGGCCAGGCCCTAGGCCAAGGCCATACAAGAATAGAGGCGCAGCAGCACTTGTGTAAGCGGCGCACGTGTGACTGATTCCCAGCCTGCTCAGCCTCACAAGGTGCGCGCTGCTCTTCATACGACATTCCTGCGGGCGTAAAGGTCCGTGCTTTCTTCTTCAAGGGCTGTGTGCCTCAAGGGCTGCGTGCCTCAAGGGCTCCTCAAGGGCTCCTCAAGGGCTCCTCAAGGGCTCCTCAAGGGCTCCTCGAGGGCTCCTCAAGGGCTCTTCAAGGGCTCCTCAAGGGCTCCTCAAGGGCTCCTCAAGGGCTCCTCAAGGGCTCCTCAAGGGCACTAAGTGGGGCACATGCGCAGCCATCAATCGGCGTCCTCCGTTAAACGCTGCTCTCCCCTCACGCGCTGATCTTCCCTCTGAAGAATGACTTGATGCGGCCTTTTGTGCGCTTCTCCCCGCCCGACGTGCGCCGCTCCTCGCTCTCCGTGGACGACCGGCTGGTGGGCGACGACGCCATGATGGGCGACGACGCCATGCTGGGAGATGTCGCCATGCTGCTCATGCTCTCGCCCCCGCTCCGCCCCTGCTGCCCCGCCACCTCCCTTGCCTCCGTGCCCCCCTCCCGCTGCTCCGCCTCGCCCTGTGCAGGTGCGCGTGCATCGCACCACTTCTCCCTTGCCTGCTCTTGATGCGATTGCCCATGCCCATGCCGATGCCCATGCCCATGCCCGTGCCCATGCCCATGCCCGCCATGCTGTTGCCCATGCCCATGCCCATGCCCATGTGTATGCTGAGGCCCGCTCTGTCCCTTGCTCATCAGGACCGCATTGTGCGACAAATGCTTCTGCAGTGGACGGTGCCCGCCGCCGCCCTCCTTCATTTCTAGGTCAGACAGCTGCCGATCAACACCCCCCGCCACATCAGCAGGCGGCACGGAGTAGCTGGTTCGTTCCGCGGGGCCAGCGGAGGGGGCGTGGGCGCAGAGGAAGTGCAGCACGGCGCTGGTGTAGTCGTCCGGCAGCTCGTCCACCACGTCGCGCCCCGCCGCGCCCATGTCCATGTACTCGCCGCTCTTGCACATCAGGGCGGCCTTCCTCGTCGCCTTGTGCAGGGGCTCGCCCTCCCCCGCCATGCAGAGCACGGGCGACTGGATCCTCCGCAGCAGGTCGCCGTGGTCCACCACAGCCATGGCGCGCGACAGCCACGGCCGCCGCTCAAACGTCTGCAGCGCGCCGATCAGCGTGCGCACCTTCAGCTGCCACGGCACGCCCTGGCCCTCGGGGAACCTCGCCTCGAGGAACTTGGCGACGGCGGCGGGAGGTCGGCGTGGTAGTCCCCATCGGGGGTGTCCTCGCGCAGCACGTCCCCGCGCTCCATGAAGCCCAGCATGGGCACGCCCCACAGCGCCACGCGCCGCACCACGTGCGGCAGCTCCGCCGCTATGTGCAGCGCCACTGTGGCACCAGCCTCGTGGCCCACCTGGGGGGGGGGAGGAGGGTGGGGAGAGGAGAGAGATGAGGAAGGCGGGGGTGAGTGAACTATTGAGGTGCATGCGTCAATCGGTGCGCGCATCCGTCTCTGGATCCACCACTCCGCGTGCCCATTCACTCATGCACTTCCCCTTCCTTCCACCTCCTTCCTGTTTCTCATGCATCCCTGCGTTCATGGATCCACGCCTTCATGCATGCATTCCCTAGATCCATGTCCCATTCCATTCCATCCACGTGGCACGTGACCAACACTCACGATGTCAAACGGCGGTGCAAATTGAAGTGCATGAGCAGCTTGAAGCACGAGGTTCGCCACGTCAACCATGGTCAGTTCGCCGCCCGGGAGCTGAGCTGCTTGCGCGGAATCAGCGCGTGCTGACGCGGCACGACACGACTCCCCGCAGTTGGGCAGATCTAGCGCCACGGCATGCAGGCCGGCCGCCGCCATTCGCTTGAGCGCTGATGTGAACATGGCGGACGACTGGGCGGCAGAGTGCAGCAGCAGGATGGACGGCGGGCCTTGGCCGCATCTGCTCATCAAATGACGCGGAAGGAAACGTGTACAAGCATCGTCAGACGTGGAACCCGACATCAAGCTGGTACGCAGGTATGGAAATGGAAGGGCTTGAGCAGTCTTGGGAAATACAGACGATTCAGAGGACACACAGACCATGCACGAAAGGGAGGGGCCCAAACATCATTTATCCCTGTTTTCTCTCATCAGTTCTCAAGTTAGAAGCTGTTTGCGTGCTCCGGTTTCTTGTCTAGCAGAACACACCGTTTCCAGCAGCGTTAAGCGACGTTTACCTGCGGTAGTGGATTTGCCCGGCCTCTGTGTCCACGTATCCCTTCCTCACATCGCCCATGTTCCCCGCGACGTCGTGAGAAGGCTGAAGAAAGACGTGTGACGCGTCACTTAAAAAAAAAAAACACGAGCCAAAGTGCAGCTGCCAGCTGTGTCTCGAAAATAGAGACTCGTCGATCCTTTGAAAGGATGATCTATTTCTGAGACAGGGCGACTACTATGACCTTTCTGTCTCGGCGAGGAGAGACGGCTTTCCACAAATGTTGCTTGTTTTATTCCCCTGAATGTTGCCGTGTGTGAATGCCAGGGAAGGGACAGCGCCCAATTCAGAGAAAAGGAGCAGATGCCCACCAGAGGTCAGTGGGTGCTTCTGTGCGCGGAAAGCTGTCGCATGTTGGTGCTGCTGTCGCATGTTGGTGCTGCTGTCGCATGTTGTTCGCTTCCTCCCCCCGCCGTCTTATCACAGAACATAGGACCCGCCAAGCGGAACTCCCAGCTGCTCGAAGGCGCAACCCTGGCGGAGGCGGGCCTGGCTTGTGTTGTGTTGTGTGGCAAGCCTTCCCTGCCACTCCCCCACAGTAGCCGCCACCGCCTTTTTTCATAATGAGCGGTGTGTTCTGATTCCAAACCACCCGACCCAAGACGACCTTGGGTACAGCAGGCGAGCATTTGCGAGTGATCTTTATATTCTTGCAGGGTAATGCAAGTGATACCCTGGAGCTTGAGGCTCTGGGTCTTCTCCACGCTTGGGCGGTTCTAAGTGAAACAGCGTTTGATAGGCAGCTGTTCATGACCCGAGTTACTCATCGGTGTACAAACCTTACCTCCCCCTCAAGATATATCCCTGCAGCATGCCCAGTCGAGCCACCCGCCATTCCCTTCAGATATGCTCTTCCCACCGTGTGCTCTTCCCATCAGCCGAATGATGAGCGGGCTTCCGCGTGGACAAGGTGACAAATACAGCACATCATTCTGGTCTGGGCCATGATTCGATCGCCCAACTTCCGACCCCGACTCGGGCAGCCTGACGACTCCAACTTAGAGCGGATTCTAAGTACTCTGACGTTGAGAAGAAAGAAAGAAAAAAGTCCTCATGCGGTGACAATCGGTTTGTAGCGTCCTATCGGGTTTCGGTGCGTTTGGACGAGATGAGACGTAAAATTCCGAATCGTTAACAGGCCAAATGGCCTGGTACATAACGCATTTTAGCCCAAGTGCAGAAAAACCTCATGGACATAAGTACAGTTCACGGTCGACAAATTGCAATGTGTGCGAGCAGCGTGGCTGATCGATGAGCAAGTCCACGACATCCATGCACTTTGGGACAGTTGTCAACCGTTGATGCTTGTTTTTTGGCTGCTTGACCAATAGGAGGACAGAGAATTCCTCGCTCTCGTGGAAAGGCATCGAAGACGAATCATTTCGGACCGGAAGTCTCGAGTTACAGTATCTGGCGAAGTGCATTCCCAAACTTGTCAGGGTCCTTGGCCATCATTGAAGCAATCATGGCTGTTTGAGGTAAAACGGAAAATGATCGAGCCCGTCACTACAGTAATTACCCGTGTGAGGGAAACCGCTTCTGTACCCGGGTAGCGGACGGGCTCCGTGAGTTGTCGAAGGAAAGCGTCATGTTGGCCACCATCCAGCGTGAGGCTGCATCATTGCATTGCATCACACAAAAGGAAATAGTGTAGTGTAGTACAATACCAGCATGTTGGGCATACATTGGGCATAAATTGGGCATTTGATGGATAGTGGCAACCACATTTTATCCCAAAATAGCAACTGTTCGCCACCCTAAGCTGTCCGGTTGAACACCCATGTTGGGTTGAGAGTAGCCGTAGGATATTTTTATAATACTAAGTGCTTGATAGCATAGCGGAAGTCTTGATGAACCCTTGTACTGGTATGTGAGAAGAAGTGATTGATTATAGCAAAGCGATACAAGGGCCAATAAGTCCGCTCCCTTACACATCCCCAAACACACGCTAGCCCTAAATTTTCCGAAGGGCCAAAAGTCCCCTCATAGATCTCACGCTAACCGTGAATTTGGCGAACGGCCGAGTGCCCTCACACAACCCCCCAGCACACATCGAGCAGGGGAAACGTGCGGTTATTATGACAGGGCCCCGAATCGCGTTGTTACATGATTCTGGAATTAGAGTAGCAGGAAAAGAGTGACCAAGGGAAAATGTCGAGGGATACAAAACTAGGGCTGTACTCGCTAAGAACTAAACTAGCCAGGCAATAAAAAATATAAACTAGCTAATCTATATGTCAATATACTTGTTGACACACCCCCTAGCCTAGATAGTGGTTATTCATAACAAGGCAGTGTACACCAGGACAGCACTACTAGTCTGACCTCTGGTGAAGGCAACAAGGCAACTCAGGGCAGTACTACTAGTCTGACCACTCTGATAAGAGGCCACAAGGCCAGTCAACAAGTATAGCAAGGCAAGCAGGTATAGAATAACAAGTACACGCGGGTATAGTATGACTCTAAATAAAATCAGTGGTGCTGCTACGAAGACAAGACCAAGCTGAGTACAGAACCGCTGATGGTCACGAGACGCAAGTGCCTTGGTGAAGATATCAGCAGTGTTGGCCTCTGAGGCCAACTGTACCACTCGAGCCTGGCCGGGCTGCTGCAACTCACGCAACAGAAAATACCGCAGCTGGATGTGCTTCGCTCTGCCCTCAACTCGAGCCTCCTGACACAGGAGGATCATGACCCTATTGTCAGCAAACAGGACCGGGGCAGACGTAGGCTGTTCACCTAAGTCTGTGAGCAAGAATTTCATCCAACAGAGCTCCTGAGTGGCCATGGCCCCAGCGTAGATCTCTGCCTCACAACTGGATTGAGCTACAAACGAAGATCTGGTGGGCCTCCACGAGATTGCACCAACACCAAGACTAAAACAGTAGCCCTGAGACGACCTGAGCCTCTCCACGTCGTCAACCCACGATAAGTCTGTGTCTCCAGCGAGCGCCACTGGCACCCGTCCTCCTAACACAAGCCCCAGTCCTGATGTACTCGTCAGATACCGCAGTACCCTCTTGGCAGCCGACCAGTGGACTGGTTGGTGCCCGCCTGTTGCAACAAAGCGAGCAAGGAGACTGAGAGGGTACGCTAGATCTGGTTGAGTGGAGGTCGTCAGGTACATGAGGCACCCCACCAGCTCTTCGTATGGACCACTAGCCTCAGCCGGAACAGGAGCAGAGAGCTTGTGATCCACAGGCAGAGGGGTGGGTTGTGTTGTGGAGAATTGGAGATTAAACTTCTTTAGGATCTGCTGCACCATATGGGACTGGGAGAGTGTGATCGTGCGAGCGGCACCGTCACGGGAGATCTCCAAGCCTAGATAGCGCCTCAGCTCCACCAAGTCTGTACAAGTGTGTCGCCTAAGTAACTCGGCCTTCACTGAGGCTAGTGCGACTCTGTCAGAAAAAGCAAAGATAAGATCGTCTACGTACACTAGGATGTAGAATGGTGTCTGGCCCATGCAAACAAAGAGAGAGGGATCAATAGAGGACGGAAAGAACTGCAGCTCAACAAAAGTGGTGCGACGAGTGTCGTGCCATCCACGGGGTGCCTGACGAAGGCCGTAGACAGGACGGCCGTAGATCTGTTCGTGCAGAATACCCTGCAGGAACGCTGTAGAGAAGACAAGTGAGTGAAGCTCTTAGTCACGCTGCGCGGCTATGTGAAAAAGAGCCCTAAGTGTAGTCATCTTCGGGGTCGGGGAGAAGGTATGGAAGAAGTCCACACCCTCACGCTGTCTGAAACCTCTAGCCATGTAATGCGCCTTGAACTTCAACGGCTCTCCAGGTGTGCACTTCACCCTATAGATCCACATGCCATCGACTACGTTGACCCCAGGCGGGGGAACTGCGTCAACCTAAGTGCCTGTGGATCTGTAGGATGCCATCTCAACCTCCATGGCCTGTATCCACTAGGCTGCCCAGGGCCCCGACACCCCCTCAGCGTAAGAGCACGGAAGATGGATGTCGAGAGCGTCTGGGTCACCCTCTGGGGATACAAGCATGGAGCAGAGATGGGGAACATCGGCAGCAAGGTAGGCCAACTCTTACTGCCTGTCCTCTAGCATGTCACTACCAAGGGTAGGTGCACCCCTGACGGATGGAGGACGGGCACTACTAGAGACCAGAGCGGCAGCATAGTCAAGGCGGTGGCTAGCAGCAAAATCAACGACAGCAGCGTCTAGCACAGAGACAGACTCAAGAGGAGCAGTAGGGTCAGTGACAAGCGACGCAAGCAGGCGCGAAAGGACTGGACAAGCAGCGCCGGAGCGAGGAGGGGGGGGCGACGAGAGCGACGACAGGGGAGGCAACGGGAGAACTGCGACAGGAGGAGCATGCAAATAAAGGACCATAGGGTGGGCACTAGGACGGGGAGAGACAGGACGGGCACCAGAGCGGTGACGGACCCAGTGGAGAAGAACCGGGGACTAGGGATGAGGGGGAACGGGGGACAAGTCAAGGGACAGAGGGGAGCGCAGGGGAAAACGAGCCGGAGAGGAGTCCGGAGGAGGAAACAACGGGCCGTAAACAGGGTGACACACGGGAGGGGGAACGGGCGGGCGGACAGGGGAGCCTGGAGCAAGACCAAGGAGACAAAGGGCAGACTGCGGCTGCTCTTGCTGCGGTGGCTGTGCCTGTTGCTGCGGCTACTACTGCTGCAGCTGCTTCTGCGGCTGCTGGTGTTGGCGCTGCTGTTGCCGTGGGTAGTTGAAGCGTGAGTGATCAGACGTACAGCAGAAATTCTAGAACGAAGGTGAGTGTCGTTTTGTATTTGAGTTGCTGTTAAGCCTGTGTGCGTAAAATGCAAGTTGTTGACTTGGTTTCTTTGCATGGTGCTCCTCGTACATGTCCATGTCTTGCTGCTCGGCATGGAGCTCCGCGCACAATTGCATCTTCGAAAACTTCCCGTGAGCGCGTAGAAGGGAGCGCATCGTACTCCACTGAGAGGCCGGCAAGAACAACCGTGACGAAAGAATCTTCCGATGAGTGCCCATCACTGCATAAGAGTCTATCGTGTAATCCCCTGCAACAATTGATGTACGTCATCACCGTTTCTCCTGCTTGCATATGAATCGTTGTGAGTTGTGCCATCAGTCGGCTCTGGGTCACGTTGTCGGAGGCTTGGTAGGCGCTCTTCAAGTGACAGTAGGC